CCCCCCCCTTGGCCTCAAGTTGATATTCCATGCGGACCCCGCCCCGTGTGCATGCTCGCGTTATTTTGGAGTCAGAAGGGGTTTTCAAGCTCTGGAAAATCCAAGAATTCAATCTCTCGGCTCAGAACTCCCATATGTTTTTTTCCATCCTTTTGGCTTGCTGTTGGTGCCCGCACGAGTCTCGGTTACTGGTTGGTCCCGCATGTGAGGCCTGGATTGGTGATTCTTACTTGGACCTCTATGAACATCGAGGCTTACCTGGATGAGGTCTGGAAAGAGCTCGACAGGCTGGGAGGATTTTCCTGCACCGACTCCGACAAAGTTCCTGTCAGACTCAGCGTTCACACCCTTGGAATTTAAGCTGTTGGGCAAGTGGAGGCTTCCGAAGTTCGTATAACTTGAAATGGACAATTCTCCCACTGGTATGTTTCATCTCATGAAATCCACACCACGAAACCGGCCGACCGGGGCATCCCGTTTTTTAAATTGGAGTAACGAATTGATGGGCCAAACGAATAGAAGAACCCCGAAGCAACCTGGAGATGTTTGACCATATGCGGTCGTTGTTTTTCTCATAAACCGGCTTGGGGGTGTCCGAACTTACCTGTAGAACTCGTCGGCTATTTTAGGAGAAGCCGGCCTGCTATTCCTAACCCAACCATCATCCACTGGCCCCTGGTAATGGGATAGACTCAATGTAACCCATAAACCAGGAGATAGATAATAAAAACTCATAATCCATGATTAGTACATAATAGACTCATGGGATAACTCATAAACGATATGTCCAAATCATATACCATGGATGATGGAACCGCTCAGCACACGCACCCAGCGCACCACATCAAAGGCTCGCCTTGAATGTGACTTCTTCCTGCGGAGGGGACAGGCATTACTGATCTTGTGGAACAGTGGACAAAAGACAGCAGTCGGAGTTATATACATTTGCATATCCATCAACAGCACACTGAGACTACAATATCCCAGACACAACATGCTTGCGACTGGCAGATTGACATACATTGGGGTGGTTGAAAAGGGGTCAATGTAATATATATATATATATATATCATACATGGAGTGTTTCGGTATATATATCCTCATCAACAGTCAACATTGGCTTCCGATTCGGGCGCTGATCTGGCTTTCCGGAGAAGACTCCGCGGGCGGAAGAAGCCCCCCCGCGGCGGGCTCTTCAGCGTGCGCGGCCACCAGGCTGGAGCAATTGGTTTTGGCGGTGAACGACCTCATGGAGAGCCGTGCCTTGGGAAAGCACCGAGCAAAACACCACCGTTATCAAGCCGTGGTGGGGTGACCATGCCGGTTGGGGTGTTTGGGGAACTGCACCGGACTGCCGTGCTTCTCCCGGATGGACCAAAGACCTGGTGGTTTCTCCCGGATTCGCCTTTTTTTTGGGGGGTAAACACCCTCGCGACATGCTCGAGATTGAGTCACACTCTCAAGACTGATTGGTGCGACTCGTAAGGAAGGATTTTTTGTAACCATTTTCTTTCCCAAAGGAGTCAAGAGTCTCTCTCGAGGCCTCCCACCAGTCCACCACCAGTCACCCGCACCCCTCTCCGTGGATCCACGGAGCGTTAGTGCAGCGGCGTGTCGGCGTGGTGTCGGCGCGTGCAGTTTGTCCTGCCCAAGGCATTGATGCGAATCTGAAGATCGTGTCGAACGTGCTCCTGGTGAACCTTCCAGAGGACCTGTCACATAGACAGAAGCTCCAGCTCTCTAGAATAGCTTGCTCTAGCGCTCTCTCTCTCTCCTCTCTCTCTCTCTCTTGTCACCAGATGTGCGAGTTTTATGTTTAGTTTATTTGTTTATTTACTAATATATATATAATATATATATATATTTAAATTTATCTATTTATTTATGTCTTATTTATTGGCAGTGTTTTCTTATTCTGTTATTTTACTCTCTCTCTCTCTCTATCTCTGTGTACTCGTGTTTACCGCATCACGCACATATATATATATATATATACATACACATATTTGTCACCATGTTCCAGTGACAAGGTGACAAGGGTTCATTATTTTCTTTTTTCACCAATTTAAAGGAGAGATGGAGATAGAATAGAGAGATCACTGTGGAAGCTTGATTAATACCCCCCCCAAATTTGGATTTCAAAGCCTCTTCATATGAGCAGGGTTTATCAATCAAGAGGAGTGATGTTAGAGTTTAGATCAGATGGGATTAGACCATTTGAAAGCTCAGCTGCAGCCATGGATGAAAAAAAGGCAGACATTCTGCATAGCTGGAAGATCTAGGTATCACCGGCCCAGGAGCAAGAGCTCGTGACCTTGGAAGAGTTCGTGGAGATGCAGGCGGACACCGAAACGGTCCACGGTGGCGGATCGTGGTCCACGGGTAGGAGATGCCTTTCTGATCTTGACCAATATCAAAGCAGTGGGCAAAGTTGTTGTCCGACAATCCTGATTCTACCCTCTGACTCTCTAACATGGAAGTGGACAATGGGGCCCTGGAAGACTACTGTCCTCTACAAACAGGCGTTTTTCCACGTCCATGTTAGTGAGTCAGAGTGTAGTTGGTTTTCTTGGCTTTGTTGCTTTTGCTTCCTTTGCCGCAAACTGCTGCCTCGTTCCCACTCGGAAAGCCTCAGTTTGCCGCCTCAGTGCGTGGCAGCGCATCCATCCGCCTTCCTTCAAAGCCTTCCTTCACCTCTCTTGGGTAATCTACAAACTTGATGCAACTTGGGAACCTGTCGTCCTGTCGTCCTCGTGTCGGCCCCCCCAAACGATTCGGGAGTCGCTCGCTCCGGTGAAAGAGCCGCCAGGAGCGACACGTGCGCGCCACCACCGACTTTTTGGTGGCCAAGAATGTGGAGATTGAGAACGCTGTGAACGACACGAGAACGCAAGACATGGGAATGGGATCACGGTACTCTTCCTCAAGAGTGACGGGCTTTTTAGTGACATTGAGTCAGTGAGTGAATGTGATTCTGCATGCGTGATTGTGCGTGGGTGGGTGCGTTGAAGTACTTCCTCTCAGTTCGTTGAGCTTGCCCCGTTCTCAGGACATGCTGGGTATGATCGTCGGCTTTGAGCTGGAACCCCATGTGCCAGCGGTGACTGAAAGTGCCTTGAGCCCGAAAGCTTGATGGTGTGAGCGAGGAGTGTGAACCTGGCACTCAAGTGCTGGTTCCTTTCTCCAGCCCTTTGGGTATTGGACACGAAAACTCGGATGAACTCATAGGCCCCTGATGAACTAAGGTCTTTTTTTGAACCAGCGCCGGGCCTTTTTTGGGCTGTTTCCTTCTGACAGCGATGACAGTGCCATGACAGTGGCGTGCCGCAGCATGACACCGCGCCTAGGTGAAATCATCAAGGTGAAGGCCCATTATAATTGGTCGATGTACCAAGCCCTCTTGAACGCCACCAAGAGCTCTCTGAAGGTCGTTGGGGTCCGTGGACCGGCGCGCGAAGCTTCTGGACGTGGAAACCCAAGGACTTCGACTTGAAGATCGTTGAGGGACGATGTGGTGGGTCGGGTCGGGTCTTTAAGTGGAGATGTTGCTGATGAAAGATGTTGCGTTCGATAACTCACTGATCAGTGTTGAGATGTTGTTGGGTCTGTCCAGCTGTGTCTCATTTGCTTCGCCAGGCAATGAAGCTCAGGCTGTCTTCCAACTACAGGGAAGGCAAGCCGCCGCCTCCAGCCTTCTTTGAGGCTGATGCAGGGTGGTATTGTATTGCAATTGATTTTAGAATGTTGGGATTTGCATGGGAATGAGAGAGGGTCCTTTTTTCACATACATTTCAACGGAGTTGTGTTAGTTGAGGACCACCCAAACCAAAATGAAGGTACATGGACCAAAGAATCCTTGCTGCATAGGGTCACAGAGTTGAATCCACAGGTGGCTCTTGGCAGTTTGCAGTGACATAATGTAGACTCTTAACGAATAACCCTCCCATTTTGATTGTAACACCTCAACAAGCACTGGAACTCAATAGCGCATGAGGGTTTTCTCAAGTGCTGGTTGCGATTTCTCCCACATACATTGCCCACCACCCCCCCATCACTTCTCTTGTGGTCCTACCTGCTGGTGCTACCTGCTGGCCGTTTGTTGGGAGCGAAACCGACCCGACTCGCCCGACTCGACCGACTCGACCTCCGACCCGCGCCGGCCGACCCGACTCGACTGCCGACCTGCTGCGCCAGGTCGACCTTCAATTGGATGGCATCGGGGTGCGCTTGGACCCTTCGGTGGAAGAGATTCAGGCGGGGAGACCGAAGGGCAGGGCGAGCAGAGGGAGGAGAGATCGAGGAGAGGCGGTTCTGAGAGGGAGGCGAGAGGGAGAGGGGCGGTGTGAGAGCGCTGGGGGATGAGGAGAGCGGCAGGACGAGGGAAGAGGATGTAGACTCGACAGATGAGTAGAATCATGTAACACCGGCATTGTAGAACCTCTAACCTCTTCATAGGTTTTATTCATCAAGAGTCAAGAGTCTACACTACTGTAGATGATTAGGTGCGTTTGTTGATTTGAAGTTTTGGCCCATGCGGCCCCTAGAATCTAGGGGCTCGTGGTTGTTTTTTTTGGGTACGAGTCATGAGTCTTGATGAATACTGTCAACCGGCTGGCCTCAAAGAGTTTTGCACCTGGAAACCATGAGATGTCTCGGGTCAATCCACTGCACCATCTGTCTGGCAGAGCTTCTGCCTGCCAATCGTTTCGCGAGGCTGCCATCAACGGTGGAGCTGTGGCAGTTCTGAAATGTTCGAAGATGATTGAAGCTTGGGATACTGCGACTTGGTTTTTAAGCAGAAATTCATTTGGTCGAAGCAAACATTGTTTCTTCCCTTCAATTTTCAGCAGATTGACACCACAGCTGCCTGCCTTTCAAAGTCGGCTTGTTTTTCAGCTACTGCTGGCCTACTGCTCAGCTGACCTCTGCCAAACGGATGAACAATGACTCTAGAAAGTCTACAACTGCCCCTCTGGGTGACCTGGCTCCCTAGATTTCCTTTTTGAGTACGGGACTGATCTAAGGGCCCATCGCCGAAGGAAAGAAGCTTTGAACACCCAGCCAAGAAGCTTTTGATTTCAATGAGGTGACTGCTGTCTGAACTATTTTCAACACATGTTCGCTTCGTGAGCGCATCGTGCGCACGCACGTTGTGAGCAGGTATCCATGGGTGGCTGCAGCATATCCCAAAGCTGGGTAGACTGGGTCTAAGCATCCGAACCCAGGCCACCAATGCCCGGAATGCCCGGAAGGCCGACGTCGTCGGGTCGGTGAAGACCCGTTCTTTCAAAGACATCCCAGTGACATGCGGTGACCATCCCAGTGACATGAGGTGACCATCCCCAAGAACGTGCAGCTCATCTTGGACGCGAACCTTCCACCCGTGCAGGGCACCGGCTCGCAAGGCAGCTGATCAGTTTTCAGGGGGAGTTCGGGATGGAACCACATTCCCCGCAGGCGCTATGATTTGGGGCAGTTTGACGTGGCAGCTGTGCAATCCGATCGTTGATGTTGCGGCGAGGTACATTCTACGACCGCATTGCGCAGGATCGAGAAATCCTCAAGGTGTGCCGCCTATAGCGCGCCGTGCCGCGCGCGCGCGCGCGCGCAGGACACCTGCACAGTATTCCTGAAAATCCAGGAGATCCCCAAGCGGTGGGTAGAGTCTGACTCAGCAGCTCGTTGGGTGGTCTCCCTAAGGTAAAAGACACCCATATGAAGTGCTGTGCACTGCTTCACCCTACCGACGTCGAGACGGACCGCCAAAAGCCCTCCGGATGACGAAGACGCAGAGACCGAGTGCTGCGTAGGATGTTTGACTAAAAGAAATTCAGATCAGGAAATAGTAGTGTGATAGGACCAGGAGTCACAAAGGGGTGCCTATTGGAGGCTAGGGGTGCCCATTATCCACTCACTTAGGGACCAAACACCACCCCTTTGTGACCCCTGGGATAGGGATCTTCTTAGTTCTTAGATGTTCTTACTACTTTGTCCCCAAAAGTCCAGTCGACTCTAAAAAGAATGGTCTGACGAACGGGGACCTGAAAGGGAACTTCCTTTACTTCAGCCGGTCAAAATATAGTCTTTGGACTTCTAGGGTTGTTCTTAGTGAGTAGTTTTCGTTCTGTTTGCCTTCTGGAGAACTTGGGGTTGTCAGAAGCTTGTCATTTCGATCGTTCCAATGCAGGTGGTGCTGCTCCTGACTGGTAGCATCCAGTCGGCCAAGAACATGTGCAACAGCTACCTCACCACCTTCAGCGAGTATGAATGGACCTGGAAGGAGGACATCGACAAGAGTCTTGGATGCTTTATGATCTCGATCTGCCCGCCATTCCCAAACCTCCAAGCCGTTTTTGTAAAGCAAATAATCGACCAACACACCTGCGGCAACGTCACGCCGAAGTACTTCTTTCTTTTGCCACGTTCAGACAAATTGTTACACTCCCTCCAACAAGCATAAAATTGGACAATGACCCTCTTGGAAGATGATTTTCTCGGTTTAAGAGGGACCATTTTCCACTGTCCCCTCCATCCGGTGGCCCCTGCGGGACCTTCAGTACCCTGGCGATCCGCCGCGGAGCTCGGCGAGGAAGTACCAGGAATTCAAAAACACCGAGCCCAGCCTGGACGATTTCGAGCCGGGGCCCCGAGGGTCCGACCGGTGCGAGTGCCTCGTGTCTCGGTCGGACTCCGAGCTCGGGGTGGAACATGGACCGGTGACCGGAGAGCGGTGTAGTTGCACACGGCTGTAGAGAACGCGTGATGTTATTACTACCTTTTTTTTTCCGGTAATCAGAGAGCTTTTCTACGGTCGTTCCGCATATTTACTGGATGCTCTTGGCGAAGCATATCGAGCCGCCAATCCATGGTGCTCGGTATCCTTCGTGGTTTTCGACTTCGATTGCGGCATCAGTCTCAACTCTTGATCTTCGTGTCGCCCTTCTTCCACACCTTCATTTGAAGCAGGTCCGCTTTCGGGACCTTGACATATTCACCACCCTGTGTGCACGCATACAGTCAGTGCACCGCCCTGCTGGACCGTGCTTTCTGCCACTGTGAGCGGGAGCTGCAGCCGTTGAGCAGCCGTTGCAGGTCCAAGTTGAAGGAGTTTGTTGCTATGGAGAGCAAGGTTGAGCAGCTCACCGGTCAACACCAGACTCTCAGCGAGCAGCCATGCTGGGTGGGAGGGCGGCAAGGAGAGGAAGGCACACGCGGACTCGGAAGGCACCGCGGAAAGCGAAACGGTTCAGCTTTCGAACTTCCCGGGGCAGATCCGAGTTGTACTGGATTTTTTTTGGGGCAAAGAAGCTCATAGAATATGGCATATGGACGAGTATGGTAGATATTTGGACAATCGAATACCCCAAGTATGAAATCTGGTGGTATTTTGCAATTGTAGGCCATTTCAGCGGACCTCTGTCTTTCCAGATGACCGATGCGTTGAATCCAGCTGCAGCTAGCTCGAGAATTGGCTGGATCCAGATCCCATGATGTTTTCATGTGCAGCTAGACCAAGTGGTTGCTTCCTTACGTGGGCACGCTGAATCAGCGAACGACCGGCCCTTGACCTAGCAGAACCAACGACCGGGTGCGAGGATCTCGGCTCTGATGCTGAAGACCGGGAGCTTGGCACAAGACCTCAAAGGCCTGGCTGACAAGTGGAAGTCCTGCTTTGCGAAGGACTGGCGGAACGATGTCACATTTTCCAGAACACACAAGTCCAATGAAATACTTCATAGCTAGATTTGGCTATGGGTCAAAACCCGGGCACCGTCGTTGACCCGGGTCAATTGAACAGATTCCTCTATCAAGGGACGTCAAGCTATGCTATTGTGGTTTGGTGGCGGAGGTTTTGACACAGCTATATTTTGGCATGCTGGACAGGCTTTTTTCATTTTTCTCCAGGGCAGCGATAAGTAAGTGCGGTTCACTTGAAACATCGGCGTAAGAATCGCCTGACCGCCTGACGGCAGCGAGATCAGGAGCTACATAAAGAGGCCTTTGCCAAGCTGGAGGCTGTCAGCGAGATGGCATCCTGGGCTGCACACAGCTGGATAATTTTCGAAATCACTGCTTGAGTGGTGGCTGCGGCCCTCTTTCAAGTCGTAAAGAACGATGGTTGTGGGTTGACGTACCTGAAAGGTCTTTCGCTGCATGGTGGACGGGTCGGGCTCCAGGTTTTGACCCATCCCCAGATAACCTGGCATCTCATCTATAGGAAAATGGAAAACACAAAGAAGAAGGCTTAGCATTGGCTAAGGTGAAGTCGACCAGGAAGAAGCTCTTGCGAGAGGCGCGGGCTGCGCCATGCGCGCTCTGCGAAGGAGCTGTGCGCCTTCGTTTCTGGAAAAAGGAAGGAGCACAGCAGAAGAGATCAGACTCCTCGCTTCTCACCGCCGAAGACTCGTTGAAGACACACACTTTGGGATCATGGACGATCTAACCTGCCTCCGCTCGCCACGACGAACAGCTTTCCGCACGACTCACGCGCAAACACCAGTCAGTTCTTTCACGACGCCCGTAACGGGCCGCGGGTGTCCCGCTTCGTTCATGTCTGGCGCCCGGGAGACTGTCCGGGAGATCGTCGACGGCACAGGTGGGTTCGGGCGACATCGACGCCTTGGCCTATGTGATGCAGACCTTGCAGGAGGGCCGGGACCTTCCAGCCCTGGTGGCTCAAAAACCTCCGTTTTTGGGAGTCTGTTTTTGGGGGACTTTTGTTTGATTTTGAGTAGACACCGAATTCCAAGGGCAGACCTGGAAGAATGGAAAGATGGACAGTGGAAAGTAGCACCCTGTTTGGACAGCACGACTGTGAATACTATCAATGTGTTTTTTTTCTGTTTTTTTTTTCTGCGTGGGCTGGTCTCTATAAGCCGGTTAGTAACTCAAGACATTAAGACTCAGCCCCAGATTAACCAAGTGGATCCAATTCCATGGCCCCCCGTGTCTGACTAAAGAGACACAGTTGTGATAACTTTGGACGATGTCGCCTGGCCACTCGTGATGTGAAGCGACATGGGGGTCAGCGACATGGGGTCGCTCCTGTGGCAGATTCGATACACATTCCAGGAGAAACACCTATAAAACACTTATACCAGGAGTCACATGTCGGGGTGTTTTTTTCCCTAAGTGAGTGGATGTTCTGGGGACCCCTATCCTCCAACTTGGAGACTTGAATCCGTGAGGTCATGCTTTCAAGGGATGGTCATGGGTTTTGCCAGGAAGTCTATGCCAAGCAGAGCGAGATCGAGCTGGACTTCATTCCAATTGAGCACATGTATCGGATCCTGGATGAGCATTTGCCCAATATCATGGACAAGGACCAAGCCTTTTTGTGAGGATGCGAAACACAACACCTGAAGCAAACCCGGCAGTTTTTGGGGTCTAGCTGCCTTGCCGTTTACGGCCCAGATCCGGTATAGGCCTTTTTGAGAAGTCTCTGAAGGCATTTCCGTGCAAACTCAGCCACCCTCCCTGGGGCGTCTAGGTGCAGGGTTTGGTGACAGGATGCTGTCGCTCTTTTCTCTTGCAGCTTTGGCCAGGAAGAGCAAGATACCCGTTCCATGCTCAAGAAGAATTGGAAGGACCCAGAAACGGCCGGAGCTTCGAGCTACATACATAATGCTTGCACTTGTTCAGGTTCTGTGGCATCCTAATAGAAATAGCCTAAACCGAGCACTTTGCTCGACATCCGGGGCAGTTGCTGTCAAGGGCAGTGAATGTCTCATGGACGCATCCCAGGCAGTTCCCACGAGTACTAAGGAACCAGGGGCCCTTCGTTCGGTCGCCCTGGTGTAAGTCGTTGCCTGGAACCACTGGGACTCCAGCGAGCTCTCGTGGGTGGTTTGCCTGGATGCCCTGGGGGATGTGATTTCTTCGGAGCGACGACCTTGGTGAGAGAAAAGCCGTGACGCCTCTTTCGCAGGACTTGTTGGAAGAGAGCGAAGCTCGCCAACATGAGCTCTCCAACAAGCAGTGACTCAGACAGCACAGAGTACAGACCAGCACGGTCAGCAGTTCTTTTCTCCCCCACACGGCTGAAGGCACGTGAAGCTCACACCACAGGTGAAGCAGTATCCTGATGTTTTTGATGACAAGCTGCACTGGATTCCCGCTTGTGCCGTAGTGAAACTCACCAGTTGGCACCAGTTGGCCAAGCAGTTGTCGAACCAGCCGCCCACCGAAAGGATCCAATACAAGAAGGATCTCATCAAAACCGTGAACTCCTTCAAGAAGGACAGCTGACACTGCCTTTTCCAGTTTCAGCGATTTGTGCGAAACGCCCGAACGGCTACGAAACGGCCCGGAGAGCTGCGAAGAGATGCGGAGAGGAAGGCCACTTGGAACCGTTTGGAGCCTATCTGCAGAAATATCCCCAGAAACATCCATTGCATGGTGAATTTCATACCCCAAACAAGATGAACTGAACATCATGAGGCACCCTGAGACAGATCTGATCATGATCCTGATCCGTGCCTCGCTGACGCTGCACCAGGCGCGCCCCGCCCGGCCCCGCCCGGCCGTCCGTCCGCAGGACGTCGCGCGCTTCCGGGCCGAGTACGAGCGCAGCGGGCCCATGGTGAAGGGCATTCCACCGCGGGAGGCCGTCGAGCGCCTGAAGCGCGCCTCGGCGGAAGAACGCGCAACGCCGTGGACCGGGACTCAGCTCCGACACGGCTCCGGACTGGCGACCGGCCCAGGCCAGGGGTGGTTGAAGTCTGGTCGTGTTTGGGGACCAGGTCCATGGACCGTGGGACGTCCGACTGGACCATGCCAAAGAATGGTCCGACGGGTCTGACTGGTGACCTGAAACCTGCAGTCGGTCCAGACCATACAACTAGTTGACTATAATTTGGACTGAAGGTTTCAGGAATTTTGATTATATAGTCGAAGTGGACTTCAAGGGATATATACGCCGCGCCTATAGACCTGACTCACCCGACGAAACGTTGGTACTCGAACTCTAGAACGTGGGGTATTAATTTTCACATGACCCGATTCAAACACACAGGTACGACTGGGGCCCCATTTTCTTTGCGATACGTCCAGGTCGACTCCAGGTACATCCATTTGTTGGAAACCATGGGAATTTCTGTGGGGGTCAAGACTGAATTTTCTGGTACTCCACTGGACACAGTTTCAGATATGGATGTTCTACGTCTCCTTGCTTGTTGTCATCTGGAGTGGCCAACCATAGGCCTTTATGCCCTCGACTCGTGGTACTTCGATTGAAACGCACGGGGCGCTCCCAGCGACGGGTAGGTCGGCTCCGCGGAGAAACGCCGAACGCCGTTGGTGACGATTACACCGATTCCACAGGTGGAGATTGACACCAGATTCCACATTAAGGATCAAGGACCCTCAAAGGTGAAGGTTTGGTTCGGGTCCAAACCCCTGCGTTCTGCAGGGTCAAGACCCTCCAGTTCGGAGGGTCCAATGATCCTTAGGGCATAGAAGATTGCTTGGTGCTGTGTTCAGGATCGACAGGAGTTCTTTTATCGCTCTTTTCCGGCCTTATCAACCTGGTAGCCTGGTCGCCTGAACTTTAGCGCGGGACTGAAGCCTGCACCAAGGAACTAGATTGTGAAAGTTCACAACCCAAAAGGCACCAAAAGGCAGCTTCCTGCCCCACTGTGCCTTTCATTGGATCACGTCTTCAGGATTCAAAGAGGAGTTCGAGGTCCGAGATCGAAAGCAGGCGGGGCGATGCTGGCTTGCGTACCTGACCAAGCCCTTTTCTTCCATGGACCTTTGTTTGGAAGGCCGAGTGCTTAGGGCTAGCAGAAAGGTCTAATGATCGGGATTTTCCCGATCATGTCTTTGAGACCCCGTTGAACTGGGTTCGTTCGTCAAGCCACACGACTCGTCAAACTCATGGCGGACAAAAAGCCAGGAAATCTACTACATTGGTGAAGACCTCTTCGGCGTCCCTCACCAACGCTATCCTGCACTGGACACCACAAGGCAAGAGCTTGGCTATCTATCGCAGCTTTACGACTCTTGGATGCCGGAATTGGATGCCGGAGCAAATGACGGGGGTGACCATCCACACATTTGCAAGTCTGGCAAAGAATCAGGGCATCATTGACACATCATTGGCACATCAATGGTACATCATTGGCACTATTCTTCTCGAGGCTCCGTTTATAATTGAGCTCAAAGATTGGAGGCACCAAGAACCTTCTCGGTTCTTCATGCTCATTTCTCAACCACACTCTGACATTGGTTTTCAGTGAACGCAGTTCCCACGTGGAAGGAAGGTGAGAAACGGCAAGGTGGAAAGTCCGAAAAATTGCAGATGTTTGAACAAGTGGTTTATGCGCATCTGCAGAACCCACAACGGCAGCTCACGGCGGCTCAGTGGCTGAAAGCGGTGGAGGGAAATCGGTTTGGGGGAAGTATCATGAAGGACCATGAATCAAAACGTGGAAAGTGGAGTCACAGCTTGGTCAAACGTTCCGGTTGCAGGTGCACGGAAGTGATCAGCTTCCGCTTCCTAGGATCTTGCAAAGAGCTTCGTTGGGCAGAGCCTTGCAAGTCCTCTCTGCCCCCCTGCTGGAACAAACCGAGGAAAACTCTTAGATACAGAGTGTGACACACACACACACTCAGCCGCTTTGCGGCGCTCTGGCATAAAAACCTAAATAGGTACCTAAAAAGCTTTAGAAAAGAAAGAAAGAAAAGCAGAAAGAGCAGCGCTAAAAGGGCAGGAGAGAAAGATAGGTGCAGAGAAAAGGTGAATACTTAGCCCTTGACTGGGGTAGGGAAACGAGCCTTAAGGACCACCTAAAAAGCCTGAAAGAAAGCCCAACAAACGACAAAAAACGCAAGAAGGAAAGCGGGGGGCAGGGAGGGGTGTATGTCCATGTGTGTGTACATGTGTGTGTGTCTGAATACTTAGCACTCTAGAGTTACTGATTACTTAGCAGAAATGAATTAAGTGCAATAGTTAGGGAGCGGGACTTTAGTCTTAAACCGCCCGGGTAGAGTAGACTAGAAAAGGGACAACAGAGGGAAAGGCACCGACACACAAGTGTGTCGAGTACCATTTCCCTCTGTTACCCTAATTAGTGGGTGGGAGGGGTTGGGGTGTTTGGGGTAGAAAACGCGTCGGGGTTTATTCTCCGTGACGCCCGGCGGCGTAGAAGCAGTTAATTCAGTAGTGAAACCAAGTCTGTTAAGAAAATCCAAGGAATGGTGGAAGGGGAGAAATCTGTTACACGATTACCAGCATGAATTCAGCGCCCCGTCACACTCTAACATTGGTTTTCAGTTAACGCAGTTCCCACGTGGAAGGAAGGTGAGAAACGGCAAGGTGGAAAGTCCGAAAAATTGCAGATGTTTGAACAAGTGGTTTATGCGCATCTGCAGAACCCACAACGGCAGCTCACGGCGGCTCAGTGGCTGAAAGCGGTGGAGGGAAATCGGTTTGGGGGAAGTATCATGAAGGACCATGAATCAAAACGTGGAAAGTGGAGTCACAGCTTGGTCAAACGTTCCGGTTGCAGGTGCATGGAAGTGATCAGCTTCCGCTTCCTAGGATCTTGCAAAGAGCTTCGTTGGGCAGAGCCTTGCAAGTCCTCTCTGCCCCCCTGCTGGAACAAACCGAGGAAAACTCTTAGATACAGAGTGTGACACACACACAAATCAAGTCTGAGTAGCATCATCCTTCCCTTCAAAGCTCCTTCAGCGCGCCCTTCCGCCGCTTCTCCCACACTGCCCTTCCGCCCTTCTTTTGGGCGGCCGGTGGGTTTTTTTTTCCATCTTCGTGGCGGCGGCCGGTGGTTTCTGCCTGGGGTGTGTGGACTCGCTGTAGCCACTGTAGCTGCTGTGTCTCAACTACACCCAGAGGTCGCCTTTTTGAAGCGAACACGACCCAGTCGTGCTATGCTCGGCATCACGCCAGAACGTTACCTGGCACCAGTGGAGCACCGGTGAGACCGGGCTTCAACGGATCGAAGGCTTCGTAGGTCCATAGCTCCATGCCAAGTAGGCTCATTCTCATCTCGTTCGCTTTGAGGATCTCTATGTGGCTGTGCTGGAGACCATCAAGGAGCGGCACAAATTCTTGGGTGGTTCTGCCTGCCTCCTTTTGGTGGTTCTGGTAGCGTTGGCCGTAACAGTTGGATAATGTTGGATAGTTGGATGAGGTGTTTCAAGAAACCATGAATTTGGATTCTGAGTTTCCTTAGCCACCACATTCCATGAATATGTGTTCATTCCAAAGAAGAAATGGGCCTGATTCTTGGTAGGAGGAAAGTTGCTGGAGCTGTTGAGGGTGGATTGAGCATTGTGTACATTTTAGTCCTATTTTCCGACGAAAGTTGCTGTAAAATGCCCTAGGCTTGTCTTTCCTCGTGCAGAAGAGCCTTGCAAATCCATTCCAAAGACAGCTTTCATTGAAAGGTCCGCCATGGCGGCCACTTGTGCTTTCCAGCTTGGTGTTGTGTGGCTCAGGAGTGGCGAGACTACCTCTGGTGTGATGTGGGTGAAAACATGGAGACCATGCAGAAGACGTCCCCTGGCTGAGAAAATGGTTGCAGGAGAGGGTAATCCCAAAAGAGGTAAAACAGTGGTTCCCCCCTTCCAAACCATCTTTTGGACGTCGGACTCTTTCCACCTCTACCACCATGCGTGTCCACTGCCCCTCCAAAGCCCCTGAAGGTCCGCCGAACCTCCCCACCTCCCCGGATGGGACCAGTGAACCTTCAGGATCGATAGCTTCGCGGCACGCTGCAAGAAGATGCCCCGGCAGTTGCGCGAGTGGCCGGCCTACAACGAGCTGAAGAAGGAGATCGAGGACCGGTGGGCCGAAGAGCTGGGTTTCCTGAGAAGGCCGACCAAGGCACAGCTTGTCCAAGCAGCCATTTCAGCAGTCTGATTTCAAGAAACCTCCGTTTTGGGAACTTGCAAACAAACACAGAACGCATACCCTGCAAGCTCTTGGTCGACTGATGATGAATACACTGAAGGTATGCAATAATGGTCATGATGTGTTTGAATACCATGCAACAATTCTTGACGACTCATGATGAATACCCTGCAAGCTCTTGGTCGAGTTAGAAACAAACCGAGGTTCCCAGAAAACGCTTTCCGAAGTGTGCCTCCCTCTCCCTTTCGCATTCCTACCAAAACAACACGAGTTCGTTTGGAGTCACTCTCACGTCACGTCCCATGGAAGTGGACGTCCGGGTCTCTGGGAAGACTACTTTCCTCTACCAACAGTGGGTTAGTCCCCTACACTCTGTGATGGTTTTCGTCAGAGTGTACCGGGATTCGTCCTTCCGAACTCGAGGATTTCCAAGGCGTTCTGCCTTTGTTGCTCGAGTTGGGCAAGTCCGGGGACCGAGCGGGGACCGAGCGGCCGTTCTGCGCTCCTCGTCCAGCCTGCCTTGCTGGGCGAGGAGCTGGGACGTCTGGGGTGCTCGAAGGTCTGCGCTTTTTACAGTGGTACTGTATGGTACTGTATAATATACTGTACTGCTCCCTGGAGATCCATTATTGATGGAACGGATGAACATGGCCCTGAGGCTTCTGACTTTGTTTGGACCCTTAATCCGGTCAGACTAAAGAGGTGTTGAACGAACAAACCATGAAACTGAATGATTTCAGAGAGTGCAGATTTGATTTCAAGCGTGCCAGATGGAAGCTGCTCTCTCCCGACTATATAGTGACAAACACTTAATCTATCGGCTCCCCTGACTGAGGCACAAATAGATTCAAAGTCAGCCGCCCAACGGGCATTGCGTTGGTCTGTTGGCTGAGGCCAAGTATCATGCCCCGGCACTGGCAGCAGGTCATGGACATCACAGGCCGGTTCGAGAGATCGTACCTGTGGCTTTCTGAACATCTCCTATAATATATTTTAGGCATTTTTCTGGGCCATTGTGGCTCATCTAAAATAGCATCTCGTCGGGGTGGTGGCCATCTAGGTTTTGGGCCAGGGCCATTTTTAGGACAGCAGATTCGGGTGACCATGCTAGACAGTCGCTTTTGACTGGTCGTCCTCCACTCCTACTCCTCTCCTCTCCTCCTCGGACCGATCGAAGCCCCGGCCCGGAGCTCGTGGAGCTCAGCTCTGGCGGCGCGTCGGAGCGAATGTAGCGAACGGCACCGGAACGGCACCAGGGAAGGACTTGCCCATCGACTCGGAGAACTTCAAACTCCAGTCGCTGATCGACGCGCAACTCAATGCACCTGGGCGACGAGAAAGCCGGAGTCCAGAAAAGACGATCAAAAGAATCGGTCTTACTCGGGGCCGACGAGTCAAGGAATGTCCTTTACTTCAGTCAAAATGTAGTCGAACTGGACTTCTAGGGTAAAGAGAGAAAAGACCTCGACTTCAGAATCGACCGTCGTTTTTGTTCATGCGTTTGAAAAGGCATCCTTTGGGTGTCTTTTTTCCACCTCTCAGAGGATGGAGACCTGAGATGGAGACTCAAAAAAGCTTGGGTGAAAGAGAGGTTCAGACTCAGTTCTTGCATCAAAGCGATCCTGGTCCAAGAAGTTTTTGGTTGGCGTTGGAATTGCAACGATCATGTTTCTGCTTGCGTATGCGGCTGTTGAAAGCAAACCAACTCAACAAACGCCGTGTGCGGTTGCCATTTTCGACTCTTTGAGCCAAGCGTTTGGGATGCGACACCAGTCGTTGCTTGTGGGTCGGGTGAACCTGACCTGACGTTGCTTGGGGCGCGCACCTTGGGATCCGGACGCCACCGGCCAGGAGTTCACGGATGAGATCTCGGACATCTGTGAGGGCGCGGACAAGCAGCTGGTCGGGGCCGAGAGAGTTGGGAACACCGCGGTTTCCGGGACGGGTGGTTTGGGGTCGCAGGGTCCCGGTCGACTGGACAGACCTGGTCGACAGGTTTCCGGAACCCCAAATTGACCAACACAGGTTGACCCTGGGTGACGGGTCCTATGTACGGTCGGGACGATGGATGAGGATGGGAGATGTTCGATCTCTCAAGCTGCGATCTCTTTGGTCTAACCGACCTTTCCCCAAGGGAACGGAACCTAGGGCTTCTTAGAAGGGATTCTTTTCTGCTGATACATCCGAATCTCCCTTCTGTTCAATGTGACAAGTACTTCTGCAGGATCCAACGTTCTGACATCTATAGCACAGTTGACAAACGAAGCATCGGCAATCGTCAGTGTTTTTGGGCAACGAGCATTCCTGTCATGGTGTCTCGCGTGCCACTTCCTGCATTGCAAGCAGCTCTTGTATATGGCTGTGGGTCAAAACCCGGAGCCTTAAACACCCTGGTAGGTTGACGTCCCCCGTGTAGTCTATTCTGTTCATTTTCATCATTTTCTATGGTCAACCTGGTCGTTTCTGTAGTCTATATCTGTCAGCCTTGGGGTCTCCACCCACGTCTTGCGACATCCACTCGCCTCGCGGCAGGTGATTGAGAGCAAGCTGAAGGAGATCTCTGCGCAATGGGCAGATTGGCTCAAAATCCAATCGGTCTCCATGTTAAACCCGTCAGACTCCGCTTCAGGATCACCCCCGTGACCGACCAAAGGACGGCAGATTTGGGGCCTGAAGAGCTTTGGGTGCGAACCCTGTGAAAGAAGTGCAAGAAGTGACATATCTTTTGGGACCTGAAAAATGACCTCTCTCCATCAGAAACGGCAGAAGCTGCCTTTCTCCAGACGTTCGGCACCCTTCCCCTCATGTCACTTCCACATCTTCCTCTTTTCTACCCATCATCCGCTCCACGGGTGACGCCAAGCCTTGGAGATCTCCACCCCAACACAGGTTGAAGAACCCCAAATAGACCAGCCCAGTTGGGTACCCTAGGTGACGGGTCCTATTTGCGGTGAACCGGTGCCGCGGAGCGCAGGAACCGTCCACCGACCGCGCGTCCACCGACCGCGCCTTCCGTCCGAGGAAGGGATGATGTTCGACTTCGGCACTTGGAAGAGCCGCGATTTTCCCTGCGTGTTGTCAGGCGCCAAGGTGGGCGAGACACAAGAGGCCCTGGAGGAGACCATGATGAACCTGAACACCATGAATGTCGGGACACTCAACGGTTCTTTTTTGGACCAGAGTGGTTGAGTTGAACAAGAGAGAAGAGAAGGTACAACAAAGAATTGGTTTGTTTGTGGCTTCGAAGTGCAGTTTCGTCGGGTTCTTTTTGCTGCTGTTTGATGGCTTCACATTCTCAGATTTGATAGGGAACCATGGAAGAACATCATGGAGTTCAAGCGGTGTACACCATTTTTCGGCTGCACTCAGCTCAGGCACAGCGCCACTCCATCCCTTTCAAAGAAGAGCTCAACGGCCTGCTGTCCACTCTGTCCGACACAGGGGACACCATCGAGCGATGGTTTAAGGTGCCAGCGAGCGGATGAGCTCATGACGTGAGTGCCCAGCGATTCGCCAGCACACATGGTTGTCAGGCGTGTGTGGCGTTGCTGGCCCCCCCCCTGGTGGGTTCGTTGCGGGTTCAGCTGTTTCAACCGGTGAAAATACGATACCCATTTGGTGGACCCTAAGAATCCTGAAAGAAAGACATGACGTCATGACGTCCAATACACTTTGGTGACTCACCTTTCTTCAGATTCATCTGGAGACGCAGAACGCGAAGAAAGCGCTTTGGGATTTACGGACGTCTCCCCTTTGTGTGGTGGTTTCTGGTTGTTTCTGGAAGAGGTGACAGGCTCCATTTTTCTCTGTTGCATGGCATGAGGGCATGAGGGAGTGGTGTGGGCAACACCCCAGGCTCGGTCGGCTCGGTGGATCGCTTTCTTCGAAGTCCTTGTTTCAGAGCCCAGCCGGTGTGACTGCAGGCATTTTTTTTCCAAGCTGTTCTAACGTGTAGCACGTTTGCCACAAGCCACAAGCTTGGCCGCCATGACCATTTCTCCAGAGAGTTTTGAGTGGATCGGTGGCCGCTACAAGCTTCGCGAGGAGCCCATCAGCTTGCTGAAAGGAGACATTCTTGTGGCGGAGACCTACAAGAGGATCAAGCAGGCGAAGCAACAGGAGAACGAATCTCGCAAGCAGCACAAGAAGTAGAAAGAACTACACGAGCAGCAGAGGCAGAAATTGCTGGACTTCTTAGAGGAGCACAACTTCGACCCAAGTGATGTGAATTCAACTGGAGGGGAGAAGATGTCGTGTTGGGGTCTAGTGAGTTCCTATCAACGACCTTTGCACAAGGCCGTGAGAGATAAGAATGTGGAAATTGTTCTGCTGCTTGTGCAATATGGCGCAGATCCCATGGCCAAGGACAGCAAAGGAAGAACAGCATATGATTATGTGACTTCCTCACCTTTGCGCAATCGCATGAAGACGTTTCATGTGCAAAGCCGTGCAAATGGTGCGTTTCCTCTTAACTGAGCCACGACCAAAACCCGAAGAGGATGACCAATTTTGAAAGTAGGGGTGAGGGCTCTTTGTGTCAAACAGCTTTGTTTTCGTCATTCTTTTTGGGTGACGGTTTTGATTGTAGCTCAACTATTATTTTCCTTCTTTGTGACTGCCAAGTTCCGCAAGGAAGCCCCGAATGACACACTGACTGAAAGATCTGAAAGAAGACATGGTAGACATCTTGTTTCATACCTTAGGAACTTGTTTCTGTTCCACTTTGATGGATCGTGCTCCGCAGTTTCATGGTCGATTCGACACATCGACCACCCTCCGTGCGGATCATCGACCACCCTCGGTGCTTCGTGCGAATCGCGGCGCAGCCTGGAGACACCAGATCCTCGACTGACCGGCAGTCGTTGAGCTTCGTGGATCGCAGCATTTCTGCAGCAAGCGGTTGGAATTGTCCGGTACTCGACTCCAGGAGCTCCAGGCGTTATAAAAATTATCAACGCCAGCGCCGAGACTAGATGGATCAGTCTGGGGCAGGGCAGCCCTGCTCACAGTTAGGTCATCTGCATTGGACTCAAGTCAGCAGTTGTCGTGGGAGATTCAGCTGCATTGAGAGATATTCATTGGGTCTGTCCGTCTGTCCTGTACCTGTAACCGTCAGTAAACAAGCAAATCACATCAAATCACTATTTTACAGTAAATCTATTTTTGAACAAGGCCTGCAACCTAACCATCATCATCCACTGGGCCCTGGATGACATGGATAGACCCAATGATATTCAATTGGATGTAAACCCATGCGTTGTCTGTACGCTGGTCCTCCCCGAAAGCTCTCGCCCCCACGACCCCCCCCCCCTCTTTGCCCACGAACGGACCCGTGGGATGGTTTTGAACGGGGTCCGAACTGCATGTGCCAAGAGTCACATCTTGGGAACCCTAAACCCTAAAGCCTAAACCCTAAAGAGTCACATCGTTGGAGTGGTTTTCTTCGTCCCAGCCGTTCGGGGGCCGTGGATGACGACGGTCCAGGGGCACGGATAGCACCCCGTCAAGTGAGTGAACTGCAGGCGTTGCTTATGTCACTACGGCCCTGAAATTGGTCAACAAAACCCTGGGATGAAGGATGATGAAGGAGTGTTCCCTGACCCAGTGACCCAGCGTGAGGGTCCACCCAGGTGGTTTGGCTGCTTGTTTTGTGGTCAGAAGCCAGCTTTGTGCGTAGCCAGCAGGGTCCTCAACGAATGCATTGGTTGGTCGTAACAGTTTAAGGTTTTTTTTTAGGCACTGGAATCCATTTAGTAGAAAACCTGTCATTCTGTAGCTAAACATGTGCACAGGGCCTGGGAAAGAGTTGCGTATCTACAGTCTCTACAGAATGCATTATGTACTTTTCGGAGCGCTCGTAGTTCATTTCAAATCATTTCCCTATCAGACCCCCATGAATTTATAGACACCTTGTGGTCCACTTTTGGTGTTATAACTACGAAAGGGAAACACCACCTCACCTCTCTAATTCGAAGGCATTAAAAACACACTCTTACGACATGATGCCGCCAGGATGCCTGTCTCCTTCGTGTCTCCACTTCTCTCCTCAGCTTTGTCTCATTTCTTTACTACCCAGACGCTCCGTTCACAGCCCGACTGGTCCCTCAAAACCTAGGTAGGACCCAGGGATTTGAGACCCCAGACCCCTCCATATGAGGGTTCGACCCCTCTGTATGAGGGTCCGACCATGAACCTGAGCACTAAAGCTAAGCTGGTGAGTTCGCTCTGCGTGGTAATTACCGAGTCTGTACTGACGACGTGTCGTGTTCGGGTCATGCCATAAGGGGGCCATGCCATTCACTTCCACCATGATTGTTCCAGGAAGAGTAAGTACCTAGGACCTAGCGAGAAGGTGTTTGTCACCTGCAACCTGGACTGATCACGCCAAAGTCGGGGGCTGCTGAATTCGAGTCGCCTGCCCTGCTGGGAAGTGGGAGAATCTGAGCCCTTGAGCTCAGCAGGTCATGGTGACAAGTGAAGACAATCTGTGAGCTCAGCAGGTCGTAGCTGCAGCTGGAGTTTAAGGCTTCGTGCTGCAGCAGTTTTATGCCAGCCTCACACGTGCATGTCGACGAAGCCCACGTGCCTGGAGACGGGTGCCAGTGGAATGTCACGGCGGAACCCGGCCGTGCGACCGAGTTTCGCTGGCGACCTGGCTCCAGCTGACTCGAACGGGGGCAGCTTCCAGTCCCAACGACTGGGCCTCCGGATGGTCTCGTGGGAACGGAGAAAACGAACGAAGAACCCCGAGGAGCACCGAGCTGGGGTGATGGTCAAGAACCCGAGGTTCGGCTGTTTGGAGACCCGACCACAGGTGGTGAACCTGGGCACCTGACTTGGAAACGCCGGAAGCACCTGTGAAGTCGGGTCGTATGTAACTATAGCTAAGTTGGTGAGGGATTTTGGGCCTCTACTTTTAGGTTTATGATTGATGCGGGTTGTCGATGGTCTAATGATGTGCCGTGGGGTTGAAGCTAGGACCATGGACGAGCACCGTTCAGTTTCTTTTTCACGGTTCAGTTTCCTCCCTTTTCAACCGTTCACGCCCGAGCTCCCGAGCAGCTGGGCATTCAGGGACATGAACAGGCGAGGGTTCCCCCAACCTGGGTCTCGTTTTCGGTTCGGATACACCGCGTGCCCGCACACCGGTGAGGGTGACTGGAACCAAACCGGTGCGGTCCGGTGCGGTCGGTGCGAGAAAGGCGAAGCCGGTGATCCTCCGGAGTTCGCTTCTTCAGTTCGTTCACTTTAAAGGTGAACCAAGTTTGATTGAACTAAAAGGACGGTGATCTTAAAGGCGAAGCCGGTGATCTTCAGTTGGCTTCCACCTTTCAAAGGTTTCAAAGGTTCTAAAGATCGAATTCGTACCTAGTCACGTGACCTAGTCGGTGATCCGAACTGGTCAACGTGTATCTCCCAGTCCTGTCAAACTAGTTCGGTACGAACAGAAGAACCAGTTCGCCCCGGTCCAACACTGAGTCCGATCGCCTTCCGCGCTGTTTTGCATGGATGCAGAAGTGCCACCGGTCGCTGCTGCCTGGCATCGAGCGGGTTCGCGGCGTGCGCCAGGTGCAGCAGATGTGGACTTCCCTGGAGTCCGTCTTCACCGGCGGTGATATCGCCAAGCAGATGCCCATGGAGGAGCGGTCGTGGTGGCCTCCGTGGTGGCCGACATCGACCGTGGACGGGGTGAGGACGAGACGTTGACTGGTTGCGATTTGTTCAGCTGATTGAATCTATTTCTCGCCCTGGCTTGGGATTGTGGAGATTTTGTCCCCCTTCCAATGATCAATGACTCTTTTGCAAAGAGGTCAACCCGTCGTCGTTCTTCTGGCGTTTTTCATGGACTGATCAGCCCATGCCGACGCAGTTCTTCGAGTTCGGTTTGGTTTCCCGGAACCTATGACCCATGCGGCGTTGACAGGCAGACCTTCAGAGTACTCAAACCAGACACCCACCAGTCCCTCCAGCCCAAACAATGTGGAGTTCAAAACCGAAGCTCCCGACACCGTCGGTGGATCTTCGTGTCGTGGAATGAACTGGAACCTGTGGAAAAAGGGGTGGACACGAATGTCTTGTTGCCTGGGAAACAGCTGTCAAAAGAACACCCCGACGTGGCTAATACCCCTACAAAATGTCAACAGCAGCATGACAAAGGCAGCTGGATCTGGCATCAAGTAAGAGTCAGAACCCCAAAATAGTGAATCCAAGCGGTCCTTGATGCTGCAACAATCGAACTAACACCAACACGGTTTTTCCATGACGGTTTCTCCCCGCTCTAGAAGTCTTACCTGGGTATGTGTTGCCTGGGCGCCGGGGTCGTGATCTGGAAGTCTGTGCAGCTCAACTAGGGAGACCCCCTGTTCGGTGTTCGGTGTTTCCTGTTTATTCCAAATGGTATTTTTGACTTTGCATTTTGCTGTTCTTTCTCATTTCTATTCATTTCTTGTTTGTTGCAAGTTCCCTCTGTATTTCTCTTTTTGTAATTAGTACCAGCACCTGCTTGAGCAAGTCTTTTATCCATTCGTCTTGTTAATTCTTCTTGGGGATATACTCTCGCGTGCTTCTCAGTGGATTGTGACTCCCAGGTGGAGGTAGTTCATGAGTCCAGTTCCGGAAGTTGAGTCCGATGTTCCTACCGACCGACCTCCAAAACGCTCCAGCTCCCGTTCCTCGTCTCACCGGCGTTCCTGGTCTCGCCTCCCAAACACGTCGTCTCCGAGCTCGGCGGGCCCGCTCGCTCCGCTCGGCGGGGCGTGCGAAGAAGTAAGTCCGCGCGCTCCGCTGGGGGGAAGACGTCCAGGCGAAGAAGTTTCAGCAGATCGACAAGGATTGGCAGAAGATCATGCAGCGCCTTGGCGGCGCGGCCGGCCCTCGTCGCCTCCGAGCTCCGGACCGTGGGCGGTTGGTGTGGGCGGATCAGGTTTCACAGTGGGTGTTGCTCACCGATCGGTGGAAGGAGCCGATTCGGATGTTATCCTTTCTTTTTGAAAAGCCTTCACCTCTTTGATGGGGTTTTTTGAGTGGAAGACTGGGCTTCTAATCCCCTAAGGAGAGCTTCCCAGTCCGCAGCCCTGACCTCGCCTCCTCGCGACCCCCGAGCCTCGCCTCCTCGCGACCCCGAGCCTGACTCTCCCTCGTCCCTTCTGTTCCGAGGAAGTCTGCAGACACCAAGTATGTCGTGCCTTGCTGTCAGCCTCTCGGACCGGTCCCAAGGTCCCGGCGCACAGGACCAAGGTCCCGGACCACGGACCAATCGAGAGGCACTTGGTGCACACTGTTGGAAGGAAGAACGGTCACATGAACTTGCTGAGTCTTGTGGAGGAAGGGTCACTGACCAGAGAACAGCCAGAATGTCCAACAAAAACATTTGTGAGTCTCACAAGGAGCTTTACTTGGCACATATAGACAAAGCTGTCAAGCCGCCCATCTGGCTGGCGGAAAAGGGCAAACTTGGAAAAAGCCAGAGTGGACAGCTTTTGACACTTGAGTTGAAGGGCCTCATCCGTTCTTTTTTTTGTGTGTGTTGGTCAATGGTCGAAAATCGTTCTTGCTGCAGCCACGCGTCATGTTTCTACTGCTCAGGAATGACATGCTGAAGCAGATGCTGCCAGTTCTTTCGGAGGGTTTAGAAAAGTGCCAAAAGTCGCTGGAAAGTTACCTGGAGGGCAAGCGAAACAAGTTCCCGCCACCGGGGCAGCACGTACTGAGTACGGACAGTACGGACCTAGTGCGGGGACCGGGGCGACCGTGGCGATCGTGGACCTGCACCGCACCTTTGAGGTTCGAAGCTGGAGTTTCCCAGTCCCAACCTGGTTCACAGCTCTAGATGTTTCTAGATGTTTCCCAAGTCCCAATCCACTGGTTCTGTGTGGATCTCAAGCAAACAGCAAGCCATATTGGGTTCCAACCATTTGTTTCTGGTTAGGACCGCGTTTTCCGGACTAGTCCCCCTAGTCCCTATACCTCCATGCTTGTCATGCTGCGTGTTGTTGTTCCAACGAACAACACCTCCGTGGTCCGGCTGGGCGTGCTGTGCTCCACGCCCTTCCTTGCCCGGGCGTGCGCCCGCCGAGGCGATTTTACTTCACCTCAGATCCCGTGCTGCTGAAGATCTTATCACAGGGAAGTGATCCGGAGAGCATCCAAGAGGACCCACACCCAGAGAAATGGCTGGAGTGCGAAATGCATGGCGATCCACTCCAAAAACATCAAACAACCAATACGTCATCATGAAAATGTTATGAAGACATAAGATATGTGGACACTCTGCTGATGACACTCTGCTGTGGACAATAGGGACCACACACGGGTTTCGCGGCGTGTCTTCGCCACGCCGCACACTCCGAACTGGCAGAGCCCCACCGAGCGGAAGCGATGGCACCAAGCACCGAAGCCGTGTTTCTCAGCTTCAGCTGGCTCGTTCGGCTTCATGCATGCTTCATCTGCCAAAAAAGCGAGCTTTTTTCTCGGAAACCACGCACCAGGACTTCGAAAAGCTCTTTGATGCCATCAACAGGGTCTGTAGCCCAGTGGGTGTCGACTTGCCACACCTGCCGTTCATGTCGACTCCAAACGAATTGGTGAGCGTTTGGTTTGGTTTTCATGTCTTTGGCGATCCTGGGGTGCCCAACCCCTACCTGGAATTCCATAGGTGAGCGTATGTTTGGTCGAAGTCTAAGCACTTCTCGTCCATGGCTTTATTCAGCTTGGTGTGGGGGCCAGCTTGCTGGTCGTTTTTTGTTTTTTACATATCGAACATCGACGGTCGAGTCAAGGGCGGTCAAGAGCATTATGTGATGTAATGCTACCATGGATGGCGGTGACGTTTTCTTTGGTACGGCATGTGACATGTGATATTATTTGAAGGGTCTACCTTGGATGCTTTGCTTCATATCATGCTTCCACCTGCTTCAAACCAACGTGACCGAACTTGATCCCCTGGTTTGAGGCCGGGCCCGTAGACGGTCACTTAGGGGCTCCAAGAAAGTTATACATTATACTTTGAAGAAGCTGGCAGGTGTGATATATTCGACATGTATAACCACTTGGCGTTCATTGACGAAACCATTCTGCAAAAATCCTGAGGTCCAGTTTGACAAGGTGGACCGAAAAAAAGATCGTGCCTGGTTTGCAGCGACAGACTTTCGGATCATGCTGGGGCGGTTCTTCCAGTGGAAAACTAACCCAGAGTCTCCACAAGATGAGGCCTCACCAACATGAGAGAAGAGATTCACTCAATGCTAAGGGCTCTTTGGAGTGAGAACCCCGGGACCCCCGAGCTGATGGAAAACTGATTGGCTCATTCCGCAGCAAAAGGCGCCTAGGTGCGCCCAGCATGGCGAGCTTTTAGGCTACTAGCAACAACGGGCATCCCTACGAACGGAGCAGGGACGCTACGAACGTGGCGCTCCTGGCATCGCTACTAGGTGAAGATCATGGAGACGCATGGCCCGGTCCAAGAGGAAGTCTCCTTGCAGCGCCTTGGGCCTTCGATGTGGGTCGTTTCCACCCACCATGTGGAGCGCGCAGCGTCCACCTTCGTCGTTCGTCCGTGGCGTCCGCGCTCGAACCATCGGACGGGCGCGCAACGGGCGCGTGCGTTCCGGCGCGTTGGACGAGAAGAAGCCTGGCGCATCCCGTTGGGATCCGACCCCTTTTTCCCCGGGAAAACTGGTTTGTGTGGGAAAAGATCGAAGGAATCGACCTAGCCTAGCGCTTCCTGTGGGGGTGTCCTGGAGTAGGTGACCTGTGACTCCGTAGTGTGGAGATGTCCAGCTAGGTGACCCCTAGCCCGGAAGCAGCTGGTAGAGATAAACGATTTGATGTGGCAAGTGTCCAAGATCTTGGAATCTGCTTCCGTTGACGTCCAAGTGCTTGGGTGTCGATTTGCCCAAGTCCAAGCTCTGCTGAGGGTGCCAGTGCAAGCGCAAGGCAACATCGAGGATTGGCTTCTGGCTTTGGAGGCCTCGCAGTGTCAACCTGACCTCAGTAAGACAATCATGGCCTTGTTTTCTCACACGGGAGTTGATGTCCTTGATGGGTCCTTTGTAAAGACATGACCTTCGGGTGTTCTTCAAATCCTTTGTGAAAGATCCGCGCAGTGGAGCCGGCGATCATATTGAAGGTTCCCTCATCCTGATATTGTTTTCTCTGGGCCGCCTAGCAATTTGAGGGGAACAGAACTTTCGATCAGCCACCACACACAAAACAGCAATATATTATTGGAACAATCAAAACAGCACCTTCACCACCCAAAAGCTAGCTACACGCGATGAGGGTGCATTTCAAAGCAAGATCGAAAAAAGGAAAAAACACAACCACCGATCCTCATGCATCCACCTGTCAAGTTCCGGCAGCTTTCTTCACCAAACACCGCGTTTGACGCCCAGCCCCACCGCAGTCGGAGATGCAACGCTCAGTGCGGCGAGAATGCAACATTTGCTCCCGAGAGTGTGGGCAGGCAGGTGTTACACATGGAAAGAGTCGCTGGAAGGGGCAGACTTCACTCTCATAGCAAGAGCTGGAGACAGTGAAATTGAGGCAGTTCGTGGTTCACTTGGATGAAGCAAAGGGTTGCCACATGCCAGTAACATGTAAACACACATGCAAGTGTGGCGCGTTGCCATGCTGACCTGCTGATCTTGACAGGTGCTGAATGGTACATCGATGTCCGACTTCGGTAAGAAGTGTATTGCGCAAGTGTCTTTGCTGGGTGACTTGTCATGAGAGCGTAGGGTAGCTCAGGCCCCGCGCTACCAGCGGTCTCCGCCTGGTCATTACCAGACCAAGAACCATTGTTGTAATTGTTTTTTGAAGTTTGGCGACTAAACCACCCAAGGCGGGAGTCGGTCCATTTCCCCAGCCCGCTCATAGTGGGAATGGAATCTTTACAGCTAGCATTTCATTTTTTCGGATGAACCCCACGTGATCGATCGGCCAAGATGGTGACTTTTCATGGTAGCCGCGTACTTTTCATTCAAGACTTATACCTGACCCCCTGGCCCACTTGATGCCACGCGATGCCACGCGACGCGGGGAGGATGCCACGCGATGTGATTCCAGGTATTCAGCTCATCTGGACCACCGACTTCCAAGATGCCTTGACGCGCATGGCCCGGGACAAGGACAAGGCGGTCATGGGGCAAGCCAACAAGCGGCCCGGTGGCATCAGGTGCGTGACCCGCTGGGCTGCGCCCTCTTCTTTTTGGGATGCGAGGCAGAGGCAGGCGATTCCGTCGGGCAAGAGAAAGAGGTCGAACGTGGCAGGATTTCGTGGCATTGCTTTTTGTTTTGGGAGGATGACGACAGCACACTGGCTTGAACTGAGGGCAAGCCGAACAAAAGGGTGCTGCCAGCTTTCCGATTAAGAATTCAAGTGTCAAAATGGGGAGACCTCCAAGTTCGACCTCCTGGAAGAAAGGAAATAGACCAGTTTACCGTTTACCCATTGGTTCGGGGATCTCCCTATTAAAATACAGACCCATATTCAGCTATAGCGGCTACAGTACCGCCCCGGGCAAGCTTTCAGGAGCCCATCGAGAAGGCTCCAGAGACCGGGATTGAAAACAGAATCGCGCCAGCGGCGCCCACCTCTTCTTAGAAGGGATGCGGGAGCCGGATTCTTCTTTCTGCGGGTCACACACGCAGATATAATATAGTTATATGTATAGACACACGCATACTTCGGAAAGGGAAACAGGTTTGGCTTTTCTTATTCTCTATGACGCCACGGACGCCACGGACGGACGCCTCCACTGTTCGGTGGCGCCGAAGCACACCCGAAGGGTCCGGACGGCCGCGATGTCCGGCCGAGGAAGTTCTCGCAAATGCTGACGGATCTCGTAGGCCCGAGGAGAGTTCGCGGTGACCCAAACCCGAGGAAAGGACGGTTCTATATCATTGTGTAGGGCGTCCCAGGAGGAAGGATAGGTCAACCGAGTTGGAAGATGTTGGAAGAATTCAATCAACATCATCATGGTCATTTACCTTCTGCAAAGTTTGAGTTCTTGTTTTCTATGGAAAACCACCCGGGACGTCCACAAAACGATACCGTCGACTTGTCACAGACTTATATAAATATATGGTACCCCCCCCCAATAACCTACCCTTTTGTACTTTTCAGCGGTATTTACGGTGAATTATGCACATTTTGACATGGATTTTTGGGTACAAGTTTTAGATCGTTGAAGGGATTGTGGGGGTGCCATATATATATATATATATTGACACAATAAGAAAGGAACCAGTGATCAATGAAGACCTCTTGGGTGGAAACCAGATGATAATAAAAAACACATGCTTGCCATATGTAAAGAATACAGAGAACAAAAAAGAGATACAATTCTTGAAAAGAAAAAAACAGTATCCTGAAGACCACAAAGAAGAAATCAAAGATAACACGAAACAATACTATGAACAGAACAAGGAACAGATACAAGAGAAAAAGAAACAATACAACAGTTTAAACATTGAATGTCCTGTTTGTAAATGTTTAGTTGGTAAATATACAATTAAAAGACATGAAGAGAGTCAAAAACATCAACTAAAACTGAAAGGTCAAGAACAAACAAAACAACACCAGCAAATAATAGACTATCTAAATGCTAATTTTCCATCCTACCAAGAATACTAACAAACATCTTAACAAAGAACACATTTCAAATGGTCCACATCTGGTCGAACACATAAAAGGTAGGTCCCGGGGGGGGGGCTAGCAAATATATATATATAATATATATATATACTATGCAAACCATGCAAAACCCTTGAAAACGATACTGCTTCCGTGTGCGAAACGCTAATGAATACATTCGGAAATTAGCTCATATAAAGGCAGACAGCAATCCATGCTCACAGACATTCACAACTTGTAGCTTCGTCTTGCAGTCTTGCGAGGGCGAAAAGACCTTAAGCTTCAAACCTGTAGAATGCGTGGTTGAAATGCTCTCAAATGAAAGAGGTCAATTCTTGCAGTTGATACTGTATAGCCAACGGTCAATGTCAACCCATGATCACGTTGTTTCTCCCAACACTTGCACTCCCTCAACCTACTTGCTGCGCTGCCAGCTATTTGTCTCACGAACCTGCCCTCCAAGATGGAACGGACCAAGTTCGCCAGGGACTCAGCGCTTTGATCTTTTCCTTGCAATGTGAGAAGTTGAAGCGAAGTCTGCAAGCCATCTCTGGGACATCAGGACATCAGACATTTGTTTGTTTTTCTTTGTCTCATTGTTGACTTTCGCGGCTCAGGAGACTTTGGTCACAGTCCATGTCCATCAAAAGGATTTGTTCCTGGAGGTGTGGAAGAAGGCACGAGCCTCGCGACGCCTCGCGACGCAGTTCGCCGGTTTCGACCCTTTTTCGACGACTTTTTCGCTCTTCTGACCCGAGTAGGCAGGCGAACCCGCAGAGAAGAGCCCAGCCCAGCCCCTCCACTTGTAGGGTACTACTACAGTTGTTAGTACCACTTGATTCGACCATTTCGACTACATGGATCGTTTTTTTCTCCAGAGTTTTGCAAGCCATGCAAGAGTCCGACTGTCTGGGACCGTCTCTCAACTGAGGCTGAGAAGCTGTTTCCAGTGAGCTGAGAACGATGATCCAACCAAACTTCGAGCTCCACATAGCTCCGATGCATCTCCCACATAGCTCCGATTGGTCATTTCAATTCCCATGTCGTGGCGCCAAATATCCACGAAGATGGCACCATCGTGGCACGGGCTGCGAGAGATAGGACTTGTCCTCGTGGAGGTCGGGACTTGTGTTGCAACAGATTCAGACCGCAACTGTGTGAGGCTCGTGAGGGAAAAGTGAAGGATGAGAACGACTTTGAGTGGCTGAAGCAGACAAGGACCGGGGACCAAACCTGTCACCAACAATTTGGGGCACTGTTTTTTGGATCTTTTGGCATGATTCCGTTTGTGTGCAGAGTATGCCAGTATGTATGTCCATACCTCTCTTTGGTAATCAGGATTATGTCAGGCTTGCCCTGAGCACATCGTACGCAACGAAGTTGAAACGAAGCAGAGAATCTGTATTGGCTCATTCTGTGTGAGGCTGTATTGGAAGGCAGAGACCGACCACGCAGTGGTCTCCATCGCCGTGCCTCGCCATCGGTCTCCGCGTGCGGTGAAAAACGAGAAAAGGACGTCCTCGTGGACTTGACTAGTCTCTGGTTAACATGAACATGTGTTGTCATGGGACCAACATGGACTTGAACATTTTGGTAACCGATAAACTTCAAAAGGACCGAGTTCAGTCAACATGGCCACTCCCATTTTTCTAGGGACCTTCTTCCCAGTCCTCAGGGGCACAATGCTCTCTCAGATCCTTTCTTTCGATGGCACAACTCTCCTCCGGGCTCGCGCGTTCCGACCGTGGACCGGTCCGGATGGAAGTTCGCCCCCCGAACTCGTGTTCAGGATGTGGACTTCGTGTACTCCTACGAGTATTTGGGCTGCAAGGAACGCCTGGTGATCACCGCCCTGACCGATCGATGCTATGTGACCCAATCACAGGCGAGGAACGGGACGCGCGCGGGACGCGGGACGGGCGGTGCGGAGCAAGGTGGCTGGCCTGGCGGTCAAGGTACTCGAATGTACTCGATCTAGAGGGGGCTGCACACTGTGTCGCGGTAGAGCAGGTCGCTAGCTGTCAAAGATGATCACTATTATGTTTGAGATGTCGGTCTACAATCTACACCATCATCCCCTGGTACTGGTAATCGGATCCCATTTGATCACGCGGAACGAGAGAGAGAGAGAGAGAGAGAGAGAGAGAGAGAGAGAGGGAGAGAGAGAGGGGCAGAGGGGTAGAGAGGCAGAGGGAGAGATGTAGAAAGTCCCCTTTTCCCGGGAGATAGACCGAGGGCATGTGCCAGAAAAGAAGCTTTGCGCACATGGCTCTTGTTGCCTGTTCATGGCTCCTCTTTTCGACGCTCGGCGCTTCTTCTTCTACTGTGCTCGGAGCAGTCCCGCCGCTCCAGGTCTGTTCCGTCCGCCTTCAAAGCCCATACACCCTCCTCCAAATCGAGGTCATCCTCTCTTCTCTAAAGGACTTGGAGCATTTATGTAGTGAGTACTGAGCACTAATGTTGATTCCAGTCCGGTGATGTTGATTTTTTTGCTTCCAAATCCACCAAATCCACTCGTCTTGAACAAGGGAGGTGACGTTCCTCAGATGTGTTTCTTTTGGTGCCACACAAATCTCCAAGAGTTTTTTCACACACACGAATCTCTTGCTCTGCAGAACCAGAACCCACCAGGGTGTGTACTTTAATGGGGAGACCCCAGGTCGCTGGGTAGACGAGTCTCTTTCCCAGAACCGGTCGCCTTTTTCACGCCACGCCACGCCGCAGAAGTCAGTTGAAACCCCGAGGTTTCGGGAACCTCTTACAGCCTCATGGTTGTGGAATAGACATCCATCCGATAGTAGGAACATACGAATGGAACAAGGCTCGCTAGGAACCAAGGGCATCGCTACGAACGGTAGCAAGGAGCTACGAAGGTAGCTCCTGGAAGGTAGCTCCTGGCATTCCTACTAGGAACCACCAGGGCCTTCAAGGGGTGGTGAATGGACACCCCTTAACGGCTAAGGGGCTATAAATAGACACCCCGACAGGAGGGTCCTGGCACAACCTACTAGTCTGTTCGGCCCTTTGTTCCGCACTCTGACTGCCCCATCTAACCCCCATCCCCATGGGCCCCATGGGCCGCATGGGCCCCATGGGCCCTCAGGCGCTGGGGATGTTCTTTGGCGGTGCGCCGGCTGGGCCGGCGGGCACCGGGAAGACCGAGACCACCAAGGCGAGAGCACCGGTCGACGGTCGGTACATTGGTTAGGGGTGCATATACTGAGGGGGGATCTGAAGGGGAAGAGCAAAACGGAAGCGATTCTTTTGATTTGGATTCTGAAGTGGTGGTGATTTGGGTTTCTACAAGCGATTCTTTTGTTTTCAGAGCTGAGCTGAAATCGCAATACATCACTGATATCCACTCCATTCAAGTTCGAGGAGACATTTTATGGATACATGATGGACGTCGAATGAAGTCGTCCTTCCAGGACATGGGCCGCACATTGGGAGTCTTCGTGGTGCCTTGGACGCCAGAGTTCGGCGCGAGCGCTTTCCATGCGAAAACGGCGAGAGACCTAAAGGGAGACACCTTGAAAGGGAGAACTCATTCCTTTCGAGAGATGGCAGCCAAACCTCACATCCGAACGAACACTCGGGACACCGAACGAACGACCGAACGAACGGCAGAAACCGACCACGACCACGACCGATGGTCACGGATCTGGTGCTGTGCTGCATCCGCTCCAGCGAGGTCGTCACCAACTGCTCGGATCAGCACCGCTTCCGAGACATGGCGAAGATCTTCAAGGGCCTTTGTATGAGTGGACTGTGACTCGAACAGCATGGACGAACGGACCTGAACGGACCTGGACGGACCTGGACGGACCTCGTTCTCCTTTTTTTCCGCCCCAGCTTGGGGGGAGCCGTGCGTCGAGGTCTCCCCAGAGGTGTGGTCGACTCGTCGACTTCGGTCAGAGCGATGTTCTCTTCAGCCTCTTCAGACTAACACCCATGGGCGGTGTGGGTTCATGCTTTGGCGAAGCGCTTTCTCGAAGCCTCCACTCGAAGCCTCCGGTTTGGGAAGATGGATGAGTAATGTAGACTCTTGAGGTACTGTACATCACCCTCCCATTTGATCCCATTTGGATTGAAGGACCTCCCAGCAGTCACCCTCAGGGGACTCCGAAGCTCCATGGATCGCAGACCTTTGTTTTTTGTTGCTGGTCTTTCACTATAAAGGATTATCATCGATTTTTGGACATCAAGAGTCTACAACCTTCCAGGAGTGGAAGGAGTACAGGTGCCAATGACTTATGGAGTACAGTAGAGGTGCGCGAAAGTGACTCCGATGACGGACATTTCTGACCCCAAAGTAACGTTTTTCGGTTGAGACCGATCCCTGGTTCCGCGTGAACTGGACTTTGCCGCGTGAATTCATGTTCTTGAAAGATTTGATCCAGGGCTCACAAGAATACAGAACTGGGTCAAAAACGCAGCTCGTCCGAGTAGCTTTGGGTGGTTGGGAACTCGTACAGTGCCGCTTTGACGTGGCGTTTGGACCGCCTTCGGCCCGAGGCTTAAAGCCGTTCAAGTCCGATTTTGCTGGAACCCCAGTCCCAACCAGAAAGAAATGGATGGAACTCCCCAGTCCCAGCCATTTCCTATGTGGATTTCAAGCTGGAGCCATATTGGAACAACCACCTGGTTCTTCAAAGTGACCTTTTGATAACCTGGTTGGTTCGGTCACTTAAGCCTCCCTAAGGGTCACTGGATGGAACCTTCAAAAGGTCACGAACTGAAGAAGCTGAGCAGTTGTTTCTGGGGTCCGATTCTGGTCCAATCTAATCCCTATAAGATCTATACCCTGGGAGTCCAGTCGACTATAAAAAGAATGGTCTTACTCAGTGACGCGAGGAATGGAGGAATGTCCTTTACTTCAGTCAGTCAACATATATTTTTGTATATATGTCAAACTGGACTTCTAGGGTATAAATGAGGATTTGACATGGGCACCTACTCCTTCAGTCATCACCACTTCCTGTGACTGGAGGATCCGTTTGGAAGAATGGGACCCCTTGGCCGATCCATTCTGCTCTTGCGACCCGGGGCCGATCCCCGGTCAGCGGTGATGGTCCGTTTCAGGTGGGGATGCTTCGATGAGTTCAACCGCATCGAGCTCGAAGTCTTGAGCGTGGTAGCCATGCAGGCGAGGTCGTGCACAATGACTGAATGCAGTGCTGGGGAGTCGTCCGGGGTCCTCCCGGTGCGGTCGGAGTCGTGAGTCGTGCCGGACTGAGCCCCAGGCCCCAGGACCTTGCCACCTTGGCATTTGGACTTAAGACAGCTCAGCAGAGATACCATCTGTGAGATACCAGCCATGTCCCTTCAGACACGCATTTTTGGGTAAATGGATGTAAATGGTACTGAACCGTCACCATGGTTCTTGATGAGCAATAGTTGTAGCAGTCGGCCGTGTTTTCATGAACAGCAGTTCGAAGTCGATCCAAGTCATACTTAAGCTTCTGGGCACATAGCTTTCACAAAAAGTTTGATTATTGATGACTCAGGCGAACGGAAGCACATGAACAGTGGTAGGCTTTGACAGAATTTGTAGCATTGGCCATAGCTGGTGAAGGAGCTGAACAATCCCAGAAGTGGTTTTTGGAGCTGAACATCCGCAGGCGTTCCCGTGGTTTTGGGGGTGTTTGCACCATAGAACCCTGTTTTTTCAGTGGAACATGAAAAACCGGGTGAAAGACCATGTTCACTCATACCAGGACCCTCTAACAGGTCACCACCTACAAAAGCCTCCATTTCGCAGACCTGTTGGAGGGTTTACTCATAGATCGATGTGTTCCATATCAACCGGGCTCCAACCACCTTCTGAGAAGATGGGCCAGGGTGGGAGCCAGGGGGGGTCTAACCACCGAACCTGAGGAGATGGGCCAGGCACTTCTGGGAATTAAACCACCTCCAGTCCTGTGAGCCACCGGGTCCTTGTAGGTGGAGTCGATCTGTTCGGCCAAGCGGCAAGCGGCCGCCTGGCGCATATCGGGGCGGCCCGGGACGGAGCGGCCCAGGGACGGAGGAGGTGGTGGTGGTTTTGGAACACGAAGGGGGCAGGTTTACATGGAGCGGGAACGACCCTTTTTTACGATACCGGTCGACTATACATTGACACTCACTTTTGCTTTGCATACTTTGTTGCTTTCACATACATTTTTTCACGTACTTTGTTTGGATGGAAAGGAACAAGGTTGGCAGTCAAGGGTTGGGATCGAGTTCGAGCACTTCTCTTTTACGACCTGGGTTCGATCGGGCTGGCATATCTAGATCTTCGTCAGTGGGGTGGATTTTCGTCAGACATGAGTCATGTGACATGAGAGGTCAATGTAGACCTCAGAGGTCACATGTAGGCTTCATGACAACCTTCCTTCGACACCCCAAACACGGCCCGGGGCAGCCCGGGGCGCCCGGTGCACCGTGTGTGCCGCTCCTCCGGCCACCGGACCCGGCACCCCGTCGAAGGTGACTGCTGGTTGATAGAAACGGTCTGGACCTGGAAGGGAACTTCTGATACGTCATTCAGTGGACCATTTCGCATTCAGTGATACTGGACTTTTCTTGGGCATTTTACAGTGTACTTATGCCTGAAGTTTGAGGTTGTGATCATACTCCGTTGTGTTGATCCCATTGTGAGGAAATCATGGTCCGGTGCATTTTTTGAGTTGAACATGCGAACTGGCCAGAGACTTTGCGAACTGGCGACTGTGCGAACCGGCGGTCCGAGCACGTTGATTTGACCAATTCGCAAGCTACCGTGGGTCCGATCACACGCACATCGATGTGCTCCAGTACGTCCGCACCGCATGGCTTCTTCACATCACCGCATGGCCTCTTTCTTGGCTCGCCGTTCTTGGGTTTTGGATCTCCTGACGGCCTGACGGTTTCTTCTTCCGTTTGGACACCGATCGGTCCTAAGGTGGCCACCTTCATGTTCCCAGGCGCGCGTTTCGTGCGTTTCTGAAACGCGTGAAACGCGCGAAGAGCCGGTGCGGTGCGGAAGCAGCGTCGCCGCGGAGTCGCCGTGGTCGTCAGAACCGTGGCTGTTTCGTTCGAAAGAGGTTTTTGGGGTGGGAGTCCCAGATGGTCCCGTCTCAGACCGGTTGGTTTGCATTGGATGGATGGATGGACGGATGGATGTCGGCCCGCAAGCTAACCATCAGAAGGCGCCCTTTGGTTTGTTGGGATACACCAATCCTGTATATTCAAATATATCAGACACCCCAGTGAGACTACTACCCCAATGAGACCCCAATGAGACCCCGGTGTCCTCTCGTCTTCTCGCTCAGGCGAGCCACAGCCCATCAAGCTGGTCCCATCAGTGTCTGGGTGAAATCGAGATGGATGGGAACCCGATAAGACGAGAAGACGAACCAGGTGAAACATGGTGAAACAATCAGTTGGGCCACAGAAATCGGAGAGGTCAGTCTTTTTTCTTTGGTTTGGTGATATTCTTTTTTCTAGATCAAAGCCTTCTACAAGACTGGTGCGCACACCGGGTGCTGTTTGCATTGGGGCGGAAGGGATCCGCTCATTCCGCCTCCACATCGGCACCAAAGCGTGTTTGTGGTCACGTCAGAGGGCCCTGGCCCTTCGGCTCAGACACCACCGTGGTCGCAGAGCGTCGGCTGCTGCTTTCCCTTGAAGACATGACTACCGAGGTCGGCTACTTCATCACCATGAACCCAGGCTATGCCGGGCGACAGGAGTTGCCTGAGCTCCTTAGTTGCTGATGGTGTGATGGGATTGGGTCGGGCAAGTGGAGCGGAATTACAGGGAAATACGGCCATTGCTGTTTCGATTTCATGGTTCCATGAACGCAAGCTGACAACATCCCAGCTGGCAACGAAGTAGCAGGCTACTGCCAAGTAAGTTGGCAGTGCGTGCACAGTGCCTAAGCCAACTGGCCTGATTTCTCCATCAGGACACAATGTTAGCCTCCAAACCAAGTGTGGCTGTTGATGGCTATAAAGCTGCCAAAGCACTTCAACAAATTGTTGTTTTCCTCATCTCTCATATCTCCAGTGGCGCACGATTTCACTCCTGCCCAGCCTGCCCCGGGCGCACTACTTCTTCGTTTCACCGGTGAGCGGTTAGCCGTCGTTCGCTGAGGAACGTGAAGGCTCTCTTCCGAAGTGTCGTCGCTCAGCTCAGTGGCGACCGACCGCCCGTCCGGTCTGGGGCGGGCGTTCTGGTGGTGATGGGCCCATCTGCCCATCTGTCTCGTGTGGAAACCGGAGAGGAAGCACCTTGGTGTGGGTACCTCTCACCTTGGGGAAAAGGCCGAGGAAATCCAGATCTTCCACACTCAGAAGAAGCACTCGCTTCAGAGTGTTTCTGTCTGAAACAACACTCACCATCCGCAGGCTCAGATCTAAGCAGATCTATACAGATAAAAGGCAGATCTTCCGAGTCGATCGACCAAACTAGGCGATGATGGTGCCCAACAGAGAGACCATCATGAAGGTGAAGTTGGCCTCTGTAGGACACAGCGCGTCATCACTGAAGGTTAGACCGCGCGGGGTTGGATCACTGCGCGGTACGCGAAGAACATGAAGAACATGCAGAGATGGGGAGTTCAAAGTCTATGTTGCCCATGAGTAACAATCAGCAAGTTTGTTTTGCTGCCTTACTGTACTAGATCCTGTTTCTGAAGCCGCTCAAAGTAGACATAGCCAGCTCTAAAACATTGCAGATGGCACTTGTTTTGATCAAAAAACACCAGGATACTCCCAGTTCGAGCTGCTGGGCAAGAAGTTCTGCATCCTGTATGCCCTTTGCGAGCAGCAGCTGAGCAAGCAGAGGCTGAAGAAGATGCGCTCAAGAGAGTGCTCTCATTGAGCTCAAGAGTGCTCAGGGGCTCGGTCGCCCGACCGTGTCAGAGAGACGTCGCCCATTTCCAGTTCCCCCCTGTCTCTGACCGTGTCAAAAGGGCACCCTTCGGTGGGCACCCTTCGAATTGCCATGCGACTCAGTCGACGGACGTGGTCGACGGACGTGGTGCAGGCACTACGACTTTGGATTGCGGAATATCCTCAGCCGGGAACGCTCAGCCGTGGCAAAACGAAAAGAGCAGAACTCCGAAAACGATATGGGTGCTGGTGAAGAGTGCGGGATTCGGGTTGATCCCCGAACATGAGTTAAATATAGCAGCCAAGCTTGATAAACAAATTAATTGTGAACCTACCATGTTTGGAGGGTTGGAATCTTACTCACAGCCGTATGTATGTGCATTTATGAGCAAACCCAACACTAACCTTTGGCGTGATCAGATGGTGTTTTCAGATGATGAACGGAGTTGGACGAGATTTATCAGGAGAGAACCTTTTTGAAGTTGGTGCAGACTACATGGGACACATGGGCAACATGGGCTTCAGATTCAGTGAAGTGATAATCAGGTGATTGCCTTGTGGCCTAAATATCATGCCCGACCTACGATGACCTTAGGTGTTCTTCGAACCAGTGGTGGAGTAAAGCGACAAGAGCCTCCAGACACTGATGAGGACTGCGACTTGCCAAAGCTCAGGTCTTTCCCGAGAAAGGACAATAATGAGTCAAATTGATCTGCACTTTCTGGAAAAATGGAATTCTATGATTAGGGATGACCTGCTTATTACTAACACGAGCTTGGATTTACCCTTTGACTCACTAACATGGAAGTGGAAAACCACCTGTTTGTTGAGGAAAAAGGGTCTTCCCTTAGGCCATTGTCCATTTCCATGTTAGTGAGTGGGAGTGTAGGTTAACCACGGGTTTTCAAACATCCAATCGTGTCATGTGGCATGGAGACGATCTTTTTGGGACGTTTTGAGCAGTCACCCTGGAGTGAGCGGACACGGTCCAAAAACGGGTCTTTTCGTCCGAGTCCGATGCTGCCTGGCTGCACGTGCTTCGTCAGGATCGAACCCCAACAGATATCCTTTTGGATCGAACGAAAACACCCCAAGAATATGACCGACCGGACCCCATAACGCGTGAAAACACCTGTTTTCGCCTGCGCCTGCCCGGCACGTGGCATGTTCGGCTTCCCCTCTAAGAAGCTGGTCACCACAGGAGATGCTCTTCATGCGCACGGTGCGAGACATGCCACCTGGCTGAGCAATACTTTTCTCTTTTCCATTCCTACCCCTACCCTACCCCTACCCATTTGGGCCAAGTATTTTACTACGGGGGAATCCCCTGGCGCTGGCTGGGTAGACTGGTCTACCCTTCCCGAAGCTCCCCGAACCGAACCTCGTTGCGCCACGCCGGCGGTCTCCCGTGTCCTGAGCGTCGTTCTTTTCGAAAGCTGATCCAGACACCATGAGAACTCATGAGAACAATTCTAGACCCCACAAAATCCAATCATCTTGAAGACGTATCTCAAAATCTCTTTAGGGGACCGAACTTTTCGCACTCCCGGCTCGCGAAACACCGCGTTCGACCTCTCGCCTCGCCTCGCCTCTACCCTCCCTCCAAGACCTCGCTGCCCGATCAAACCACCGCAGCGACTGACGTCGCCAGCACCGAGGAATCTCTCCAAATTGGTCGGGGGCCCCGTCGGCCGCCGTCGGCCACCGAGCGGTGGAACGGGACGTGGAGCGTGGAACGTCACCGACCGGCAAAACCCTCGGGGTATCCAGTTGGTCGCTGGATGGGAGTCCTAAACTCCCGTCCGGTGACCTTTGGGCGTTGTAAAGTAAGCCTAAATAAGTGACCGAACCAGGGATCAAGTTCGGTCACTTTGAAGAACCAGGTGATTGGCATTGAATTGTAGATCTAGATTGTCTATGTTGTGTATCTCTAGTGTTCACGTGACAGCTGCGAAGGTCAGCAGCATTCAGCATGCAAACGTTTGTTCAAGCCACTGAAGTTAAGCGCTCAGGCTGGAGTATTGAACGTAGACCAGGACCCCCTTAAGGGGTGGCTATTGATGGCCCCATAGAGGTTAAGGGGTGTCCATTAACCACCCCGACAGTGGGTTCTAGTATTGGAAAGTCGACTCAAGTTTCCAGTGCCAAACCCTCAGAGCACCGGTCGGCCAGCACAAAGTTCCTCCGAAAACCACCGCGCATGTCGCTGTAGCGTTCGGCGCCCCCGCTCCAAGTTCAGCCGCTGCCGTGAAGCGAACCCAGTGCAGGTGGCGGATGATGTGCCGCTCTTCTTGGCGCTGCTGAAGGATCTCTTCCCCAAGGCGCGACGGGGGGCGACCTTCGTCCCTTGGGACGACCGGCGTCTCGAGACGGTGTCCGGAGATGGACTTCATGGGATGGCACACCTCGGACACCTGGATTCAGTGAATGGACGGGGCATGAAGATCGCAAGTCACATGGAGAGTAGCTCCGAACGAGTCACATCGCGTCGGTACTAGGTCCTCCAAGGTCTCCTGGTTCCGACTGAAAAGGGGAGACAGCCAGTTGGACGCCCCGCAGGCATTTGAACAATCCACAAAACACCTATGGTTGGAGGGTCTCCCTACTATTACACACGCATATGGATACCCAAACTTGGAAGTTCGTGACACGATCGGACATGGATCCATCTTCATCAACAGTACCAGGCATCTCTGCTCGAATCGATTTCACGTTCGCGGATCCGTCTGGATCTGATGCCGCTGATGCGGGTCAGGTGACTGATCCACCAAAGAAGGTCTACAAGAACGTGGAAGATGGCTCCAGGGCCCCGCGGTGAACTTCTATCGAAGAAGACATTCTCAGATGGGTTTGAATGGTATGACCTGCATGATGGATGTGGAGGGGCCATTTGTTTTTGGCTGAGCTGTGCAGCATCTGAAAATACATTCTTCGTTTCTATATAGTTTATTCTGGACATCTCAAGGCCCAAGGCTGCTGTATGATTGATTCTGGACATCTCAAGGCTGCTGTAGGTGTTGCGCACATTTGCAGCCTTTTAAAGCCACGAAGATCGAGGCAAAATGGAGGTCTCAACACATGGACAGGGAGCTCTTCTTCGCTACCTCTTGTATCGAAACATCTCCAATGTTGTTGCCCTCCTTGTGCAAACATGTCGGAAGATTTGGTTGCGGGTCCAAACCCGGACCTAGTAGTCAGTTCTGTTCATTCCCTGGTGGTCCGGTTCCTGGGTGGTTTTGACCCAAGGTCATTTTGAGAGAACGGAAAGCTGGTACAGATTGTATCCATTTCAGGAAGCATCCGACAGTGGAAGCATCCGAAGCCGTGGTTCAAAACGAGCAGCTTCTTTCCCTCGAACCTTCAAGGCATTGATCGCCAAGAACCTTCTGGTTGACTGGGACACCTGGATGCTCAAGGTGATTCAGCTGTGTCTTGACATTGATTCCATGCTGGGACTTGTACCTCTCCGGCTCTGAATGAGTGACTGGCACAGAAGAGACGCCACGTGAACAGGACAACAAGCATTCTGCTCACGTTTTCCGCGAGAGGAATCGACGGTAGAAATCTGCGATCGCAGACAGCTTACTTACCTCCAAGTTTCAACATCCCTTTTTTCGGCGGGCCATTGCCGCCGCCAGTGATTTGTGGGGCCAACGGGGAAGAAGAAAACCCGAAAAGAACCGCAAGAAGAGCGAGAAACTCAAGAAGTGGAGTACCAACCACAGAAACCACTCTGATTCTAGGTCCTTCCTCCACCGGCCTTTTTATTGAGCATAAAGAGACCCAATGCATAGACGCCGACCCATGATTGGCATGCCCTGCAAAAGAGGAAGCCCAGCAGCTTCTTGAACGAGCTTTTCTACTCTTATAGGACGTTTTTCTTTTTTGGATCCGCACGTGAGACGTCTCTTCGCTTTTTGAGGTATGAGACATCGCTCGTGCGCCACGGTTTCATGTTGGTGGGGCCAACACTCTGTGATGCCCTCAGTCAGTGAGTGCTGAAAGAAGCTGGGCAGCGGACCTGATGACCCGATGTCTGACTGAGTCATCTTCGCATGCGATGGATTACAACGGTATGGCTATGGCAAGGATTGCACTAGAGTCACTATAGACTATACTATAGAGTTACTAGACTCAGAGCATTTAGGATGCGTTGTTTGCTCGTTGGTCTTCCGACCAGCTCAGCGGTCTGACGCGGCTTTCCGATGGATGCCTTGCGTCCAAACAGGTGGAAAGACAGAGATCCGAGACATTTTGACCACCTGCCTGCACAATGCAACTTGGTGTTCGATCTCTGCGCGATGCCGAGTTACTCTGCGCGACGCGATGGGTCTTTTTGCAGGTAGCAGAATCCACCTGTGCAGATCGTGCAGATCGTGCTGTGATGCCAGATGATGGCGGCAAGATGACCCGCTCAAGATGGGAAGATTAACATTTCAAAGACGAAGACTTCTTAGTTAGTATAGATTGAATGTGAATCAGCGACAGAGATCCGGATCCTGACGGCGGTTTTTGGCTTGTGACCCCGGAGCTCAAAACCCCTTTATGTGTATCGTTTTGCCTTTTGTGTTCGACTCAGGGCTTGGATGGACAGTGGACACAGTATGGGTCAGAAAAGACTTGCGACCACCAGTTGGATGTCACGTTACCCTACAAGTCAAAGACCTCACTTTACTGGAGATGGTCATACAAAACCAATACTTACTGAGGTACAAGACCAGGTTTTACTGGGTCAAACTGGACTTGTAGGGTTACATGTTTCAGTCATTCATTCCCTCCAGAACCGGATGATGTCTCTCCCGGTCCGTGCCCCGCCCTGCCTGCTGAAAAGCGCAGCCGAGGATGGCTTGGCGCACAAGCAAGTGGTCATGAACCCCAAGGCCATCACAGACTCTCAGATGCCCCGCGGCGCATCGCTGCCTTCGGCGGCCACGTACTGTAACTCCACGAGCCGATTCACGACCCGGTCCGCGGTAGGTCGTCCACTGGACCGGATTTTTTTGAGCTCCAATCCAGGGTTCCAACTGCTGGGAATGCCGATGTGCTGGAAAGAGAGGTCCAAGTTTCGGCAGGTCAAGCGATGTGCTGATTGAGCAGATCTGCCTTGGGGTCTTGTGGTTCGGGGCTCCAATGTTCTCCAGTTCTCCAGTGTGGTCGCCCTCCGTGACCGGTTCCCTTTCGTTGTCTGAACCAGCCCACGGGTCTCTGGCTGCCGCCTAAGGTACGGGTATAAGGATCCCATCAGTGAAGAATGGACACCGGGCGTGTTTGCCTCCATCTGGCAGAGGTACAACAACCGCACCTCGCAGTTGTTGGACGGAACGTTGGAGCGATCGAAGGGTCTGTCTTTTTTTGAGGCGCTTTCGTTGGGGTTGTGCCAGTGCTTTCGTTTCTGTTTTGCGTGAGAGAGAGAGAGAGTTTTGCAGGATTGGGAGGCTCTTTTGGGTGTTTGGAAGGACGCTGAGGTATATCATACAAGCTTTTGCATGCCTTTGCCAAGATCAAAACAGCGCCATGTGGTGGCCATACGTGGCTAGGATGGTTTGAATGGCTGGGTTGAAGGTTACCGGACTTTGACTGCTTCCCCTAAACGCGCCTTCCAACGTTTGGTACCGCAGAACTATCTCTCCATTTTGTGTGACCGTCTTGTAGACTTTGTAGACTCGCTCAGGATCCCTGAAGTACACCACCTGGATCGTGTGCGATGGCCCAGTAGACGCCATTTGGATTGAGCCGCTTGGATGAAGCGGCTTCCGCGAGCGTCTCAGCGGCTTCCGCTGCTGTTTCGGCCGGTTGTTTCGGCCAAAAACGACGGCTGCGAAGAAGGTCAGTGGAGGTCGGAGAGCCGAGGGTCGCTGTTTCGGGGGGGATGAACATGAAGGAAAGCCAAGTGGTTTCGGACCGAAACGGTGATCTCTTTGGAGTCTCCTTCAAGACCTGCGACCTTTGAAAAGGCCTTCTTTTGCGTGTGACCGAACCACATGCCCTGGGATCTCAAGGACGGTCACGAAACTGAAGCTCCTTGTGGCTTTTGGTGTGAAGAGCATTCCAAGTGGCAGTCCCCCAACACCCAGATGAAGATCATGCACATGCACATGCGCATGCCAGCCATCTCTCCAGCAGTTCACCTGTGTAGGAGACACACTTTTTCGAAGTCTGCCTTGAAGGAGACAACGTCCGCTTTGACCAAAATTGTAGATTGTGTCAGTGTGTCAACCGTTCACACTTCAAGGGCCTGCACATGCCTGCACCTTTTCAGTTTCATCAATTCACTTTGGCGGCCTTGCACGTTTCTTTTTCATACTGTAGGTGTTCCCATCCCAGTCCACATGCATCGGCCTCCGCGGTGCACATCATACGAGCCGCCGGGACCCCGAGGGGCCCCTCATACTCGCTTTCCTTCTCGTCTCTGTTCGCTGGCCCTCCCTGTTCGGTTGGGAAGACCTCCCGAACTGTTGGGGTCTGAAGCGTCCCTTTTTTTCCGAGTCATTGCCTCCCACCCCCAGCATCCAATCCTCCCAAACCACTCCGACGCCGGATCGGCATCTCCGTTCCGCGGTGCGGTACGCGCGCGCGCGGGCAAGGAATCTGAACACCGTGCTGGACGACAACAAGATTCTGACCTTGGTGTCTGAGCGTCAACTGATTCAGCGTTTGTGGAGATTTTGGAGCGGCAAACCACTGCAAGGTTTGCTGCGTTGTCTCAAAGGAGAAGCCCCAACGAGCAGGACCCTTCGTGGAAAGAACGTTTGAACGTGCTTGAACTATAGGTGACACTACTTGGCTATTAAGTTTTGTGTGCGACCCCCCCCCCTCCATTTTTATCGGTCGGTCAACCCGCGCTTCGAAGAATCACCCCTGTTTCCCTTCCACTGTGGCACAGCACGTGACACACGCGCACTCCCTAGGCCAACAATGACCGCATTCCCATGACTGACAACTGCAAGATTGTCTTCGAGGTGCCACGTCTCCTCGTCTCCTGTTTCGGTGGAGCCGGAGAAACCGGTGTCGATCGGCGTGGTTGAAAAACGCCACAGGGAGAGCCGGTAGAGACCGGTCTTCTGACCTGGTGGTCGGACAGTTCCGGTCGAGTTCTTTTGGAGTCTCCGACTAAATGGCCCTGACATGCTGTCTTTAGTGGAGCTTTCTCTGGAACATGCGTGCATTGGCCTAGAGGAAACCGGGAATCTTAGCGTAGACGAACCAGAAAAGTAAGGGCTCTCCTCCAGCACACACCTTCTCCCCGCGCGCGAGGTGGAAAACCTTCGAAACGCATCACCTGCCACCGTGTCACGTTTCCTGTCTGCAACGAAGGCATCCGCATCAAAGGCATCCGCCACAGTAGGTGAGAATTGGGAAGGCTTCGATTCAAAAAAGGGCTCCCTTGGTCTTGCCGCAAGTTGAATGAGTACCCACCCAGTCAGATGCAGGCTTCCGCAGGCTTCCGCAGGACCTTCGTCGTGGGGCCGGTCGTGCCCGTCGGACCGATGTGATTGATGGACCGAACGAGTGTTTTTTCGGCGAAAGAACCTGGTCTATGCAGAAAGAACCTTGTTGATGCGGCTTGTGTGCATGCCTTTGAAGACCTTCGTGACATGGAATTATGCTTTTTTCTGCCTAAGGCGCGGGCATCATCTATGTGAGCGCTTCGGACTTGGGCTGGCAACCAATCAAAGACACCTGGATGCTGCGACGTCCGGAAATCAATGCCTCACGACAGGTGGGGAACCGACCAGTGGGTTGGATCACAAGACATACAGCACCGCCCGCCCCGAAGAAAACCGTGGCATTCAGGGTCTGAAGACTACTTTAAGTTAGTTTATTTTTAGTTTACATTTGATTTCAAGGTAATACTTGTTTTCATCAAGTTGCCTACCTTTCAAACCTGCAAGTTGTAGAACTCAGAGATTTCCTGACAAGGACTCCAGCTTGGGAAACCGGCCACCTGTCGGAGTCATATGTTTTAGCGCCAAAATCGAATGGAGCTCTACGGAGCCCAGCTTCGTCGGGTCCCCAGGCCGAAGTGGACATTTTGAAGCCTCTCTTCGACAAGTGCGCTGGCTTTGGACACGGACACGGTGGTTCCAGCTTGGACCTTCGAACGAACGGTTCAGTTGGCATTCATTGCTGCCTAGTGTTCCAGGTCCCACCACTGCCGAACGCACCGCCTCAGCAATCTCAACGAGCGATTTGCTGGTGGAGCGGTTTGGTTTTTTTCCTACTCCTGATCAGGTGGCTGAAGAGCAAGCCCCCGAATTCGGGCGCAGCTGAAGACTTCTTCGATTGGTGCATGCGAAACATCAAGCTAGATGCTTGACTTAAAGGAAGGGAGCATGGTTTTGGGAGTACTGGTACTATCAACTCTGAATTTGTCTTTCTTACATGGCAGGACCGCGCGAATTTGCAGCCCCAACAGTAGCAGCATGCGCCATTTGTATCCATTTGTGCTGATGGAAGAGTCAGGATGAGAAACTGGAAGCCCCAGACTCCCTTGTTCTCTCCAAACCAAAAGATCCTCTACTCTGCACATTTTACTCCTGTACCTCCGTGGTATCAATCGCCATCTCTTTCCTCCAAAGGGAGCTTTTTCAGCGTCAGGAAACGGTGTTTTCCTCACTGTCAGGTGATGCCTTGCAACGATTCCATCCTCATTTGCCAGACACTGAACCTGCTTTCAGCTTCCTTGAAGCCCTATGTGGATGAGAACTCTATTCCGGGAGAGGACCGAAAGAAGAACTCGGTGGGACTGAGACCGTGTGGTGGCAACAGGAGAGGATCAACACCTTTACGGGTGCCTACTGTACTCGTAGGTATACAATGTCCTTCACCTTTGAATCACCATTTGAAGGCATTTCAAGGGCAAAAGCATCGGCACCTTTCTCAGAGACCCCATGTATAGATATGTGGCGTATGTTGATCTTCAAGCACTCTTGACGGTTTCTATCCTTCAGGACACTTACCGGCGCATTTTGTGCTGGTGCATCATGTGGGGCTTCGGCGGCCTGCTGGAGCCTGAAATGAGGAAGGTGAGACTTGGCCTGCAGGATGCGATGCAGTGCTTTACGATGCCGAATCGCCTGATATGGAGGTCCACCATTTGACCGCGAAAGACCTCCCACAGCTCGTGCTCGGTCAGTCGTGCTCGGTGGTGTCAGTCTCCCCACAGCCATATGACTATCTAGACAGCTTGTGCAAGTCTTCCTGGCTCTTTAGGATGGACATACATTGGGCTCAAGCCCTCTGGTCATCCGTCTCCAATCCACTCGAGTCATCCCTCGGTCTTCTACACAAGATGTTTGTTGCTTGCTTCTTCTTCCTCTTTCTTCTTTCTTCTTTCCTCTTTCTCTTCCTCCTCTTCTTCTCCCTCCGTATCGTCGCCCGCCATCGGCGGTGCAAGCGGCGATGGTGGGGTTGCACGATGAGACGACGCCATGAGACCCTTTTGGGCCGAACCCAAACAAAGTGCCGAGAACTGAGCACTTGCACACTGGCCAATTCGAAGTGCTTGGTCCAAAGTGCTTGGTGCCACCGTAGCAAGATCCACTTGATCCTTGGGAAGAAGCCATTTTGGGAGAGGAGCGCTGGGTCCATGTCCGCGGTCTGGACCCACAGGACTCGGAAGACGGGACCCTTCGCTCCACCCGAAGGGTGGGTGCCAGGGCCGGACTGGCAGAAGTGGCGTAGCTGAGGATTTGGGCCAAGTTCGTGGAAATCTTGGAAGAGCACAAACACAAGGACCGTAATACGTTCGTCCGACTCCGACTCGCATTCGGAGGAGTGGTGCTTGCAATCGCAGGCTTCGTGGGAAGGAAGGACCGTGATTACTATTGCCGAAGAGTGAGGCATAGAGCATAGGGGACCTTGTCATTTTGTTAAAACACTTGGTCATTGAAGCGAGGTCAAGCTCGGCTGGCTGCTTGCCTCCTCTCGCTCCAGGGAAGGTTGGCTAGCACCTCCCTTCCACATATAGTTTGGACCTCGATAGCCAACAGATCTCCAAGTGCAGTGTTTCTGCTTTGCGAAGAAAGGCATCCTGGCACCGCCAATTTCGGGAGAACTCCCTTAGCTTCACAAGAAGGCTCGCCTCCTCCGCAGCCGAGGGGCCTCCGCCTCCTCCCGTCTTCTCCCTCCGTCTTCGTCTCCGTCTTCTTCGTCTCAGGACGCGATCCCGCCCTGCGAAGAAGGTCAGACCATCTTCGAATGGGTGCCTGACTGGACCGACAAGACTCGCCCTTGGAAGAAATGGGAACCCGACGAGTGGAAAGCTCCCAAGGCCAGCGCGGTGAGAGCACGCGCGCGCGAGCGCCCGCCGAGCAGCCGAGCAACGGCATGAACCCAACACCGGGACGGGCACGGTGATGGGTTTCGGGCACCACCGGGATGTGATGTTTGTTTGGCCATGAGAAGTGTGTTGAGGTTCTGGTTTTTGAAACACTTTCATCATGTGCTCTCCCAGTATATGACTGTTGCAACTGGTATGTTCCATACCCTTGAGACCCCAAGGTGCCTTCTCTCAAAAGGGTATGTGACAGCACTGAAGCCTTCAATACCGAAGCAGCGCCCAGCGCCTTCTGCTTCGCGCAGGTGCTGAATTTCTCAGCTCTCTTGATCCCCACCATGGACTCTGTGCGCGCCGAGTACATCATGGATATCGTGGCCAAGCACGATGCAACCTGGGCCGAACAAAAAGCCATGCTTTTTTTGCAGTGTTTGGGACCCCATCCAGTGAAGACAGGCGGCCTGTCCCGGCGCGCTGTCGGCGCCGGCCTCGCGTGGACTCGCGCTGTCCCCGTCCTGCTGCAGGTCACGCGGACGCCACCGGCCTTTAAGTCCTGCATGTTGGTGGGTGCCTGGTCAGATCGCCGGGGCGTGACGTTGAAGTTTTGGACGTGGAGATCGTTTTGGATGAGGTGGCCACAGTGCGTGATTCGAAATCGAGTCGATGGCTCTGGGGCGGGACCATCTTCCCTTCTTCGGGAGGGCCACCCTCCTGGTTCTTGAGACACATTCTTTGCATGTGGAATTTGGGGCCTTTCTGATGAGGAAAAGCTTTGACAGTCAAGCAGATAGTGAGCACCCACCTGCAAACGGTGACCCCTGACTCGGATGTGTTCCTTCTATTTATTTCTTCGTGGTCCCCAAATAGATCGTGGCACGATGAGAAAACACATTTTGAAAGGTGCTCGTCTCTTTTCTACCTCTTTGGGGCGTCACACGATACACCCCGTGGCACGGTGGGTCACCTGGGTCACACCGGTGTGGGGAAAACAGCGATCCGCTGGAAGCTTGGAAGATCCAGGAAGAGAACCAGCGGAGGATGGGATGGTTTTTCATGCTGGAACACAGCGGCGTTTTTAACATGGGATTGGATTGGGAAAGAAGAAGCCGAACACGAGAAGACATATATATATATATATACACATTATATTACAATATTAAATTTATATTATACTATGTTATGTTATCTTATGTTATATTATATTATGTATAATTGTAAAGACACGCCAGTGACCAGTCCTATGTCCTTCCAGGAAACGGTGTGTTGATGATCCTATCCTTTCAATCAACAACATCCCACCACAAAAGTACAAAAGGATCCAGATGTTTTTCTTTGAGAATCCAAGCATCATCATCCCAGAATCCTTCTCAGCATGCGGATGGTAAGACCAAGACCTCAGATGGCCATTTACGCCCTTGGTTGATTGATTTGTGGAGGGGATACCTTTTTCGTGTACGACCTGGCTAGGTCTATGGTATCTGGCACGAACAAGCCCATGATTTTAGTAACGATTTCCAAGGGCGGACATTGCTGTTTTCGGACCATCCAACCATTCCAACCCATCCCACTCACCTGAAGTCATCGAACAAACACCACCTGTTTGGTCCTCGGTTTGTCAGACCCGAGGAGCACCGGGTACAGCCAAGACCTCAACGGCCTTGATGTGACTCGACCGACCTGGAGAGGTGCTGCATGGACAGGGGGATCACCTCGGAGGTCCCTCCTTTTCCAAGGGTGACGGTCGGCCTGGCCTACTAAGACTTCATAAGACTTCCAGAGGACACAGCCGGAGAGCTCCGAAGACACATGACCTCTGTCACCAGACTCATTTGGATTGATCAGTTGCTCTAGACTGGTCGACAAAGAGACCGTTTAGCTGAACATCATCGCATTTTTGTTTGCAACACCAATCGGCCGACTGCTTTCGAGAGGTTCATGATTTGGGCCATTGGATTTCACAAGGAGTTTCTGTTCGTTTCAAAGGGGTGCGATCCATGGAGGAAGGATAGGGGTGCCCCTGAACATCACATCCACGGCCACTGGATGGGACGAACGACTCACCACCCAACTCCTTTCGTTTCCTCCTGGTTCTTTCATTTTCCAGGTACCAAACTATGGAAAATGTAAGTTACAATAAAAAGGTCCCCCCCCCCATCATGGGGGTGGGGATGTTCTTTCTTTTTTCTCCCGGTCAGTGCCACTGAAATCGGTCGGAAAAAAAGCCGGTGAGACCTGGGGTGAAACCGGTCAGCGCCCGAGAGATTTTTGGTTCTTTCGGATGTGAAAGCTTGTCGCTGACATAGATGGCCTTTTACTGTTAGTTGGTTGATTAATTGAGAGGATACCCTCAAGTGTACAACCAATAGGCCAATAGGTAAATGGTAAGGATGAGTGACCCATCTATTCTTCCCAAGTACGGACACCACTGAGTCGGAAGACGTTCGTGAGAAGATGTCGGGTGGGAAGAAGTCCTCGCTTCTTCGCCACGCAGTGGTGCGATGTGTGCGAGAAAAACACCGATGGTGAGCGAGGGTCCGGGATGGACAGAGGTCTGGGTGTGCATTTGACACTTTCGAAGCATGGGCTCAGGTATGTTGGCAGATTCTCTCAGGAGGGGATTGCCTATGAACGCGGGTCTGGCGGATGATCCTTTTGGATGGTTTTCCCGCACCATTGGGTGGCTAGAACTACAATGAACTGCACTTGACCAGGTTCAAGTATATATTTTTGCCAACTGACGCCTTGGCCAAGGAAAGATCGATTGGGTGCTTTTGAAGCACCATCTTGAGAAACCTGCACTGATTTCCGTTGCAAGGAATTTCATGGCGTTGCTTCATGAAACAACCTGACACTTCTCGTATCTATACCTGAAGTACAAGTGATAACTCCGATGTTTGAACTATGGCTCAGCCAGCAACGCGCCCATTGCAGGATACAATGCTCTCCAAGCGTTTGAATCTGAGCAGTGCGACCCAGCCGTTGGGCTTCCAGAAGAGTATCTCGGAGCCATGAAAGCAGCCATAGGGGGGACTCATTTAACACACACACACATTATCACACATTATATATATGTGTATATTGGGAAGGAGTGCAGACACAGTTTTTTCTTTTAACTGGTGAACATTCTTTGTTGTTCTATTGCAGATTTGGCACTTTGGTCCAGGAAGTCTTCCAGTCAATTCTGGACAGTCGCCTCGCCGTTCGCCGTCCGTGCAGCTCGTCGCGGCACAGGCATCGAGGGCGAGATTGAACGAAAGACTGGCAAGACCTTCTGCCCACCTGGTGGCAAGAAGATGACCGTACCTTGGAAGACGATCGCTTGGTCAGTGGATCTCTGAAAATTTTGGTGTGTTCTCTTCCAGCTGAAATCACACTTCTGTTGGGGGGTTTGGGCCACTTTGGGTGTGGAAGAGCATTTTTTTTTTTGAAAGGGTGGACGTGGGTGAAAATTGATGAAGCAAGGAATTGGTGAGGTTTCCCAGGGTTGTGACTGTTCATTGGTTGGGTAATTCATTATGGGATGCTCCACTTTCCGATGGCTTGACTGATGGGATATCCTTTCTTTGGGGTACGTAAGCTAGCCAACCACCTGGACATTGGCTGTGAGGTCTTCGTTGATGATGCCGCCATGCCTTTGGTGAACAAGTGGCCAGTCTGAAGACGAACGACAGCAGCCACTGACAGATCCTGACATAAAACAGCATATGACACAACCCTGACAGCTGGAGTTTCGGAACACTTCGACATGTGAACACAGTTTCTGATCATGTCGAACATTTGAAGAAGGCAAAAAGGATAGAGGTCCTTCCTTTCTCCAAGACCTGTCTCCTCTGCGGAGCACACGGGCCAGGTGGGGCGATCAGATCACCAATGAATTGGCGCGACAGCTGATTGAGATGAGCGGCTTCTACTTCTTGGACAAAGACAAGCGTGGGGAAGCCTCAGACAAAGAAAAACAGAAACATGGTCTAATTGCCTAAACAAAACAGAAGAAAAACAAAGTGAGAATGGGGAGAATATGGGGGGGGGCATAGGCATATGGTTCTCTTGAGATGCCGGGCATAGACATCATTTTCCAACGAAAGAACGAGCCGAACGGCAAACCGGTTGGAGGTCGGGAGATGAGGTCGTCCGCTTGAGTGCCCCGGCCTTCCTCGGCTGCGATGAGGTGGAGACTTTAAGAGCATCGAAGGCTTGCAGTACATTGGTGCAATGGGACATCCAGGCCCGGGACGAGGACGGCGGAGGACGGTGGCGCAGAGGTCACGAGCAGAGGTCAGAACACACGGGGGGGTTTGGCCACCCGAGTGAGTGCGGCCATGGGATGGCTTTGCCGTTGAGCTATCGATCCTTCTTTCATGATCTTTCATGGACCTCATACCAGTGTAGTGGCGATTCACGTAACAGCTGGCGCTGATACACACCGGAATTGCTGGTTGAAGAACACGGTGCAAAATGCTCTACACTCGCGTTTGCACGCCCGCTTGCGGAACGGGAGGGCTGACATGTCGGCGTCTCGGTGCTTCATCCTGCTTCCCTAGCATGACACTAGCATACCAGACACCTGCAGGCTTCCAAGAGAGATAAGAGCGACCTGACCTGCGAACCAAACTAAACTAGTGCTACATATGGCATTTTTTTTGGCGAAAAAGGGGCTGTTCAATCCTGGGTCCTCTTTTGTAGCTTTTCGCACCTCTCGAAATCAAGGTGTGGACAGGCGTTTCGCTCAAGTCGGGAAGAGTTGGTTTTTGTGGCCGCACCAAGGCGGTGGAAAGAACGACATCCCCAACCGCTACAAGTCCAAGCACCTTGGCCACAACAAAACGAGCCACGGACCGGGAACCAACAAGTGGGGCCGGAGTGTCCAAGTACCCTTTTGGGATGGGGTCGGGGTGCTCTCTTTCTTTTCCTCGGTTAGGACACAGGGTTTCGCCTTCTGCTTTTTTTGGGGTTTGGACACATCGTAGAATGGAGTACGGAGACATCCACAAGCGATGTGAGAGCTCAACAACTTTCCCAACTTCTACTGGCCTCTTTTCGTTTAAACTTTGCCATTTCCGAGGTTCATGTGCTTCAACATGGTGCTGCCCTCCACGGTCTCTGTGGATAACATCTTCGGCAGCATCATGAAGTCCAAGTTCAGCAACAAGGCCGTCTTCAGTGGGACCGGGGCTCTAGATCGATTGTCTGTCGCCATCGGATGCCGTCGATGAAAGGATCAGGTCGGACGATGATGGTTATGGTGAGGGTGATGATTCCTAGACCTAGATGGACGCGTTTCGACCTGTGCAGCTCTGCTGCGGCAACATCGTTGCGCTTGCGATGAAGCGGCTTCTCAGTTCTTGGGAAGATCTGGTTTTGTCAATGTCATGGTCATGATTTGCCATACAATCAAGCACTAATGAGACGATGTGGAGATGAGGCCATGTCCTTTTGAAGAGCAAAAACCACAAGTGATTCCGATTCTGGGCAACCATCGGAGCTAGGCCGGTGCCAAGCCTGAAGTCATTGACATGAGCAAGAAGCTGACGGCGGCCACGGTGGATGTCCAAACCTGAGAGATTTGCAGAAGGTTTGCTTGAATAACTTTGTACCAGCACCTTCAAAGGGTCTCCAATGGGAGGTCCCTTAGTGGATCGACTTCCATTGGTGACGCCGACATGAAGGTGCTGGTCGCTTTGAAAGAGTTTTGTTTTGAATCAGGCTCTCCGGACTTCTGAGAGCAAGTTCAGTGATTGATGTTGAAAGTTGAGATGAACCCAATCCAAAAAGAAACGGTGGGCGCTCATCCAGAAGCACTGGACAAGTGAGAGTCAAGTGATTGCCCGGATTGGAGCAAGTGTGCACACTTAGGTATGGGGCACTCTTGCAAAAGTGTTCTGTTTGCTGACTCTGTATGGATTCGACACTTTGAGCATGGGAGACAAGCAGGTAGCTGCAGGTATGAGGTTCCTAAAAGGACAAGACATTAATGGTGCCTTCATGTGTCAGAACTTCATGTGTGAGAAATCCTAAAATCAGAAGTCAGAACTCCTGTCTGAGAGGTCCCAACCATTCCCAAGCATTCAAACACCAGCATCAGCATGCACCCCACTAACTAGATCTAACTATTCCCACTCGATCCCACATGCATCCCACGAGCACGAATCTCTAAACTCGTTCCACCCAACTGGTCATCAACCCGCCAAGGTCTGGGATCGTGTGAAGGCCAAGTTGCTGCCCACGCCCTTGCGTTGGGAACCTCGGTGCTCCACCGCCGGTGTTCGGTGCCTCCGGTCCGACACCGAGGGAGTTCCGGCGAGGCAATCCGAGGGAGTTCGGACCTCCCAAGCGGTGCTGTTCGGAAAGGGTCCGCAATGGCCTTGCGGATAGACAGTGTGAGCTTCGGGGTTGTGATTTCTAGAGCTGTGGTGGTACCGGGTCGACAATGCCAAGGAATCACCGGTTGTGAAGTCGAAAAGACACCGGTTGTGGTATGTCCACACTCTGAAATGGCCCTCCGGTCCCCAAGGGTGACCCTCCGGTCCCCGAAGTTCCGCCACTCGTGGCTGGGCGACCCGGATGGGATTCGGGTTGAATCGCCAAAGAAGAGAAGACCTTGAGCCACAGGTGTTTTCTTTTGTCTTCTCACAATTTGGTCATATTAGGGTCATATTAGGATCATATTACTCTATCATTGAGTGAATCCACGAAATATGTGAGAACACACACCAACCCACACCTTGATATCCCCCACCATCCATCACCTTGATTTCCCACATCCCCTTGTGATTTTCAGCCTTCACTCCACCAGAGACCCGTGTCAGCATGCCCAACTGGTTTTCAGATCTATGATATTCTATGATATATGATATATCCTATTTTCAACCGAAGTTCAACCGTTGCCTGGGATGATTGAACCATGTTGAACCTACATTGAACCTCCTCCCTCTTGGACTCGTGCCAAACCGATTCGGATCGGCTCGTCGTTTTACTCAAGCCTCTTCTCTCCTTCGTTCGTTTTTGTCGCCTCGCCGAGTTCGTTTCGGTGCGCCGCCAGGTTTCCACTACGTCTTCAACATGCGAGACCTGAGTCGTGTCTTCCAGGCAATGGATCGGACGGGATTCGGAGGGACTCGAGAGGGGAGTGGCTGGCGGGTGGTCCGAAGTGACCGGACCCGTTTTCACCAGCAAATCACAGAGAAAGGCCCGACCTTTACTAGCCATCATCATTCACTGTTACAGGGAATAGGATTATCGGATAGACCCAATGTTTTGACATGTTTTGGCCAATCCCTGGTGAGAGGGCTAAAAATAAGAGCACAATTTTGAGTATGACATGTCAAATTCTCGGCAGATACGGGGAGGAGGAGACAAGTTTTGACGAGCTCCGGTCTCCAAAAGCGGAAGTAAGAGCCACTGAAGCCCACAAGTCATGGCAAATGGCATATTCAAGCCTGCCATGTGCACATGCCCATGGTCTTCCGCCTGAAGAAGAGCTACTGCACATTTGCAATGCCTGCCCAACCCATGCCTCGACCTCGCTGCCCAGCCCATGCCTCGACCGGGCTTTTGAAAAAGATCCGCGCAGGGCATCATGGAGTGCCCAGTGAACGTGGTGACCACCACTGCAATCTTAGTCGGCTTGTGGAAACACGAGTGTCGCTGGGCTGGCTGGCCCGGGCGGGCACGGGCTCCGTAGGGCGAGGGAGGTGGTTTTGGATCGAAGTGAACTTGGCGGAACCATTTGGAAGCTTCCTGTCAGTGGTAGTGAACCAGGTGCTTGACACGTGTCGTGGCCAAAACGGCTGGATCCACTGTTTCCTATCACTCGAAAGGCGCGGCGCATCTGGTCGAAGGTGAATCAGATTTGGTTGTCAAGCGACATTTGAGCACGTTCGAAATGGTTGCTTCCTCGCTTTTTGGGTGGCAAGACCCCTAAGACCCTTGGTTGCTTCAAAGATGCTCTCCAAGTCTCCCATTCCATTCAAATCAACTTTCGATCTTCCAACTGCCCCTCTCAAAGACCCTCCCAAATCCAGGACCCAGCTCCGGGTCCTTGAGCTTCGAAACTTCTGCTGGCACCGTTCTGTCCAAGGCCAGCGAGTCTTCGCAGACAAGCTCTGCCGAGATGTGGACAAGAACTTGGTGGAGACACTTGACCGAGTCACCAAGACACGACCGGAGCTTCATGCGGAGCTTCATGCTCCAAGACTTCGAGTTAGGAAGAAGGTCTATTTTTTTGACGTCACGAAGTCGCCACATCGCTATAAATATTGGATTCCAAGCTTTTAGTTGTGATTTTTCCGTTTTCTGCAAAAAGAGCCCTCAACCTTGCATGGGGTGTGACCACCGGATTTGAAGGGGTTCTTGGTCCCTTGGAGGACCGACCGATTGAGAGGAGACGACATGGTCAACTTCCCAGGGGCCCTCCAGGTGCCATGACTCACAAGCATATGTCTCTGATTCATCCTCTTTGCATGATCTGTATGTCTACTGCTCTGAAGACTTCATGCATTTGCATCTCAGGAAGACTCTGTCAGAGTCCCTTGGCAACAAGATTGGCAAGTTGTCCAGAAAAATGGCAGAATTCAGCCAGCAACCAAACAGCCTTTTGACGATGCAGCATCGTAGAGTTTAGTATATAGAGACTAATCGAGTTGATCACGAAGATCCGTTATTTTTGTTGCCAGCAACTGTATATATCATACATCACCTCTATGTCGGTGGCAAGAAGAGGCATGAGAATCTAGGGGATCGTCTGATCTCGTCTTTCTTTTCGGCCCCTTATCTTCGGCACGTTCCGCATGGTGCATTGGCAGCACGTTCGCGCGCACGTTCGCGCGCAGCAGCACTCCTAAGAATAAGTTGCATCTGTGGTTTTTGCAGGTTCATGCCCCTCCACTTTGGAGAGCAGTTGGCCTCTGAGAACAAGAACACGGAACCTGGGCAGATCAAACAGCCGTTTTTCTTATTTTTTTTTGCGCGAAGGGGAACAACTGCTTTGGGTTTTCCTGGTGACTGGAAATGGCCCTTTTAAAGTCATGTGAGCCCTGTGAGCGGTTTTTCCAAGATTATGATCTATCATCTATTAGTACAATCTTTTTGCATCCTCTCATAGATTTCTCGTTTGCCTTGCGCAGTGAGCTTCTCCTCAATAAAGCACCAAAGCACAGCGCAGTGATCCTTATGAATCACCCTATATAGAGGCTTTTCTTTCCCTAGCAGCTGCCTTCTTTACAACCTCTTCTCTTCTCAAATCATTGAACGCCATTTGTAGTGATTTCAAGCTGCCATCTTGTCTGAGCTTCCCTGCCTGACCTCAGATTCTGTCGATTTCCTCAGGAATGGTTCGCCGATTTCCTGAGAGAGATCGAGTTTGACGAGGAAACCGGTGAAGAGAAAGGCACCGGCTTTTCCATCGCAGCGTACGTCACAAATCTGGAGATCTGTCCGTACGAAGCCGGTGGGATTGACTGGACCGTCAGGTGCTCCCAAAGTCTACGAGCCAGCTGAGTGGGAGCTGGTCAAGAGCAAGGCCTTGAGCTGATGCGCTGGACTCTGGACTCTGCAGCCGCTGTTTTTGGGAGTTTGTTGATTCTTTTTCGCATGTGTTCCAGTGGGAGCGCGCTCCAGCGCTCTCATTTGTTGATAGACACATCCTTGACCTCCCTCAGCAACCCTTGCACCCGGAGCCCAGAGCCACCGCCCCCGGACTGGGCCGATGTTCCACCCAGCTTCGCCGGAAGGCCTACTTCTACCTGGGCAAGTACAATGAAGCCTACCCGGCGAAGGTGTGAAGCTCGGTTTGGGCCAGGATTGCTGCGAACCTCCTCGGTTTGGCTTTTCTTTAGCGTGGGATGTACGACGCCACCGTGGGTAGACCCCACGAGCGAAAGCGTCGTGGAGTTCGGAAAGGGTGTTCATGGATGGTCCAAGTCGCCATGCACTTTCACGTCCATATTTGTTGGAGAAGGAGGCCTCACTAAGGCAACTATTGGCCTTGGCAACTCTGCAGCTCTTGAGCTGATGATGAACGGTTCCTTTTTGCCTTGGGGTGTGGTCTGCAGGTTTAGTAGTTTTTGCCGCAGGACACACTGTACACCATGAAGATGGATTTTTGATCAAATGACCACGAGGATTCTCTTCACTAATCCGATAAACAAATATATATCTGTATATAGATCATATAGTTGCATGTTTTCTGTTTTTCTTGTATCAAGATTCCTTGCTTGGTATCTTGGTGCGACTACCTGCTACCTCGATCTTCCCCCAAGCTTTGAAATCTGCAAGGCCATGCAGCTGGTGCTCTTCGATGAGGCCATGCAACACCTGATGAAGATCAACCGTGGCTTGGATGGAAGCGGAGCGACGCTTGCAAGAGATGTTGGATTTCTCCTATTTCTCCTTGTCTCACACGGAGTCTTGCAAGGTTCATCAGGAATGGATACTGTATAATTCTTCGCAAGCAGTCTTTTTGCAGAAACGATGACTTCACTTCACCCTTTGATACACAGTTCACAGTTCGGATGAGGAAGTCCCTGAAGCGGACCCTTTTGCAGAGTGTTTTCTGCCAGGTACCATCCAGCAAAAGCGCGGCAGTGCCATGTTGGTGGGTGTGGGTGGAAGTGGAAAGCAGTCTCTTGCAAGGCCAGGGCCTGCTGCGTTTCGCCCCAGGGAACTGTCGTTCCAGCGACCCATGAGGAAGGCAGTTGGAAGAAGGTGCGACGGAAGGCTGACCAACCCATGATAGATGCCTTCCAAATCCCGCCAGCATCGTTCCTTTATGAGTCCTAGTCCTACTTGTTCTGATATTTCATGGGTCAGAAGCAGCCAGAAAAGGACACCCCCTATCCGGATTGACCGATCGAATCCTGAACCAGTTGGGACTTGGGACGCAGAAGCCCTCCATCAAGAGTGGGAAATGATCTCCCAATTTCTGCAGCATTCCTTCCTTCAGACCAGGGCTGCGAAGCTGCTCATAATTCAAGGTTGACTCGGTATGTCCTCCAAGTAGTGTGATAAATTGTGAAGACTTGTCCGCCTAGCTTCGAAAAGTGACGAGCAAACGGTGCTGTTTTCCGCGTGGACAACCCATTGGGCTCCTCTTGTGTGTGCCAGACTGGCGGCCTTCACCTCGGCGCACTATGCCTTCCAGCGGCTTGGCGAAGTGTCTGTGAGCCGGATGATTCTCCCGGGCGTTTTTGACCAAGAATCATGGACTCCAGAGAATCAGACGAATCAGGCACATGACTCAAGACACAAGACATCACAAGACGGATATCAACCTCAATGAATCATTCCTACCAAGCGCCGACGCTTCAGATGTCCTATGCTGAGCTATGGCCGGGGATACGGATCATTCCTTTGCAGAGTCCACCTTCTCTGGGTTGAGCTCCAACACTTCATTCCCTACCAAGTCCACCAAATCCCACGGCGACTTGAAGAAACACGCGGAAAACCACACCCACACCCCGGCAGGAGGCACCGAGGCAGGTGGGACAACTGGATGCCCTGAGCAGGAGCCAGCATCTGCTCTGAGAGCATCCGGTTGGCCTGCCGGATAGTGCACCCTATGTGCAATGCATCCGGGTGTACCAGAGCCGAGGGCAAACCAGCCCAGAGCCGGGTGCACCTTCAGATGTGCGTTCCCGGCATGGCCACGGGAACCCGAGAGTGGCGAGCTTCGTACGTCGAAGGCCTCAAAGCAGCTCCGTCGAACCAAAACCAATGTCGGACCCGTCGGAGGTGCCGGTCCATCGGCGAAAGGCCGCGCATCATCCGCGCTCCACCGGCGTGCAGATGTGAAGGGATTGCAGCATGCAGATGCTGGATTAGTGCGGATTAGTGACATATAATATTGCGAATATTATGCAATGCTCATGTTCTTGCTCCTGTTTCTTTAAGAAGAAGCCTTCGCTCAGGCGCGAACGAAAGAAAGGTATGTAGACAGGTAATTAGATAGATCGAAAAGTCTTGCGCCGGCTGCAAGATCAGTAACCAAATGGGTCCATGTCGTGTGAAACTTTCACCGGCTTTTTCGGGCCAAGTTCCCCATGGCCTTCTTCCCACACCCCCGATTCCATGCGATTCGATATGGAAGGACGTGAAGCAACGGAATGCTGCCAGGATTGCATGAAACAGATCACTTCGCATGCTGCATGGGGCACGACCAATCCACGTGGACCGCAAGACACTGAAACCCAATCTGGAGCTGTTCAACAAGGTGTTTCCAGCTGCAAGTTTTGTATTACACATGAAATCTCACCAAGCCAGAGGGTTTCGCAGATTAGGGTCCATCCCAGATTACACCTTAACACGAAAAGGTCAAGCCCGAGGCGCCCGAGGCCAGCTCTAAATCCTTCGAATCAAAGCCTGTCAAGAAGATTGCCTGCAGATTTGCATTAAACCGTAAAAGCGAACGCCCATCCTGTACCACACACCCGTAGCCAGCTCCAAATCCTTCTAACTTGGACCCGATATACGAGGGTTGTCTGCAAATTGCATCATAGTTGAAGGTTTATCGAGCCAAAAAGGATGCCCCAAACCTTGAGCCCCTGCGCGAGAGGACGCGAGCAAGTGCCCGGAGGGAGCTACTAGAAGCTACTAGTAGTAATGCCAGGAGCTACAGCTACTAGTAGCTTCTTGCTACTACTAGACAGAAATGCCCTTGGGCTCAATCCCGGATTTGTGGCCGCCCTGCCGGCTCGATCGCAAGGCTTTGACCCCGCTGCACGGTAGCTCCCAGAACCACCGCGATCTTTTTTTCAGATTTGCTCTGAATTGGTCCATCCCGTATAGGGCTTTAGTAAGTAAAGGCCACGCCCGTCGCCACTTCTTGGCCTGCATAGCAGAATACTCTGAAGCGTCTACAGGCAGTTGACAGCAAAAAGGGTCGACGCGGAGGCCCCCAAAAGCCCCGGGTCGAGTTGAACCTGGGCCCTTGTAAAACTAACAAGGCGACAGAAAGAATCAATCAAAATTTGATCGGCCAGCCAAAATGTCTAGTAGAACGGGTAGACGAAAGAAGGCAAAATTGTCTACGACAAACCGTATTGAAGGCAAACATGTCTACAGGCACCCCACACCCCGCATTGACTGCTTGATTGCTGGATTCACCGCCGAGCGCGGTTTCCGAATCCGCGGCGCACACGAGCTTCCGCCCATTCCTCCGAGCGCAGCGTCCACCGACACTGAGGATCACCATCACCAAGACCTACAACGACAATGCGCTCTTCGAAGATCTGAAAGCGCTCTGCATCCGCGCGGGCGTCAAGGGTGAGAGTGTGACCTTCATCTTCACCGATGCCGAGATCAAGAGCGAGGCTGGCCGTCGGTGATGTTGGAGAGGCATTTGGATGCTCCCCTTTCATTGAAGCCGTTGGTCTGGCCAGTAGAGATGTGGGAGGTAAGGGGTTGGGGTTGCGATGAGAGGTGCCTCAGCTGGACGCAAGGGGTGACAAGAGGCACAGGATGCAAGGGGTGACAAGAGAAGAACACATATTGGAAGATGCAAACGGCGATATGTTCTTCAGATTTACATGCCACTCCGTTTGAGGTTGGCTATGCTTTCAAGCAGTTGCATATTCCATACATCCATGACGGTCTTACCGTGCCAAATTTGTAATCATGTAACTTGTAACTATAGACTGGTGTCTGATCCTTTCCTCTCTTTCTTTCTCTTCTCCTCTCTCTCTCTCTCTGCCATTTGCAGGGGTTCCTTGAGTACATGTGTCCCAGCTGCAAACAGTTTGACTTTGGTGGGAAGCAGAGCTATCTCTCAGACAGTTGTGGGCCTTCTTCAAGACATTTCTGCTCTGTTAAAAACCTGGCATGACTTCAAACCATGAGATGGCAAACACCGACCCCTCAATTAGTTTCCATACAGTCACCGGAACAAGCAGTATACATTGTGACATTGTACAAGGCTTTCAAGTACATTTTATGCACGGACTTCAAGTATATTGACAAAGCATCCAACATGATTGGACCCATTCTGTTCTTGGAAGTCCAAGTCCACTTTCTTGAACGTTGTTGATCCTTCTCAAGAAGTGTAGGTGCATCAAGCTGAGTCCAAATGCCTGCTCTGAATACCACTCGCGTGTGTGGTGTACTCCAACGCAACGCTTTGGCGCACTCTGCGACGCCTCACGCACTCTGCTCCTGCTTCGCATCCGGAACGTTCGGAATTCACCCAAGGAACTCGCTTCTGGCCACAGGTCCGGCGACGGCACTTTTTGTAGCTGGGAAGTTGGATGAATGGTGTGTGAAGATGTCTAGAGAGATATTTACTCCGTGGAAAGCCAACATGGACCCTGAAAACCACTGGTTTGTAGAGGACAACAGTCTTTCCGGATCCCATTCTCAGGGTCCACGTTAGTTTTGCGGGAGTGTAACAAAAGAAAGACTGGAAGAATTAGGAAGAACCCGGCATAGTTGCGCCATCTGGAAGACATCGTCTCAATTCTGGAAGAATTAGGAGTGATACTCCCCCCAGTCACCATCCCAGTTGTTTTTCAAAGGGGGAATGTAGCAGGGGTCCGGCGCCAAACTGGTACAGGAATTCTTCCTTCAATAGGATTTGCCTTGCAGGTCACATGCCCAATTCCAACAGGCGAAGTGGTTGGCCTCTTTGCAAAGGATGAGAAGGATGCCATGTGTGGTGACGTGCGAAACGACTTTGTCAAGGACAATCCCAACATGGAGGAGCGGGAAGCCATTTTGAGGCCTTGAAGCCATTGCCTCGTAGTGTTTTCGAGGGACATGCCGGCCCGTTGAAAGAAAAAGAAAGGACCACGCTTAAAATTGCTCTAGATCAGCCCCAACAGATCTTACCCAAGAAACCAATAGGAGACCCCCCATGGCCCTTGAAGAAGGACCACCAAGACCCAGTCTCTGGGTCTCCCTCACCGTTCACCCGTTGCCTGTGCTTTGGACGCCACCCTCATCCTTCGCTCCACCGATGGAAGCGCACAGAACCGCCGTCTGCCGCAGACGTGGGGCAGGAGAACCTCTTGAACATGTACAACTACCTGATGGATCGACTCCGCGACAACTTGCACGTGTGCCTCTGCTTCTCTCCGGCCACTTGGACGTAGACTCAACGTCCGAGAGACATGGCACGACTTCGTGGCGGTGCAGAAGCACCCAGAGAACCACAAGGACCGCTCGCAGACCAGTTCGCCCCATTTTTGCCAGGAACTTCGGGTGAGTCAATGGGAGTGGGACCCACTCTGTCTTCTTTCATCACCGAGGTGAACGCCAAGTTCCCCATCCGCGCGCAGAAGTTCCCTGCGGTCTTCACCGTGAACATCAATTGGTCCCTGGTCTCGGTCTGTGGACATCGTCTCCGGTCTCACCCGATCCGTTCGTTGTGAGTTCCATGCAAAGGACGTTCCGACATGGGAACAGAGCTCTGAAATTTCTGCATACGTTCTGAGCTCTTCATTCTTTTGGTCACCGATTTTTCTATGACTTCCCCTCATCCCCATGAAACTCCCGCGGCACGACGCGAAGCGCGTCGCGCGGAATCGCGATTCCGCGGGCGCCTCCAGGTTCATGCCATGGCCAGAGGCAGCCTTGGTGGCGGTGAGCAGCGCCTTCCTGGGCACCTACAAGCGCCTCGGTGCAGCGGTCGCTTTCGCGGTCTCACCCCGAGTCGGAATCGGAGTGTTTCCGTCTGAGAGCAACATCGAGAGACACAGCACGCAGAGAAAAAGACAGTATACCGCAGGAAGCTTCTACCTTCTAATTCTACTTGAGACTTCGTGGATGGGTAAAGCTGAGTCCAGTCACCTGAGCGCAGTTCATGCATATGTTCTGTTGGTGCTTCCTTCTTGGCGTGACGGAGGGCACCGTAAGTTTCCCGAGGTTGGATTGCAGCGAGCAGGACAAGGGTCGACTCTATGCCCTCACGGGCAGTGCCTTGGAGGGAAGGTTTCAGGAGATTGCCAGAAGACGAAAAGATACAAAAAGCATGGGTCATGAAAACAAGAAGATTGGACCAATCGCAATGAGTCGCAGGTTTTGGATGATGATCCACCTTGAACTACTGAATCTGGACTATAGATAGAGACCATCCAACCGCCCTTTCTTCGGGTCCGCCTCCGACCTTCGACTTGCCACGCACTCCGGTTTCGTTCGGCTCAGCTCAGTTCTCCACGACTCGGCTCGATGCTCTCCAGGTTTCCAGGCCATTACACGAGACTTGTGCGACTTGTACTTCCAGCGTGCCCCGGCAGACATGCGTTTTGCCGCGCGTGCGTTCGCCCACGCGTTGTTGACGCGGCGAGGTGAGGCGAGGCGACGGGGTCGCAGCGAGAGAGACGGAGCGAGAGACGGAGACGGAGCCATTGGGGGCGGTGGGAGCCGATTCGGTTGGGGGGGGCCGGTGGCCAGGCGGTGGTTTCGGTGTGTGTGCTTTTTTTTTTGGTGTTTTTTTTTTCTGGTCCAACCTGCTTCACAGGCATGCGCAAGAATGTCTACGTGACCCCGAAGAGCTTCTTGTGCCTCATCGACTTCTACAAGGTTCTCTACGTGACTTGGCGAGTTGGATGTGATCCGGAGTAAGGGCGGTAGTGTGTGGAGCAGTTAACTGTGGAAAGCAGGTCCGGAGTATATAAGGATGCTTCAACCATTGAATTGTTGCATGGTCTTTGTATGGTGCACAACATGCGGTTGAAGCATGCTTCAGTGATCTTCGGTGTGTATTTGACAAACAAATCAACAAGAACGAACAAAGGTGTAGCAGTTTGGCCAGTGGTCTCATGAGCAAGTTTGCGCATTGGGCAAGTTTGCCAGCTGAACCGCATGAGGCTGTGAAGTATGAAGAGATCAACGTCCAGGAAAGGAGCGTGAACGTCGGCCTGCAGAAGCTCAAGGAGGTGCCTCTCTGTCCGCTCGATGGGGACGATGCTTTCCGGCCTCTCTTGAGATCCAACGGGGCTTTTGCAGGCTCAGTTGGATGCTTTCAGTGCATTGGACGGGTCTTTTTTGCACTGAGTCCAATGGTTCTCTGACCCAAAAGCGGCTGGGCTGGAGATTTGTGCTGTAAGAGGGCAAATCAGTCAGAGTCTGATGTACCTATAGGGGTAGATACCTTCCAACATCATGCTCTCTGTAGCATGAAAAACCATGAAAAACCCAAGTCATTCTGACTTCATCTTGGTCCCCCCAAGCAGTCGAACCACCCGATCAGACCGGGTCACCTCTCCAGGTCCGCCCGGTCACCTCTCCTGACCTCCGCCCCCTCGCCGGACGTCTCCGGGATCTCCGGGTCTCCGTCGATCGTCGAGGCCTCCGAGTTCGTGGAGAAGTTGAAGGCGCGACCGGCGCGACCGGCGCGACCGGGGCGACCGGGGCGCGGAAGGTCGGTCCGTCCGTCGGAAGAGGGGGAGGACGTTTGGTCAGGTCGACGAGGTCGGAGCTCAACAGGTCTGTCGAAGTGCTCGAGTGTGTCTTTTTAAAAACTTTTTCCAAAGGGGTTGGTTGTTTCACAGCAGGGTGAGAAAGACCAGATCACTTCATAATCTTCATAGTTAGCAAACGATAGACACCGATGTCGGTTACCTGCTTTCCAGGTGGAGCTGAAAGAGCAAGATGTGGTGCTTCGTGCAGAGGAAAAGAAGACCACGGCACTGTTGGAAAAGGCCGACGGGTGGAGCTGGTACCGCTTTTCGTTGGAACTTTGAGGTCCACTTTTTCTTTTTGAGGTGTGTGTAAGCAAAATAGCAATTGATAGAGGAACATTCATCTTCAAACCACTTTTGAATATTCAATACTCTTTGAGGTAAGCTTACAAACAGTGAGAACAGTTGATGGTTCGTGTCCGGACAACTCGACCAGTTTACCGTCTAGCAAACCAACCTGTAATGGCGTCACGCTTTGGCTCCTTGGGTATGTTTGATGGACGTCCATGTTTGGCCAGGTGATGGCGGAGAAAGCAAAGGCGGACAAGAAAGCTGAGCAGGCGACTGACGTCGTCACGCGTGGTATCGATGCGACACGCCATGGCTCTCCCACCGTGCCCAGTACTCCGAAACCGGCACCGTCTCCGTGCCTCGTGTGGCGTCACGGTCCGCGGTGTGCACGCAGAAGCCCGGTCAGGTGAATGGGCAGAAGGCCGAATGCGAGGCGGAGGCCGACAAGATTGAAGGCCCGAGGGGGGCGGGGGGACGCGGCTTTTTTTCGGTCGAACACGGCTGCGGGTCGGGGCGGTGCGATGTGCGATGATGTGCGCCGGTTGGAACACCAGGCGAAAAGAGAGCGGCCCAAGTGGAGCTTGACAAAGCCTTGCCCTTCCTGCATGAGGCTGAGTCTGCTTGTAACTCTATCACCAAGAAGGACAGGTGGGGTGGTGCTTGGTGCTCGGGCCACTTGTTCGGTGGAAGCAGCGCCGGGGCCGGGAGCGCTGGTTAGAGACTTGAAAGGTGGCACTGGGTTGTTGAGTGAAAGATGTTGGCACCTGCCAACTGAAGCTGCTGGGTTTAAACACACCACACTCCTCCAGTTGGCTGCCATACCAGGACATTACAGAGATTAAGACCAACAACAAGCCGGTGGACATCATCAAGCTCACCTTCGATGGACTTCAGATCTTGCAATCGAAGCCGGTGATTTCCGTCAAGGCGCGCCTTCCAACGCCGTGATGTCACGGGGGCGGAAGAGTGGAGAGCTTCCACTGTGAAATCGAAGCCAGTCACGGGATAGCTGCTTTCAATGCCCTGAAACAAACATAAGACACTTCCCCCCCCCAGTTGAACGAGGGCTTTGAGCAGACAGTTGGATGAAGTCTTCTGCCGGGGGGGCCGGGATGCTGATTTTCGGCTGGTGTCGTTTTGCTTGGCTGCAAGCTTTGTTCTTAAGATACATGCTCCAATCAGCACCACTCATGCCACCCTCGTCGCAGGCGGAGGATAGGTTCATCAACAAGGTCACTGCCACCTTCATCTTGGACTCTTATGAGGAGTATGCCAAGAAAGAACTCCAGGACCGTGCCCCTTTTTCCATTCCATTTTCTTTTGGGGCTATGGCCGGGAATGGCGTGTGCGGTTGCAGGATATGAATTTCTTGAGCAACATCCTGGACTTTGCCGCCAATGATAAGGACTGCGCGACTGCGTCCTGTTGTGGAGACACATCTTGAGAGCGTGAAGACTGATCCGAGCGGACGACGGTCCAAAGATGGGTCACTGTTTGCCACGTTTTTTCATGTTTTTTCCATCTTTGTTTCTGTGTTTCTCCGCCCACCCACCCCAAGAGCCACTGAGCATAGCCACTGACTGGTGGCATGACGCGTGTTAGCTGAAGGGCTGTGCACAGTTGCGACGCTCGGACGTGACGGCTCCGACGTGTAACGGCCACCCTTGGCGGGCTCTGCCCGACCCGGCACGCCCCGCGACGCGGTGCGACGTGGTGCACACCGAGCTGGGGTGGTGTGGTTGGAATGAGGACTCCAGGTGGCACTAGTGTCGTACACATTACATGAGCACGCTCACATGTAGCATTGCAGTAGTATATTTCGGCCTGTATTGATTCTATAGCAATTGGCAATGCTATAAATATAACGTACCCGGGTACTGCTTTTATACAACAAGATGTTCGTGCTCCAGCCAGTTTCTCGACCAAGCGACCTGCCCTTTCAACACTTTCGTCCGCTGAACCAGACTTAAGTAAATAGGCTGGGAATATCCGTTTCAAGGAAGCTGTTCATGGGCCCACGGGTGCCTTTTAGGAAGAAATGGAAGTTGCCACCCTGGTAGGACAGACAGTTCTTCCAAAGAAAAGGACCAAAGAACATTCATCAAAAGGAGCAACAACTCACATATTCTCACATTGCCCATTTGTAGGACAACATCAACGATGAGACCTGCGAGCTTCTGGAGCCATACCTGCGCTTTGACGAGGCGGGTGGCCCGTTGGCCTTTGTCGGACCTTTCGCTGCTTTGAAAGGCGGCTTGAAAGATGGCAGACTTCAGAGAGTTGCAGGAGTTTAGTTTTGATTCTCAAGTCTTGTTCAATGAAGCTATCATAACGTATCATCATCACTAGTATCATTAATACCTCAGTATATATATATATATGTATATACTGTATATATAAAAATATACATACTACCTACCTTTTCCATTTTTACAGCTGCTGCTTTTGCTGCTCCTCCTCCTCCTCCTACTACTACTACTACCACTACTGCTACTGCTACTCCTACTCCTGCTCCTCCTCCTCTTCCTCCTCCTCCTCCTCCTCCTACTTCTACTATCACGAATCAGTTTTTTGGCAGCTGTCCTCTCTTGAGAGCAGTCCGGCAGTACCTGGACCACCCTTTTCCATTTGACCCTGGGTCCCCGGAGATACTTCTGTGGTCCTCCATTGATGAGGATGTGAAAGGACCACCCAAATTGTCCGGGTCCGGATTTCTCGTTCTCTTGGTTTGAGATAATTATAGTTAATTATGTGATTGATGCTGTTTCTCGCTGATTTCATTTGAGATGCAAGTTTATCGCTGATTTCTCTCGAAAACCATGGCAAAACACCCCAGCTGGCCCTTGTTCATTCTCATATTTGCCAGATTTTGGTGTTGAAGTCCTTTCTTTTCGGATTGTGGATTTTCTCTTCTTAGGGCATGTTCCTTTCTGCTAAGGACGCCTCTAAGAACTGGAGCCCCTTCTCGCACAAGGCGCGGAAGACACGCTCCGGCTTTCGTGGCACAGGGCGGAGGGGAACCGAGCGGCGGTGACCTGCCAGGTGGTGACACGAAAGCCACGTCCAAAGCCACGTCCCATTTCAGCCACGGACTGGCACGTGGCAGGTCACGGGTGGTAGGTCAGGTTGGCTCCTCGAGTTCAGGTGCTGGTAGTTCTGTTCTAGCTCCTCGAGGTCCACCATGTAGATCTTCGCATGGCCAGCTGGCCGAGCGCCCAAGCGCTCAGGTGCTGGATCCCGAGCTGGCCGGCAAAGCCAGTGGGGCAGCAGCAGGTTTGTGCAAGTTCGTGGGGGCCATGGCAGCTCGGCGGTGTCGAAGCCGAGAACAGCACAAGAACGCATATATGGCACGGCACAGTGTGAGAGAATGAATCCGTGATGGGCTGCCTCACGGAAGATGGATATCATTTCAAGATGTGGGATGTCTTGGAACCTTTTTGAGTTTTCTGGTCATGGTAAGTATAACATATAGTATAACCAAGATTCAACCAGCCGGGGCTCCCAACGTGTCTTCCGACTTAGACCTTGATCTAGCCCAAGCAGTGGTTGGGATCTCCGCATCGAACCTGCAAGAAATTCCTCCATCCATGGTCCTCTAAAGTCCTTCTGTACTTTGGGTCTCTGTCCACTTCTCTCGCCACGCAGGTGTTCGCTGCCGTGATGATGTACCATCCAATTTTGATCCAAATCGTTTCGTCCATCTCCCCCTATCTCCCCCAAGTCCATCCACTTCGTGGATTCTTTTTTTTGCAGATTGGTTTCCCCACTGCAACAGGTAGACCCTTCGCTGCACCTTTCTTTTCCATAATCAGATCGTGTAGGCTGGTCGGTGGCAGGCTCGTCCGTAGTGCAGTCTGGGTCTGACCACTCCATGGGTCTCCTGACCACTCCTGACCAGTGCAGTCAGCGAGTTTTTTTTCGCGAAACTCCACGTGCCGCAGCATCCACGTGTCCCATGCTGCGATGTGTCCACGGCTCTCCCTTTTGGTGTTTTTGTTTCGCCGTCGCCTTCGGTGCCGAGGTGATGTACCACGGTGCGGCGAAGATTGTGAAGCCCAAGATGGATGCCTTGAAGGTCGCCGAGGCCAAGCTCTCCAAGGTGCGAAAGCGCAGACGGCCGACGGCCGACGGCCTCGAGCCTCGCTTTGCTGGGAGAATGGTGGAACTCAGACAACCACCGTCCGGTGTCTTTCTGGCCCGAAAGGCTTAGGATTTGTGTTTTGTTATAAAAAGAACTTTGGCATGCTCCGGATGTCCAGGCACGCGCCGAGTTGGAGGCCGCCGAGGCGGAGCTGAACAAGGTCCTGGCAGAGGCGAGGAGCGAGGAATCGGCACCGCTGGTGGGTTTTTTCAACCGAAAAAGACCCGACCGGTTGATCGAAAAGGACCGGGTCATAGGGTCATATAGGGTGTGTATGTTTTTCTTACCCTGGCCCAGGTCGACTGGTCATGACTGGTCGATGGGGCGCGGGACGCCTGGGAGGTCTCCCTATTTTACTACACACCCAATAGACGACCTGACTAGTCGGTCAACCTACCAGGGTTGCTCTTCCTACCCGGGCGACCGCCGGTTTTCACGGGTGAAACCCACGGCGCTCGGCCGCTTCGGGGCCCTCCCCGTGGATCGGTCCCCAAGGAATCCAGGTAGGCAGAGTTTTGAGAGTCCAGACCCCTGCGTTAGGGCCAAGGCACGGAAAACCTGAGGGCCTGAGTCAGGTTCCTTTCTCCTCATTTTTTCACAGAACTCGAGAATACACGACGTGCGGACTTGATTCACTCAGTTTGAGGTTTTGGGACTGGACCTCAGGAGACTGGATGGTCGGACGGGACCTGTAGGGATGGAAATAGGGAGAAATGCCTTGAGGTTGTTAAGTCCTTTGGTCCAAAATCCCGGTTTCAATGCACTTATATTCCGAATCCATCCGAATCCCAATGATTGTCAGACTATCCATTCACACCCGAAATTAACATATCCCCAAAAACGGTCTTGGAGGGGCCACACGTGCTAAGTCTGTTCCCCTTTTGCTTGGGCGTTCGCGTATCAACACACTGTATACGTGTGATTTGCATGGCGCGGAACATTTGGACCAGGCACTTCTGACCTGACCTGACCTGACCTGTCACATTTGGCGGATATTTCCAGCTTGGCTCTCTTGGCACCTCTTGGCTCACGTCGATCCTTTTCTTCGGTTTTGGCCGATTGGCCTTTTGTCGCCTGGCCCGAACGGCCTGAGCCTCATGGCCGAAAAGCGCGCCGAGCTGAGGTGGCCGAGCTGGATGCGGAATTAGCCAAGGCCCAGGCGGTGATGAACACCTTGAAGGAGACTGAACACATGGCCTGAAAGCATGGCCTGAACGCATGGTCGGTGATTCTCTCCTGGAAATGATCATGGGAACGGTGGATGGCACAGTGTTGATGATGATGATGATGATGATGATGATGATGATGATGATGATGATGATGATGATGATGATGATGATGATAGCAAGCAAATTGAATTATATAGACCTCACAGGGTGAGAAGACCATTCTGAGGGTGAATGTGTGAGGGTTCAAAGACTCGACGGTCGACCTTCGGTCGCTTTCGAGTGCTTCAGTCTTTGGGGCAGTTTGTCTGGGTGCAATGTGCCATGGATAATAGATAATTACAGATGATAACGGATGATAAGTGTGTTGGTGAGGCTGGTTTATTCGGTTTATCTCCATATCCAACTACTTTGTTTCTTTTTATGTTGGAGGCTGATATGATAGTTTTTGTTGGTCTTCACCAAGTGACATACGAATGGAGTTTTTTCCCCAAACAGTGTGTCCACTCTGAGGAGTTCTTACGGTGTAAAAGCCCGGGTTCAATCAAGGTACGCTCTCTGACTGTTTGGGATCTCTTGCAAGTCTCGCAGGTCAGTCTGGGAGGCAGTGAAACAATCGAGTCACTCATGGACGCCCCTGCGAACGGAGTGTGTCGACGCCGCTGAAAACTGAAGAAGCTTGTATATGTTTTTTCTCCTCCCGGAGGCCATGCCAACGCCTTGCTATTTTTTGACGTTGCTTCATTTCAGGGTATGAAACAACCAACCTCGCGACGGGCGATTCCCGTCGCGACGGGCTGTGGAAAACCTACGGCAGGAGAGTGCGGCGGCGATGCAGCGGCAGATGGACGCCGCCAACAAGCTGTTGTCCGGGCTGAGCGGGGAGAATGCACGATGGACCGCGGGGTGTTTATGTGTGGATTCCATGGATGGTGGAAGGTCCCACTGTTGGAAGACAGTTATACGATTAACGTAGACCCTTGATTGATACAACCCAACATATGAAGAGTACTAATCAAGAGTCCCATTTGGGGGAGAGAAGGCAGTTGAAGGTGTTTGTGTAATGAGAACCCACGATTGATGTTGGAAGGCCACCTAGTTGGAAGAACGAATGCCCTCGGACACTTGGGCAGACCTCATGCTCAAAGTATGAGCTAGGCAACGACACTGCAAATCTGTGACATTCTTTGACCCTGCCCGACCTGGATTTGCCTAAACAATGTTAAACTGAAGACACTTCTCCCATTTCAGATACCCCGTCCCATCCAGCACATGCCATTCATCCTCTTCCATCTCGAATGGGTGCGCTTTCTTGTTTGGGGAATGATGGGAATGTATGCATACGGGGAATCGTGGAACACCACTTCTTCGATTTCGGATTTCACGGTGATCCGACATCGGCGATGCCATCCACGTTTCTTCCGTGATGATGAATCCACCTGGAATGTACGGTGCGCATCTGTTCCTGGAAGAAGAGCTGCATCTGGGTCGACGTTCGGCGACGTCTGGCTCTTCTGCAGGACGGAAGATTCCAAGAACTTCGCCTTGCGGCGGAAGAGGCGGCGGCCGATGTCTCCCGCGAAGCGGTTCGAGAACGAGTCGGGCAGAAGTCCGAGTCCGGACCCAACCTCCCTCCCGACCTCCATGGTGGTCGGACCGAAGCTCCACCTTCGGATCCGGACCCGGAGAACCCGGAGAACCCAATAGAAAGAGCCCCGGACGTCTGAACGGGCAGTTGGTCTGTACGTCCAATCCGTTGGATCGACTGCTTTCGGGTCCAAGAGGCGATCGAAGAAGAGGCGATCGAAGAAGGTGCAAGATCCAGTGATTTCTTCTGTGTAGGGTAGTAGGCCATCCAAGGAGTAGTTTGGATTCCATCCATTGGATCTGAAGGATTGGATCAATTGGCTCCCACTCTGAGCTCTCGGTGTCTCCAACGGGTCTCCGGCTGTTCCGCGCTCTCTTTTCGGGGGGCTTTCTATTTTGACACATCCTGAAGACGAGGCACCTGCCCCGAATGACCTCGCTGCCTCGCTCGCAGGCTCATTGGAGATGTGGGATGCGTCTGTGCCTTCGTCATTTACTGCGGCCCCTTCAACTCCGAATTCCGGGACAAGCTCTATGCCATGTTCCAGGCGGTGACTCAAAGACCGTGGTTACCCTGACGTCCGCCAGCCGGCGGCTGGGGATGTGTGTCTCTTGTGACGACGGTTTGGCTCAATGGTCTTTTGAGCTGATGCCATTGATGGTTGTATCGATGCCTTCCTCATGAAACTCATAGTTGGACCGCAGTGGTTTCTCAATGTTTTTTGCCTTCAGTCCATTCAATCCTATTTTTCAGATGGACGACCTCTGGCAGATATGGTACGCTTCACAGTACGGTACGATGCCTCTTTGAGAGTAGGTTGTTGCACGCCTTCGAGTTGTTGCTTCACCAGGCGGACACTCAGAAGCGAAGCGTGCCAGCGCATGAGAAGGCAGGGGATTCGCTACACAGCCTACGCAGCGTCCCAATGCACCAGTACACGGGCGCATTCATCAGACAGAATTCAGTTTAAGAGCTGAGAAAACGGATCATGAAGCTCCACCTGGCCGAGTTCCTCACCCATTTGTCCCGCCTGTCGTAGGAAGACGGGAATATCTTCCTCAGTACTTGAAATATTTCGTGACTCAAAGGATTCGCTGCGACCGGGCCGAGCAAATTTCCTAAAAACGCGAGTTTCCTAAAAAGCATTGAACACACACACTCTCACATTTTTTGATTCAAGAATCAAACCAAACGTGTTTGTATGAATGGCGGCTCTTTCCAGATGAACATGATCCAGACATATCCAGCCACCAGCCGCTTTAAAAAGACCAACACTCCAATCACATGAAAACGAGTCGCTGCCCTTTCTAGTCGAATGCGAACACTTTACCCACACCCTCCCAACGGCGCGGGCGGATTGGACGCTGGGCCAACACCCTGACACCGAGACCGCCGGCGGGTGTCTCACCGACGTCTCTCTCCGCACACGCGCGCAGACCCCTGTGGTGTCCTTCCTGGTGGATCAAGGCACCATCGGTGAATGGGCCTTGGAGGGATTGCCCAGTGGGGAGGCTCAGGACGAGTACAAACGAGATTGAAAAACCTGAGGATGGGTCGTCCTCCCTGTTGAACGTGGTTAGACTGTGTGGATGAATTACACCCACCCAGACATGGATTGTTTTCCACCTCGTCTCAGATGGATTCTTTTCTTTCTTGATCAACATGTCCAAAGATCTTCTAATCACACATTCGCCTCAAAACCGACACACGGACGCGGGACCTGGGACCTCGGGTCCCTCAGGTGATGAGCTCTCCATCCAGAACGCCATCATGGCCACTGGGCCGCGGGCTGCGTAAAACAGTGGTCTAGGGTTGTGTACGTGCGCTTGCTCAGTGAGTGAGTGACTGGTTCGTCTATATACTAGATGTCTACTTTCGTCTACTCCTGCACTTTGTTTCGCTATGCAACAAGAGGGCATTGTATGTGATGTACCCCTTGTGCAGCATACTCCGGCATACTCCTTGTTACGCGTCGTTCTACAGATACATGGAACTGGAATACACATTGTGCCTACTCTGAAGATGGTTGCCTTTCTATTGTGCCATCAAGTTCTATATAGTTCTATATAGTTATATAAGTTATATATATATATATACATTATACTTATTCTGTCGCCATCAATGCTTGCCTCGTTCTTCCCTCATTCTTCCACCATTCTCCGGATCACTCCTCTCGAACCACGGAGCCAGACCTTCCATACCAACAGAGGTTGAAGGACCTTAAATTAAGCTATCCCAGTTGGGTACCCCTGGTGACGGGTCCTAGTTCAGGTCACTTATATAACCTCTCTTGGTAGTGATCCATTCCACTTCGGAGCAAACACCCAGCTTGATCGACCCAGCGCACCCGATCGGCTCGGATCGACCCCCGAGTGGGAACACCGGGGGAGACGGAACACGTGGTCTGGGTCCCACGACGGCCAGTCGGTGGCTCACATGGGAGTTGATCAATGGATTTCTGCCGTGTTTTTTGGGGGTTTTTCTTTTTTTTTGCATTGCGATTCTCAGATCTTGTGAAAGGAATATTGATCCACATACCACATACCACATACCACATACCACGTAGCAGCACCCTCCGTTCGATCCGTAAGTGTCAGGGTTTTCAGGTTCGACAACACAACAACACGGGTGGTCGGGTCTCCCTGGCCAAGAGGGGGTTGGTGATGATTTCATGTGCATATATAGACCCTCCCCAAATATAGTTAGAAAAAGTTGACCCCGCTAAGAATGTATTGGAAGCAGTTGGAAACCGGTTCTATTGGGACCACTATGAGCTTTATTTAGAGGTAGTTTATTTGTCAGAAGTCAACGTGACATCCACTCTGCAGCCGCACCATCACACTCCCACTCCTTTTGCGTCCGCCTTTTTCCGCTGAAACGGCGCCCAAAGGCGGATTCCTGCTGTCAAAGGTTCCTCCCCAGAACTGTCAAACCATTTTCTCTCTAAAATGAGGGTCCCCAAATGGATGTCATAGAGTCAGATGAGCGTTTCATTGAGTTCGCTTGATCTTCTCCGCGCCCGCCGCCCGCTCCGAGAGATGCCAGGTGACCCGCTCCTCGCGCTATCCGTTGATGGTGGATCCCCAGGGACAGGCCAACCGTTGGATCAAGTCACGTGAGAAGGCGCGGCTCCGACCGCGCGTCCGCGCGACCGCGAGGCCGGTGTCTCTTCGTCCGAACCGGGACCTGGGACTTGGGACGGCGGGTGGGGCAGATGAGGTCGGAGTCATTGGTTTAGATGGGTGAGGTATAAGATGAGATGTCAAGAGGAATTTGGGTTCAGAGCCTGTGGGTCAGAGCCTGGTATACTTCACCCACCATGGACCATGTTCGACCATGTCGCGATATGTCGTGGAAGAACGGACGCATCTGGTAGGTTGTGCTCATCCGGGTACTGTGACCCACAGCCATATGGTTTTTTGAGGTTTTTTGAGTTTCAATTGAGGTCCAGGCGGAGGGAGTCAAACAAAGCTTTGTCCACATACCTTTTTCATGATACCCTAAGAATCCGGGCCCTCAAACAGATAGGGTTTTGAGGGTCCGGACCCCTGCGAAGGTGTCGGGTCATGGAGAGCCCGTTCGGATTCTTAGGGTATCAGCAATTTGTAGGGTTGGTCACATCAACTATGAACCGGCAGTCACAAGACCGGGGTGGTGTTTGGTCGCCAGTGAGTGGATGTGGATGTGGGCACCCCGAGGAACCCCTTTCGGAACCAACACCCCGGAGCGAACAACGTGACGGCCTGGAAGATGGGTTTCGTTGAGTTCCGAACCTGTGGCATCTTGTGGCCGTCGCTCGCTTGAAGCGGCCGCAAGCAAGCCATCGCTCGCCGGAACCGGTGAGTCCGCCGGCCGACCCCGGGCGACGCGCGTGAGGGGTTTCCGGACAGTGAGGGGCGACGTGTCGAGACGCCCCCGATGACACAGGCCAGGATCAGTGAGAACCCAGCGATGTGCATCACAACGCTCTCAGCCAAGAACCTCAAGGACCAGATCGAGTTCACCATGGGTGCCTGGGCGGTTTGGGGTTCAAGCTAAACCCGATGAAAGGAGAGCCAAGACTTCCGGGTTTCAACCTGAGCAGATGAGATCATATGAGCACACGTTGGTTTGACTAGAAGGCAACAAAAACCCTTTGCGAGCCTTAGGAGTCCGGAGGTGGATGAAAGGTTCAACAAGGACGAAACATCTATCAGAAAGCTGTAGAAGAGTTGCAGTCCATTCAAGCATATTCAGACAAAGTCCTAGACTGTTGCTCTCCATCATTCTAAACATTAGTTCACCTGTGAAGCTGAACTGCCGACCAGGGTCAGCCTCCAGGTCACATTTGCCACTGGGACATCTAAGGCGAGGGTCTTTGCTTGATCATTGAGAACGTGGAGAACGAAGTGGACCCCATGCTTGACCCAGTCTTGGACAAGCAGATCATCAAGAAGGGCCACTGGGATACGGTCATTCACGCTCTGTTTGCTTCGACCTGAACCAGGTCAAGTCTGACATGTGAGAACGTGGATCAGGTTCAGGTGTCCGGAACGAGACGACCCTGGTAGGTTGGCCGAGGTCTCGGCGCCGGTCGTCGATTCGCATGGCGACCTGGGCGCAGGGTCCTCCAGCAATGGTTCAGCTGGGTCCCCTGTTCAGCAGGCGTTCAGTACTTCGGTTGAAAGGGCGTGCAAAACCCCGGTGGTGGGGTTCTCCGGTAGACGCTCGACCCGTAGGATGCTCCGTTTCCTTACTTCTTTCGTGCTTCAGGAAAGAACAGATACATCAACGTCAGCGATCAGAACATGGACTACAAGGCGGATGTATGAGCAGTGCAGTCGACTCCAGTGCCGTAGTCCATGAGTGCCACTTTGGTGGAGCCAGACTGGTCCTTTGGCCATTCCATCGCCTTCTGGCCGGGTTTTCCGGTCGTTAACCCAATCTCCTCGTCGTCGCGGCCGGTTCTCCAGGAGTCCTTCAGTCTCTACTTCACCTCGCGACTGCCCAACCCCCACTTCAGTCCAGAGCTCTCGGCCAAAGCCACCGTCCCTTGGGCGCCTGTCGGACCGGACCGGTGAACGGACCGGTCGGTGAGTCGGTCTGGAGAGTCGGTCGGACCAGTCCACGGTGGCACGGACACTGGTCTGACAGACGGTCCGAGGTGCTGCGAAGAAACCCGACCAGTGTAACAGTGTCAAGTACACCAGGCGACTGAAAAGCTAAGCAGTCGAGGACGTGGACAGGTCAGGAGGAATGAAAGATGGCACGGAGAACAGGTCAGATCACTGGACCTTTGGTGTCCCAATAGCCAAACAATCAAGGCTCGATGGGCCGCCCTGGTCGGTCGAAGCCCTCCGGTCTGGCCGCCTCGGTGTAACGAGGTGAGTTCGCAGGTGATTTGCGCGGAACTGTGAAAGCATTGAATTTGGGTGAAAAGGACTGTAAACGGAAGCACATGACGATGAATCTGGCCATGCACCGCCCTGCCACCACGGATGCTTTTACATCATTTAAACATCCATACTGGATGATACTGGATACTTTTCAAAACACTTACAGATCTAGAGTGACTCCAAAGTAGACGGACACGTACGCCTTCTCTCACAAGAATTCGGCGTTTCCCCCTCAGGCACCAGACCCAAAGCTCGACCATGACGAGAGAAGTCCTCCTTTCAACACCATTTGGATCCATTTGGCCCAGCTTCTGAAGCTGAAACCCGTGAGACCCTGCTTCTGAGCTGAAGCCGGAAATGCTTCAGGAGAGCCCCCCCCAAAGCGCCAACCAAGCTGGAACGGCCTGTGACGAAAAACGTGCGTGTCGTATTACCTTATATATATATCTTTACATTCTATTACTATTACTACTATGGTATATTATTATGATGATATAACACATTTATATGCAGATACCCTCGCCGCCTTGACGCCCAAACACAACGCCCATCGTGCCGAGGTCATTGACTTCACGGTGACCTTGAAGGGACTGGAGCAGCAGCTTTTGGGAAAGCTCATCGGAATGGCCGGGCGGCTCAGTTCGTTCTCCACGTTTCGTCTCGGTCAGAAGACCCGGACAAAAGGAGGAACTGACCTGTTCAGGTGGACTACAACAGCTCCAGGACCCACTGGAGTAATCATGAACACCGAAAAACTGAGCTGAGTAGAGTTGATTTTTTTGGTAATGATCAACTCCAGTAAGATGAGATCTTTTGACATCTAGGGCTTTGACGTGAAGTGCCGACATGAAGAGTTGTTGGTGCTGACCGGCTTTTGGATCTGATGAATCAGACGATTCTCTCAGCCATGGCGAGGGTTGTGGGAGTTCTCCACAGCCCGCATTGAGGAAATGAAGAGTTTGGAGGACACCCTGGCAGCACTGGAAGAAGATGTGTCTTGGCGTTTTTCCTCGATCTTTGTCGCATTTCTTTTGGTGAACGACTGGACAAATGAACTTCAGATGTTCTGTTTTGAGAGCACAGGGCTCAAGGAACTACTGGCGTGGAGTTTTCGGTGAAGCTCACCAGGAACTTCAGCGGAACTTCAGCGGCTGAGGTCACCAACAATACCAAGTCCTTGCAGCTCTTGGACAAACAGCTTGAAGCTTAGATTGACCCCTCCCTAGGGCTCCTGGCCTACCTCCGTTTCGAAGATGGGCCAGGGGTGGGTGCCATGGGGGGTCTAACCACCGAACTTGAGGATATCGTTGGAGCCCCAGGGCCAGTAAACTCTGGCGAACACAGGCCCCTGGAAGTGGATGAACCCCTTGGCCCCTGCTTTGGACCATTCTCTATCCAGGAACGGGACCGTGAGCTATCGTGACCAGGATGTGAGTGAGTTGGAGAGAGTACTGGTGCATTTGAGAAGTCTGGACAAAAAAGGATCCTTCCAAAGATTCACCCCTTTTCCTTTAACTCACTTCCACGAAACGGACCTCGGCATGAACTTGGTTTGTGGGTCGCTTACCTCGCGGACTGGACCGACCGAGGTTGTTGGAACGTTTGTCCAACTCCCAGGGCAATCTGCTGGAAGACACCGAACTGATTGAGGCACTCGCTGGACCGGTCGTGGTCGTCGTGGCGCTGGGTTTCGTGGCTTCTTCGTCCTGTGGTGAAGAAAGCACCGAAAGCTCTGCAGGTGCTGGCCAACACCAAAGCAAAGGCCAAGGAGGTTGAGGGCAAATTGAAAGAAGCCGATGAAAGGACGGACGGGCTTCGCCGAGCGGAAGCAACGCAACTCTCTGTTTTCAGCTTCAATCAACAACTCTCATGCATTGGTTTAGTAAGAACCGCCATTCTGCTTTTGGCAACCAAGAAGTACTTTGTTGGAGTGCTGGTGCTGGAGGACTTCTTCCTCTTGGATTTTTCTCTAGACTTCGGAGAGACAGACATGGAAGAATATGACACATGTCAAGCCAGACTTGGCTTTTTCTGGCCTTTTCTTCTTTAGTAGTGTAGGAGATGCCCGCGGCGCTTTCTCAGCCGACCCTTGAAGGAAGATTGAGATCAACGAGAAGCGAGAGCAGTTCAGACCGGTTGCCACACGAGGCCTTTTTTCATTTTTTCCCCGCAGAGCATGCCCTACTTGGCCCTTTCTACACTCACCATCCTTTCGTTGCAAAAACAATTGGGAATATTAAAGAGGGTCCCAGTTGCTGGGGGTGTTCCTACATGTTCACTACGGCTTGTGTAGAAAGAAGATGAAGTCCTTTTTGTGTGAGGTGTGAGAAGCAGTGCAAAGTCAGGGTCTTTGTTTCACACCTTTTTGTCCTTTTGCTCAGTGACGGAGAGTGCTCGCTTTGGAACACGTGTAAGTACGCGCATTGTTTTAATTGCTCCTTCAGTTTCAAATCTCAGTGTTTGGCTGCAGTCAGACCTGCGTAACCACTCGGTTACGTTCCTTTTTGGGGCCATCCGGTTTCAGTCCAAGCAAATTCACTCTGCAACAAGCTGTTTGTCTTCATTTGAGAGCTTTATCTTGCCAGTGCCATGTGTTCTCGTCAGACCGCCACATGTGTTGAGCCCTGGGCCCTGGGCCCGGTCAGCGTTCGTTCGCAGGAAGCATCATGTATTTCAACATGACAGACCGGACCTCAGAACCTGTGAGAAGGTCCGGTGTGTGAAGGTCCGGTCGCGACCGCCGCGATGCGCCGCGCTGCTAGCTGCTAGCTGGCCGAAGCCTGTCACTTGTGACGCAGTTCTGAAGCGACACGCCAGAAGCTGGCGATGTGCACATGAAGCGATGATCCAAGAGATTTGGATCGTTTCGTAGTGAAAGACGCCCAAGATTGGAGCATTTTGGGGGTGCCCAAATCCATCCAAATTCGGTGTTCTTTGCAGGTACAGAAGGGGGCCATGCTCGTTTTTTTCCTTTCCTGGCCCAGAACCATTGGCTTTACGAAGAATTTTGCACTGCACCAGGTCTAGGATTTTTGAAATAGTCTTGGAAGCCGACACCTTTAGACCCAGCTTCCGGAACAGGAGCAACGTCCAGTTCTTCCCGGTTCTGCTGAGGACATGACCAATGTGGTGAACCCCATCACTAATCAGGTTTCAGGCTCCTTGGACGAACGCCGGGGAAGCCTGACCAAGCATATGAACAACACTATGAACAACACTCCGACTCAGTTCACTTCAAAAAGAACCACTTTCCTTTTGAGGAAGATTGTCTTGGGCCATCTTTCATAGTCCTGAGGCCAGCTTTCACATTCGTGAGCCCCATCCAAGAAGCCCCCACCACCAGTGTGTCAGAGTTCCACAGGCTGCACAGGCCCCCCAATTGCAAAACCTTTCTTTGCGAATGATCGAGCTTGGGAACTCTGCAAGACTCAGCTCATGTCTTTGAGATCAAATACGCGTATTAGGAATCCAAGCAAGTCCGAAGTTAGTATAGAGGTATGGCATGGGGCCACTTCTGCAAGACTATAGGCATTTTGTTAGGGGGCGTAGTTTGCAAGGTCCACGAATGCCACAGGTGATCCCCAAGGAGAGATGATGCGTGAGCCTTGTGTTGTTTGCCATTTGAGCAGAGGTAACAAAAGGTTGTGGTCACCGGATAATTTCGTATATATATATATATAGATGGTATTTTGAAGTCAGGCTATGGCGCTTGTTATTCGAGCTGCCTCCAGGCGGACATGGCAAGAGTTTGTTGGCACCACCAGAAATCTTGCTGTTTCTGATGCTTGGAGGTCCATGTCCACTGGGCCTGTCCTAACTGGTGGAGCTGAAACAGGCTGGCAGGTCAGTTCCCATGGCCGGGTCAACAACCCGAGGGGAAGGACCTCGCATGGATGTTTACAGCCAACAGGCTACTACAGGGTGAAGATGTCTGGCATTAGTTTTTACGTTCATCGCGTGGTGGCCCTGGCATTTCTCGGTCCACCGCCTGACGAGGCGACATGGCAGGTGCATCACCGGGATGGCAACAAGGCCAACAACCACTTGGACAACTTGCAATATGTGACACAGAGCCAGAATATCCTTGCCTCCTTCGCCAGCCGTTCGAGGCGTTGCTGCAAGGCGCAGAATTGCGTGCCTGTGATGTGGAGATCCGTGGGGTCCCAAAGCTGGACCACTTCCCCTTCAATGGCGCAAGCGGCAGCAGAGCTCGGCATAAGCAAACATAGGATCTCGCAGGATGGCTGCCGCCAAAGCAAAATCGTGAAGGGCTACCAGTTTCAATTTGCAGAGAGCGCTGAGACACGAATGCTGGATGGCGAGGAGTGGCGTCAATTGTATGATCCTGTTTCAGGGACTGAGATCCCTGGAAGGCTGGTGAGCTCAATGGGAAGGGTCAAGTCCAAGAATGGCCGGATATCTTTAGGATGCTTGGAGAAGTCAGGGTACTACAGGGCGGGCATCACTTTGACCTCGCACAAGCGTAGTGAGCTTGTGCATCGCCTTGTTGCCTATGCGTTTCTTGGACCACCTGTGACCCAGCGGCGTAATCACGTTAATCACAAAGACTTGGACAAAGGGAACAATGCAGTGGACAACCTGGAATACGTGACTCCAGCAGAAAACCTGGCGCACCGCTTCGCTGCATCAGGTAGTAGCCGCAGGTCCTTTGCCAGACCGGTCATGAGCCGCAACCGGTGCAGCCAAGATGAATGGAGGCAGCATGCATCCGTGCGGGAAGCTGCCTTGGTCCTTGGGGTGCACGCGCAGAGCATCTATTCCTGCCTCAGCGGACGCCGTCTGCATGCAGGGGGGTACGAGTTCAGATCAGCACCATTTCAGGCTGACCAGGAACATGGCGGGGAAGAATGGCGACTCATTGACATGTTTGCCTTGGTTAAAGAGAAGGATACCAGACTTCAGCGCATTCGACTTGCTTGTTCGCCTTTTGCAGCCTTGACTGAGCAAAGCTAGTCCAACATCCTGCATCAAGAAATGGTGGCTGGAATTCAACAGGTTAGGATTTCTGATGATATCAAGTATATAGAATGTATCTTGCACTTCTTGAAGCCACCCAGCGCACAACGGAAATGAAGTGTACTTCACCTGCACGTGGAATTGATGTGGAGCGTTCATGTTGTCGTTTTCGTACTCCGCTGGGAGAAAGTGGCTGCGCCCAAGTGTGCACGTGTGGGGACCAGCTGGAAATCTGATTTCCCTTCATACTATAATTCAACAATCATCCAAGAGCTGTCGCACTTGAAATCCATAAGTAATGTCTGGTATAGTTCATTGGTGATCCCTTCAGTCTCATGGATGATCATGGTATATCTCAGTCTCAGACTCCCCTCCAGCTGTAGCTCTCGGCTGACGAGCTTCTGCTTCATGTCATGTCTTCACGTGAAGACGGTTCACTCACGATCCCACTCCTTTATTAGTTACTATAGTAGTGAATGGCCTCCAACCGTGAAAAAAGCATCCTCATGTCTTCACGTCAGGATGGATGTACAATTGCTCTCTGCTTCAGTTCCTGGAGCAGTTCGAGATCTCCGTGCCTCTCTGGACCGAGAAACCGGTCGTCGAAACGATGAAGGCGAGCGACGCCATGGAAACAACCGCGAGTGTCCAGGATGGACGTGAAAAGGGGGCGGAAATGGTTGGAACTTCTGGCAAGGGGAGGTTTGTACAATACGTCACTCCAGTCTTGTTTTGGTTCTTGGTCACTTTGAGCAGAACTCTTTCTTTGCGACCTGAACTTCAGGTGCCTGACAACATGTCAAGCTTTGTCACCTGGGTTGTGGCTGTAGCACGTCGCTGCGCGCAGCCACGTGTGTGGTCTCAATCTCATCCTGAAAGAGGGCGTCCCACCTTGGCTTTCAGCCGATCTCCGCCTCAGCCTCATCCGAGGTGCGCAATTCTGAGAAGGCCCAGCCGACCTCGAAGCGTGTGGACAAGATCATCCATTTCTTGACCTACCAGGCGCCCCAACGCACCCAACGCGATCCGTGGTTATGGCCTTTGCAGCGCGATCCGTGGATCCGTGGCGCCGTGGAGAACGCATGAAATGGTGGGAGAAGAGAGATAATATTAGGTATGGTCGGTAATTGGTAATCTTTAGTGTGCTTCTCGCAAAGAAACATATTTAGGACTGCCTGGTCCCTGCATGCGCCTGCTTGATGGAGTTTTTTTCAGTTGTTTAGCCAACTTGTTGCAATTTGTGTTGGACTCTGGCTTTAGAGAAGAGACCTCTCTGCCGCCGCCGCCTCCCTCCGGGCGCTTCTCAACCGAGCTTACACGCTTGTTGCAGGTGTACAGGTACATGAATCGTGGTCTGTATGAGCGAGATAAGATGCTCTTCAAGCTCTTGGTCACTCTGAAGATCATGACCGTGGCCAGTCAGAGTCTCCGTGAGCAGTAAGGCTGCGTGAACTGGATGGATGGACATCCAGCAATCCTCCAGAACTAGGTGCAATCCTACCGGTTCCAACCTGGCTTATTTTGATGTATAGGATGATGCAGGATGTTGTTGTAGGTTGATGTAGGAGCCTGAGCGGGTCTTTGGAACCCGTGGCTCGGGACCCACCGGGTTCCACGTTCGCCTCCCTCGACCCTCCGTCGACTCGGTCGCGCGATGCCGGCGTCGCTGGATCCGACGAAAGCGACCGGACTCGCTGGGTCTTTTTTCAGCCCCTGACAGGTGTGACGAAAGTGTGTCCGTAAAAGGAATGAGGCTGGCTGGAATATCATTCTTATAGGGTCTCTGTCTTTCAGTGGTCATTTCAGTTCCTTCTGCCGACTGACTTTCTCAGTTGGCCCGGCCGTTTGCCCCAAGGATCACCTCCGGAGATGTCTCCATCTTGTTGAAGGTCGGAAGTCCTCGGAAGACCTCGCTGACCGGTTCGTGAGGTCAGACGCTCCGTTCGTCTAGACAAGAGGAGCCGGACAAGTGTTGCTTTTCTTTCCCAGTGGGTCAACGCTAGCGGTGCTTTTGCAAAATGGGAGCTGGAAGCTTGAAAGGGCCGTGAAAACCCGTGAAAAGGACGTGAAAAAAACACGTGAAAACAGCGTGAAAGGCCGTGAAACACCTGTGAAAATTAGGTCTTGGAAGTTGGGAGGTGAAATGCGTCCTTTCCACTAAGGCTTTAACCCGTCCTTTGGGTGTCTTTCTTAAACTTTTCCTTTCCTTCTCTGTGGAGACATTAGAACGAAAGTGAGAACTTGAAGCACCACCCCAGTTTGGGAGGCTTGGATGGTTATTGGATGGACAAGACAAGAGTAATCCAGGTTAAACTGCTGGTTGAAGCATGTTTGAAGCTCTTCTGCTTCTGTTGAAACCCTGAAGCACCCCTTCCACCTTGTTACAAGTACGGTCGAAAAGAGCGAACCGGCCGAACCGGCCGGCTTCGGCGCTGAACCGGCTCATCGGTGCACTGTGGCCTCGTCCAGGCGGGTTCGAGCCTGGACATCAAAGCCGAGCGAGCGAACGCCTTCTCGAAGTGGCTCCCAGACAAGGCGGGGTCGGTCCAAGGTCAGCAGCTGAGGTAGGTGATCAAGAACTCCTGGTAGACCTCCAAGATTGGACTTCAGTGATCTTCAGTGATTCAGAGGTTTTGTATGCAATTCTTTCGATTTCCTTCTTGCTTTTGGTACGCAGTACTTGGAGGGGTCTCCCTCTTCTACATACACCTCCAGGTATAGGTACCATCCGAACACCTTCTTCTTGAAGACCCGAGCTGCCGCTATCTGCCGCTGCCCCCGCTGCCCATCACCTCCTCTCGCGCGCAAAAACCATCACCATCACGGCTCAGGTTTGGCTGAACATTCTGGCGCTCTCGCGCCAAGCCTTCGGAGTGGATCAGAGCCATGGCCGGAGATGGGGGTCGCACCGGTGCCGAGCCCGGTCCGGTACGACCAGTCCACCAGGTAGCACCGGTTCCGGCAGAAGGTATGAAGGTCACGAACGAAGCAGCATGACCCATCCCCATGGCAGCCCATGGTGGTTGGCACCGGAGGCCTCACCGACGTTCGACTCGGGAAGCTGGTATTGAGTTCTTGAGGTGCCACGATGCTTTGCAATTTTTTGCCCTTTGGTTTGTGCTTGTTCCTGATTTCTTGGGGACGGGCGGTTGTGGGGTCATCCCACAGTGGAAAGCAGACATGGACATTTCGGCAACAAACAGATACAAACACGCACGAGTCCAACGGCGGGCGGTGGGTATGACTAGAGGGTCGATGGTTCCAAGTTTTTGGTCCATCAGAGTTGTCTTGGACGACCGATTAATCTATATAAGTGGCCAAAGATCAAGGCTTTCAGGCGCGAGCGACGAAAGGCATGCCGAAATCGGATGCTGGCATACGGCATACGTCCTGGGGTCGGCATCTCCTACGTCGCTCGCTGAGGATCGTGTTCTTCCGGGAGATCATCGACTTCATGCAACGTTTCTCCTGCAGCAGTTGAGCGAGCGCGTCGACGGTTGAGACACTGCCCAGTAAACAGTTTAAACCAGGAATCTCTGGCTGTAATGAAGAAACCTCATGAAATCTTCCGTCTTCACGGCAGGCAACGAACCTGCCTGGCGCAAGTGGTACGATGAGAATGAACCTGAGAGCGTTCCCATCCCTGACTACGACGAGCGCATCAACATGGATAGGACTGGGACTGCAGTTTGGACTCAAGTACTATAGGATACTATAGGGGGCCGTTGTGAGTTAGAGCATCGAGAGATGCACATGAGACTGCCGGTTTCACTTGAACACCTAAAACAGCCTGCATATACTCAGTATACTCAGATACTGAAATGATTCTCCCCATTTTTGGGCATCGCATTCGTTCACCCTTCGCCTGTTTTCGATCCGCTTGCCGGTTCCGTGCAGTGTTCTTCCGGACGATGGTAGGACCTTGGGTCCCTTCTTGCGGCTCACCATCGTCCGTTCAATGCGCGAAGACCGCACCACCATTTCCTGCAGCCAATTCGTGGAGGTGGCCACATGGGCCGCGGAGGGGTGGTGTGAAAGAAGAGGTGTGGTTCCTCTCGGAGAAGAAGCACCAAGCTCTCCCAGCTCTCCAAGGGCGGATGGTTTGAGGTTTCAGAAGCTGAAGCCACGTACTTTGACATGTTTGGTGGGTCTTAGGCCGGTTCAGAGTTCCATTTCAAGACATTGAGGCTCCAGGCTCTTGCTTGATTCGTCATGCGGTGTAGTTGGCCCTTTGGCCCACCCCGCGAGGCCATGCTGGACAGCCGGTTCACTGCACCAGTCACTGATGCCATTCAGGACACCGGCCGCTGCGGTCCGTGATGGTCTGATATGGTCTGACCGGACCGGACCGACCTGGCGACCGGTTGATTCATCGAAGGGATCGATATTTGATACAACCGGTCGCAAGGTATTTGATACAACACCGACCCTCTATTCTTCCCCAAGGGAAAGGACCTCATTGATCAATTCCAGTGTTGCGTAGCAGCCATACACCGGCACTGGGACCACTCTTGCATCCAAAAACACGTTTTCAGAGGTTGGCTTCATGGTAGGGGACATCTCCACTGCCCTCAGAAGCTCTTGATCTTGCAGAAAGCAAAAAGAACGCTCGGAGAGAGCCACCAGAGGTCGTTACATTACTGTATTTGTTTTCAACCTTTTCTTGGGATGACTGAACCTCCGTTGACTTTTTCAAGTGAGTTGAAAGCACCAGCCAGTTTGTGAGTGGCCAGACTCATGGGTTGTTGGGTGCCCTTTCGAGGACATCTACGAGGAATCCCAATGCCGGAAGCCAGTCTTGTACTTGCTCACTGCAGGCCACCACTTGATGAACTCTTTCTTTCCGTTTCTCTCTCGTTTTTGGATGTTTTCGTGTTTTTGTTTTTGTTGAAGGATGACACGCACAAAACGAGAAGCGTGTTCTTGAGACAAACCAAACTGAAGGCCATGAGCTGCCTTTTCTGTTCAAAAGCCAAAAAAGCGTGGCAGCGTTTCGGTTGGGAGCGCATTCGATTGCCATTTCGTCACAAGCGGTTCGTTTCGTGGAAGAGCTTTTTCTGCAGGGAGCTGGCTTGTTTGATCAGGTTACGAGCCCAAGGTCACGTTGATCTTGGCAAGATCGAAGGTCCGATGGCCTTTCAGCAGAGGCGAAGGAAAGCCACCAAAGCTGAACTGGAACAAGGACAAAAAGAGATGGAAGCTGCCCACAAGCGACTTGAGCAGCAGCGCCTGGAAGGTGATGAACTCTCTCTAGAAGACCAAAAGGAGGGGGGAAAAGGTGGTGAAAGGATAGCTGGCCTAGGCGGTTCCCATAGAAGTGAACTCCAAGTCCAGGGGACACCATCAACGTCAGCCCCAGGAGCGAATGAAGACAGTCGAACTCGTGCATCGGCTTCCACCTCGACCGCCAAGACCCCACAGCCGACTGTGAGGACTCCGCAGCAGGTTCCAATGGCCAAGACTCCCGTGCGACCACAGCAAGGAGTTCAAGAAGAGCCAAAGGAAGCTGAAGGAAAAGAAGAAGCAGAAGGCCTAAGGACGCCAGAAGATCGCATGGTGAGGCCTGGTCCGTCGCCAAATGAAGGAAAAGGTGGGAAAGGAAAAAAGGGGGTTGAAGAAGACTTCATGGGAAGCCATGAACACTTAGTTGTATCAATGGCCACACCACCAGAGGAACAGTTGCCCCTCTTCTCACGAGAACAGATTGCTGGCCTACACGCCATGTACGAACAAGCCCCACTGCTCTACCCCAAGTTCCAAACACCTCAATCCGTGTTGCGGCCTCCGTTCCTCGAAGAAGCAAAGGAAGAGGCCCGAAGGTTTGGGTTTGAGCCAGGGGGAGAAGGACTGCAGGGCTTTGAAGAGAGACTGAAAGAAAGGGAAGAAAAAGATGAGATGGTGAAGCAAATGCAACTCCTCATGAAGGAGAACCAAAGGCTCAGGGATCAAACCCTAGGCATCCTAGCAGCGGAAAGAAGGAAAGAAGAAAGAGAAACCCTCAACGCTCGACAACTTCAGGTGATCGTTGAAGAAAATCGGGCATTGAAGAATCAAGTGCATCGTCTCTCCTACCAGTTGGAGAACAAAGATGAAGAAGTGGTTTTCGCCACGCCAAACGGCAGCTCAGGACTGGAAGAAGATCTTCGAGGAGAAGCTGCAAGGACTGAAGCCAAAGAGGAAGAAGAGATGGAAGACATTCCAAAAGGAAGAACAGGGAAGGGAACTGGAGGGAGAAAGAAAGAAGAACCCTCTGGTGAAGCCATCCCACCACAAACGATCGATGTTATCCTGCGCCTCATGCAGGGTATGCAGGACATCCAAAAGAAGCTGGTGAAAAGTCACCTGAAGGAAGATGGAAATGAAGAAGCCGGAGGACCGCCCGAAGTCGTCCAACGAAGCGCTGATCTTCCAAAGTTGGCCGAATGGTCCCCGGAGACTGGTCCGATTGACTTCTCGGATTGGTTGCTGGTCATTCAACCTCTCATGGGTGATCTAAGCAGCAGCTCCGAAGAATGGTGGCAAGCTACAGTGGAGGCAGCGAAGTCCTGGTACATGTCACACATGGGAAAGACCCCATTGGAAAGACTCCAGCACCATCCAACTCCTCCACCTATGCTGACTCAGAAGAAATGGGCTCGACTGGAAAGACGAGCAGCATCCCTATTGCTCGCTGCGATACCTGAAGGTCTTCGAGAAGAAGTGGTGTCTTCAAGGTCGCTGAGCACTCTCGGAATTCTCACCAAGGGCATGAGACAGTATCAGCCTGGTGGGCTAGCGGAAAAGTCCGCTATCTTGGCCGCTCTCGAAGGGCCCCAGGAAGCACAAAGTATTGCAAGTGGAGTCACAACCCTCAGAAGGTGGCTTCGCTGGAAAAGAAGAGCAGAAGATCTGGGAGTCTCAATTCCAGATGCTACAATCCTGGTCAGGGGACTAGGAAAACTGATGAAGAAGTTGAGCGCCACCTATGCGGACCTGAACTTCCGCTTGCAATTGACTAGGAATCAACTGATGGTGGACACGATTCCAACCCAAGAATCGGTCACAAAGTACTCGCACCACTTGTTGGCTGAATTGGAGACCATGGGCCATCAAGCAAAGAAGAAGGAGGTGACAACCGAACCTCCAAAGCTGAAGAAGTTTGAAGAGCAGTCAAGAGACCAAGGTACAAAAGACAACAAAGAGATCGGGAACAAAGAGAAAAGCAAGTGCCGCTTCTACCTCTCCGACAATGGTTGCAAGCGAGGCAAAGGACGCACGTTTTCCCATGATCAAAAGGATGAAAGAGAAGATGCTGGAATTGTGGTGGCACTGACCACATGTCTCCAGCATGCACAAGGCCTAAAGAAGGAAAAGAAGGTCTGAAGCCAAGGATTGCAAAAGCAGAAAAAGGAAAAAATGGAAAGGAAGAAGTAAAAGAACAAGAAGAAGCAAGTGGATCGGTGCAGCCAAGCGTAAAGGACTTGCTGGAAGAAGCAAATAAAATGTTGAAGTCGTTGAACTCGTCTCCCTCGTCCTCCACTTCGTCTCCCACTGCTCAGGAAGGAGAAGAAAGAGAAGAAGTCATGGAGAGATTGCAAAAGCAGCTCAACGCACTTCGCCAAAAGGCATTCCGCCTGATGAGATTGAAAAGGGGAGAGAAGGCCGGGTTGCTGGACAGTGGAGCCACACATCCGCTCCGACCCATCAAAAGGGGCGAAAACAAGGAGCTCTATGAGAAAGTCCAAGTTGCTCTTGCCGATGGTCAAACCACCTGGCTCCCCATAACTCCAGGGGGAGTGATGATCACTGAAGACCAAGACATCGAGCCGATAATCCCGATGGGACAACTAACGAAGCAGTTGGACTGCAAGGTCACCTGGTCTCGAGGAAGCTTGGAAGTGATCCATCCTGTCCACGGAAAGCTCCCAGTTGATGATTGTGAAGGATGTCCACAAGTTCCGAAAAAGGTTGCCATCCAGCTCATTGATGAGCTAGAACAAGTCAAAAAGGGAATGAAGTTCAAGGAGGTGGAAGAATTTGAAGGAGAAATGAAGTGGATGAAGGAGCTGGTGGAGAAGCATCCAGTCTTGGCATCTCTCCCAGAAGAAATCAAGAAGGAGCTTGTCGTGATGCCTTCAGAAGGATGTCGACTGCCAGCCAACAGAAGAAAAAGAAAAAGAATGAAAAGAGATGGCTTCATTGTCCATCTATATGCAGGTCCCGAAGAAGGCTTCACTCTCAGTCGTGCGTGGCAGCAGATCGGAGGAAAGGAGGTTGAGTTGCTTGAAGTTGACCTACAACGAGGTCCAGAACACAATATGTTGAAGTCCAATGGAGTATATCCAGCACTCCTCAAAGCCGTTCTGTCTGGACAGGTTCGAGGTCTGGTCGGAGGACCCAACTGCAGGACAAGGTCAGTTCTTCGACATGTTCCAGTCCCTGGACCTGATCCGAAGATGGGGAGGGGAAGAGTTTGGGATAAAAGAAGCCACGCAAGAAGAGAAACAGAAGCTCTGGGAAGATGACGTGCTGCTCTGGCGAATGGTGTTTTTGGGAATGGTCGCCTCACATCTTCGAAAAGCGAGAAGGGAACCAGATCCTTTCATCTTCTCTCTTGAGCAGCCGGCATCACCAAGGGAGTACAAACCAGAAGTGGTGTCGTTTTGGGACACGCCCCAGTGGACTTCGCTGAAAGAAGAATTTGAGTGGGAAGAAACGACATTCTCACAACGACCTCTGGGAGGAGCAGCCACAAAGCCAACGACCTTTGGAGGAAACCTCCAATTGACACCCGAAGATCATGTCCTCAAGTCCATGGACGATCGACAGGTCACCCACTCATGGCAGTTGGCCCGATGGCCTCCAGGACTGATGAACATGGTCGCAACGGCCCTACTTGCCCAGGCATTTCATCAACAGCCGAAAATGAAGGCTCTATCCTGGGAGGAACACTTGGCATTTGGGCACACGCCATCAAGAAGAGACTGCAAAACGTGTCAAGAAAACATGCAGCAGTGCAATCCTCACCGTCGAGTTCCACACCCACTAGCTGGAGTCCTTTCGTTGGACACTGCAGGACCTTTGACACCTGCAACAGACCAAGGAGGACAGTTGTCCAGATACTTTTTGGCTGGCGCCTTCACTTGGGCCATTCCAAAAGGCTCCAACAGAACCACGGAGGAGGAACCAGAAGCAGAAGGTGAAGAAGAACTGCCGATGATTGAGGCGGAAAGGGAAAAGGAAGAAGGTAAAGGAAAAGATGAAGAACAAGGTGAGATCCAAGAAGATCAAGAGATCCCAGAAGGACACCGAGAAACAATCTCGGATGCAGAGGAAAGAGAAGGAAGGGAGGTGGGTCACCTACAGGAGGAGCTGAGCCCAGGGGGAGATGAAGCTCTGCCAACGAAGGATTCCCATCCTCCAAAGGACTTCGAAATCAAGACATTCCACCTGGCACTTCCTATGCTCACGAAAAAGGCCATGGAAGTCACCAAGGCCACTATGGAAATGGTATTGAGGTTGAAGATGGACGGATACACCGTCAATCGGATACACACAGATCAAGGCCGTGAATTTTCAGGCCAGTTTGCAGCCTACTGCAGGAGACGGGGAATCATGCTGACCAAAACGGCAGGAGACGAACCCCAGGCGAACGGCCGTGCAGAATCCACGGTGAAACGAGTGAAAACGATGGTTCGCAAGGCATTACACCAAGCTGAGAAAGATGCTCGGTGGTGGCCATGGGCGACAAGGTACATCAACGAGATCCTCCGCTGCCATAGGATCTACGAGGTTCCAACCTTTCCGATGTTTATGGAAAAGATCCTGGTAAGGAAACGACGCTGGCAGAGGGATGATCTGGGACCCACTATGGAAGAAGTGTGCTATCTCGGTCCATCCACCGAGAACCACGGTCACTGGATCGTGAAGGAAGGTGAACGACCAAGACTCACCCGATGTGTGATGAAAAAGGTGGAAGGAAGGCCCACAGAGGGACAATGGATCGCCCTAGAACGTGAACTCTTGGACGGCCTCACCCTCAGAAGAAGGCTCAGGGGGAAGACCACCATAAAGAAATTACAAAAGGAGGTGGAAAGTGAAGAAGAGAAAGAAAAGAAAGAAAAGATGAGGGTAAAAAGGGTTGTGGAGGAAGAAATGCTCAAGATCCACGACGATGACCCTGACCTCGCAGTTTGCTCAATCCTCGTTCTGGGGAAGCTCAAGAAGATCCTTGAAGAAGGGGTGGAGGAAGAAGAAGAAATCCTCCAAACGAAGATTGTTTCGCCGAAAGAAGTGGCGAAAGAATGGAAGAAATGGATTCCATCGGCTGAGGATGAAGTGCATTCGCTGCTCACGGAGAAGCAAGCACTTCTACCACTCCCAGCTCAAAAGGTCACAGACTTCATGGAAGAGGCCAGAAGAAGAGGAGTGAAGGTTGAACTCATTCCGTCAAAGTTGGTGTTCGCCAGAAAACCTGGCAAGAATGGTGGAAAACTCAAGGTCCGTTGGGTGATCTGTGGAAACTTTGAGTCCAAACAGCCTGAGGAAACCAACTACTCAGGTGGTGCTGATGCCTCAGCATTCCGAATCATGATCCTGCTGGCGGCGAGACACCAGTGGGAAGGCGCAAGCCTTGATGTGAAGACAGCCTTCTTGAACGCTGAAATGACGTTCAAGGATGATGAACACTTGATGCTCGTCCTTCCACCCACGTTCTTTGTAGAACGAGGCTTCATGGAAAAAGACACCTACTACCTCCCACAGAAGGCGGTATATGGGCTAAGAAGGTCTCCACGCCTATGGGGTGAACATCGTGATGAAGCGATGAGGAAGTTTGAGGTCAAGGTCCAAGAAGAAGGAAAAGACAAGAAGATGAAGTTGAAGGCCCTGGACTCGGAGCCCAACCTGTGGAAAGTGGTCTTCGAAGAAGATGAAAGTGAAGAAATGAAAGGCCTAGTGATGACCTACGTCGACGATCTGTTCATAGTGGGACCCCAAGAAGTCACAAAGGCCATCCGTGAACATGTTCAGAAGACTTGGACCACTTCAAGTCCACAAGATGTCTCCGAAGTACCGATCAAGTTCCTGGGCATGGAAGTGTCAAAAGAATGGGATCACCAAGCTGAAAGGTTTGCATGGTTCATCTCCCAGTCCTCCTATGTGGAAGACCTGCTGAGCACAGGAGAGGAGAAGCTGAAAACCAGAAAGATCCCGATGACACGAGACCAAGCCTCGATGGAGCCGATAGAAGAAATGCCATCACAGGCACAAATCCGTTCAGCCCAAAAGGTGGTGGGCGAACTCTTGTGGCTGGTCACTAGAACACGGCCAGATTTGATGTTTTCAGTGTCCAGAATGGGGGCCAACATCCTGAGAAGTCCACAAGCTGTCGCTGAAGCAGGAATCCAAGCCAAAGGATATCTATTGGGAACGAAGACCCTCGGCCTCAAGTACCTCTTGAGAGAAGATGAGGATTTGGTGCTCAACGTCTTCACTGACGCATCATATGCTCCAAATGCCGAGGAATCCCATGGATGCTGCATTGTGGTGGTGGGCTCATGCCCCATTTTCTGGAAATCAGGTCGCCAAAGTACAGTGACGCTGTCAACGGCCGAGGCAGAACTCACTGAAGTGGTTGAGGGCATGGTTGCCGGGGAGTCAATCTCGGTGATCCTCGACGAATTGGTGGGAAGGCTTCCAAGAATGGCCTGGACCGACAGCCAGTCAGGTCTCTCAATATTGACATCAGAAGGAGGGTCATGGAGGACAAGACATCTTCGTCTCCGCTCAGCCTACACTCGCCAATGCCTTCAAGAGGGATTGTGGGGAATAGCCCACGTTCCAGGCGAGGACATGCTGGCAGACATCGGGACGAAACCTCTCACAGGACCCCGATTGGAAGACCTCAAGAAGAAGATGAACATGGCCAAGACGGCGAAAGAAGAAGAAAAGAAGGATGAAAAGGATGTGAAACCAAATGAAGAAGGGGAGAAAAGTGAGGAAAAGAAAGGAGAAGGAAAATGTGAAAGAGAATTCGAAGAAGAAATACAAGTGAAGAAGGCCAAGACAGCTGCGATTTTGCGAGTGCTTCTCATTGCAGCTTCTCTCACGGCCACTAAAGCACAAGGAGAAGATGAAAGGGAGGAAGAAGCCACAGGCATCTCCTTTGAAATGATCGTGATGATCTACACCATGAGCGTGATCCTCGTCACGATGATCGTCTGGTGGGTTGCGAAGGAAGGAGTACCGGGCCTGTGGTACCCTTCAAGGGGAAGATCCACACACCCAAGAAGTCTTCCCGCAACCCCGCCAAGGACTCCAAGAAAGATGAAGGCCTTGAAGGTCAAAGAGGGAGAAGGAAGAAGTCCACCACGGACACCAGAAGTATCCAGGCCGGTTGGTCTACCAGAAGAAATCCCAATGACGCCTCCACTCACGGCGAACAAGATGGGATCAAAAGGAAGAGAAGGAAAGATCACCAAGGTGGACGGAACTCCATATAAAGTTCCAAAGGGGTGGACACCACCACCTGACTGGATGGAGCTCTCAAAAGAAGAGGAGAAAGAAAAGGAAGAAGAGGAAGAAGCCAGAAAGGCCTTGGATTTTCGCAAAAGGATCCAAGAAATGGAAGAAGAAGAAGAACGAAACCCAACGGCATCCAGCTCAACAAATGCTGGAGCACAAGGGGGGACGCCGGCTGGAGGAAACAGACTCCAAGCCACACCAAAGTCCGGAGAAAGGGTGCCCTTCATTACACCCACGATGTACATGCCTCCTGTCCTGACAACAAGGTTTGGAAAAGCATTCCACTGCCGAGAGTCCTGCGACTATTTGGTGGCACCAAGGACAGGAACGGCAAAGAAGTCTCCATGGTGCCCTGACTGCACCAGGAGCATCGGAAGAAGAACGAATTGGAACATGTGGTCCAATTCATGGGGTGGAGAAATTCATCCCAACAAGGCATGCAAGAGGCTCCGCTCAGAGCCGCTGCTGCGGTACACACCGTGCACGCGATGCACACCCTATGAAGGATGAAGAAAGTGAAAAGGTGGTTTGAGCCTGGGAGGCTCAGATTTTGAAGAAGAAAGACTCTGGATCATCGGAGCCTAGCGACCCGATGAAGGGGGAGTGTTGAAGGATGACACGCACAAAACGAGAAGCGTGTTCTTGAGACAAACCAAACTGAAGGCCATGAGCTGCCTTTTCTGTTCAAAAGCCAAAAAAGCGTGGCAGCGTTTCGGTTGGGAGCGCATTCGATTGCCATTTCGTCACAAGCGGTTCGTTTCGTGGAAGAGCTTTTTCTGCAGGGAGCTGGCTTGTTTGATCAGTTTTAAATATATATATTTAATATATTATATATATAATATATATATTATCTCGCTCTCTCTCTCTCTCTCTTTCACACTGTCTCAATGGTCCTATTTTCTTGAAGAAGCACATCAGTTCCTAGATGGGTGCACAGAATTGAAAGACCACCGATTCAGATGACCCAGAAAAATTGGGATCTTCGGAGGCCCCAAAACACCGTTCTTCTCCATGTTTCGATGTGTTTTTCGTCGCCTGGAGAGGTAGCGATCCGACCTTTAGCATTGATGAGCTGGCCAAGAAGAAGAAGAAGTACCCCACGGACAAGGCAATTTCACTTCTGTAACTTATTTGTTTTTCTGTGATGTGGAGGCTTTACTTGGCTTGGCTTTGTTCACGCCTACTTCCCAGAAGGTGCAGATTTGGTGGATGAAATCATGAAGTCATAGATTTTTGAAAGAGGGGGATTGTTCACTGAGACACCCTTGCCATCTCCTTGCTGAACAGAAATGAACCCTTACAGTGGCTAGGCTACATCAAGCAGGGGAAAAGTGTGTCCCATTACCAGATCGGCAAAAGGTAAAAACACATAATCTTGAGTCTTGAGATGTTGTTTTTTCTGCAAGCAGGCCCCGCCATCATCCACATGTTCGGTCCTGACAATGGGATGTACCCTAGCTACTGGTGGAGCCTGACGGTTCGTTGACATCCAAACACGTCTCGTCGAGTCCAACGCGTCCGGACCACCAAAAGGGCCATTTTCATTCACCGAACTCGACGTTGCCATGGCAGGTGTCCATGGGTGAGGGCCAAGAGAGGGTGGCTCGGGTCGCTTGGAACGAGTTACAGGAAGGTGAGTCAGTGGATCTTTCTTGGGTCTTTTGAAGGATGGTTCTGTCCAGGACAAGTTTCCTGTGAAGTGATGCTGCGACTGGGGGAAAGGTCACATTAGAGTATACCATCTATAGTCAGCTAGCTGCTTGGCTATAGATGTTCGTACCCTCAAAACAGAGCTTTTCCTCTTCATTTCCTGAACCTCCAGAGTCCACCACGGGCGGGCGGACCCTTACAGTGGTCGATTCGAACCCATGAGAGACCGCACAGTGACAGGGACGTTCGTCGCCACACACCCGGAGACCGCTGGGCCACGTCCAACGTGGAAATCGAGAAATCCATCAATGGCTTGAAGGGACACGTCTCAAAAATACCTGCAAGATGGTCCATGGATACTGAGGAGAAGAACAATGCAGCCTTTGTCACTGGTGGTTGGGTCATTCTGCAAAACTCCCACTTGGGAATTGGTACCTTGGCATGGAAGGACTCGGCCTGGCTGGGTTTCTGGGCTAACACTTGAAAACCAGAGGATCGGAGAGCTTTTCGGGGGTTAGAAGAATAGGCATCACCCGCCAAAAAGCATCAAAACAGCCCAGACGCTCCACGCTCCAAACAGGCCTTGGGCCCTCAAAACCGTAGGGATTTGAGGGTCCGGACCCCTCCATATGAGGGTCCGACCCCTGCATATGAGGGTCCATGAGCGTCTGGGAGGTTCACTTGTCTATCTAGATCGGGGATCGCAGAAGCCTCGGATGACTGGAGTCGGGTACACACGGCCAACGTGTTTCCGGCACATGGACACGTTGCGCCCTGAACTGGCATGACTCGTAGCAAACCCTCAAAAATCCGGTGAATCCACAGGAGAGAAGGTTGAACTCTCCAAGTGACTCTCCGGGTGCAATGGGTCAACACTTGGTTTTCAATCCCGAAAAACTTCGTTGCTTCACTCGCTCACCCAGGAGTCTGACCAGCGAGTTTGTTGCTGGATTGAACGAAGCGCGTGAGGGCCGCGTGTGTTCGGGTTCCGTGTCGGCTTCGGCTGCCCTCGACACCCCGAGCGACACACGCTCCATGCGCTCCAGGCTACATGTGCGAGCTGGAAGATGTGCTTTTGAAGACCCCAGAGATTGATGAAGCTTTCAGGCATGCGGTCCTGGTCCTGATGGCATTGACGAAGTAAGTAGGAGGGGGCTACGTCACGTGCTATGTACGGTACTACCACATCCTTTCTTTTCTCAATGTCAAGACTCCAGACTCTGAAAATCAGCGGCCATGAACGCATGAACATGTTTCAAATCTGATTTGGTTTGATTGGACATTTGTCAGGTTGTGGATCACTTGTGCTCGGCTCAGTTTGCGTACCAGCGAAACCGTCAGAAAAAGAACACGCTCTGAGTCAACAGTGTCACATTTGCCATACCGTTGAAAACCTTTTCGTTTCTGTTTCGCTTGTTCCCCCCAAAAGGACGCGTCTGGGGCAGATGTATATATAGATCTTTATATAGAAGTCAAGAAACGCAACTTTCGGCACCCCAGTGCGTTGTTACTGGGTATGAGCCTTGCGTTTAAAACTAATAATGATAATATGTTTTTTTCTCGACTTTGTTGACCAGCCTTTCGACCGGGAGAAAGACGGTTCGCGCGTGTTTTTTTGCGCGAGGCGAACCGCGCGTGGCCACGTTTGGCTTTTCAACGTAACGGCTTCTTCTCACACGCCGACAGAGTGGACGAAGCCGTTTTCCGAAGCTGTGACTGTCAGGTGAGATTACTCTCCGCTTCCCCATTGGCTTGTTGCAGATTGCCATCAAGGTAGGGAGAGATGCTTTCATGACCCCAACAAATCCCTATATAGAGTGTTTTGCAAGTCAAGTCGGTGGCACACGAGTGATCCTGCGAGCGTAACAGGATCCATTGGACCTTCCCATATAGAGATGTAACACGAATCTTTTATGAGGATCTGGTATGAGGATCGGTACTTATGGTATGAGATGTAACACCAGTCTGGTATGGACTGTCAACCAACTGTTGGATCAGTTTTTGTTTCTTTAAGTCAACAGTCCAGTCCGTTGGTTTGACCTTGACGCGCAGGTGACCTTGGAGCCACCAGCAGGTTTGAAGGCGGGTCTCTACCGAACCTACAGCACCATGGTGTCTCAAGAGCTCTTGGACAAGATTCTTGGCGTGTACAGGTGGGTCCAGTTGCTTACTTTAAAAGGCTATGCTATCATAGCAACTGGGCCTTAGAAGCCTAGCCTTCATCAACTGGGCGTCAACTGGGACACGACGATGTTCATAGGATGACATAATAGGGCATGGCATAGAAACCGTGCGTTTTCTGGGTCTCCCCATGGGACAAGAGATCCCATTTGGTCGGACGGAAGGAGCTGCTCAACACACCGAGAGCTGCTCGTTCTCGTTGGCTGCTGAGGATCGATCTGCCACAGTGGAGAACGCTGGTCTTCGTGCAGGCTCGGGTGACCTGAGATGTCCTGAGATCGGGTCGAACCACAAAACCAAGGGGTCCAACGGTCATGTTCATGTTCATGTTCATCCATGTGCATCCATTCTTTTTTCTTGGCACGCAAAAGTCCAACGCCTGGGTTTTAAAGACAGAAATGCTTATAAGCTGCTTATATGTATAGTTACAAGCATGTTCTTGTTCTCCCCAATCTCCGCTTTTCCCCGTTTGTACCATTCGGATCTGCCTGTGTCACTGACGCATGGGGACCGACCGACGGATCGGGCGGCCGACCACGACTCCGTGGGCCGAGGCCTTCTTGCACAGTATCGTCCAGGAGAGGCGCAAGTTCGGCCAGGGCCTCGGCCGGGCTTCCGTTGGCAGACCCGTTCGGTGACCTGCCGGGTCTGCCCGCCAGGTGGGGTCAGAAGATGTCACAAGTCACAAGATGATCGTAAAGGATAAATCTTTTTGTTTTTTCTTTCATCAGGTGTCGTACTCAAAGCAATCTTGGATCAGACACCTCTCGGTGTCGCCATGTGTCGCCATGTCTGCAAAAACGGTGTCGTCGATGTCTTCAATCCGAACTCATGGTCGTCCTTCGTCCGGACGCGCCCAGGTCCCATTGGATGGTGTATCCCCTATGAGTACAACAACTCTGACCTGGATGCATGTTTCTTGGTCGGAGGGGGTTGTGGCCAGTGGTCAGCCAGGGTGAGTGATTTGTTTTGTTTTTGTATTTTCTTTTTTCCGGCCGGTACAGGGGCTTCCTGGGAGGACTTTGTGAATCTGAATCTTGTGTATCCTGGGAGTCGACTATTCAAAGAATGGGTCTATTTAGGTGACCCGAGGAGGAATTTCATTCAGTGGGGACAATTGAAAGTATTTTTTTGGACTTCCAGGGCATATATCTTTTATAATCTTTTATACTTTTTGCAAGTCGTTTGGTAAGATTTTTCGTGTGGAGATGAACTCCTGTCCCAAAGCACTAGAGGCACTTGTTTTAGTGGCTTCTATTTGTAGCCTTTGCCCAGGATCGTCAATCTCAATGGCGATATGCAAAGTTTCATGTTGTTAGAAATCACCAACCTTGTAACATCAGGGGACCTTTTGATTTTGGTTTGAGGTCACAAACAGGCCTGTGAAATGTCACTTGGGGACTCCCCAAAGATCAATTTGAAGAAGCTGGGAATTTGTAACTTCAAGGTTCATTTCAAGCCGCTTTGATGCATTCTGGAACTCCGCTGGGGATTTCTGGAACGCGCAGCTATCGTTTTCTACTTTTTCTTAAACTCTTTTTCAATGGAGCGATCCTTTTCAGCTGGTTGAACTTCCAAAATCCAACCACTTGCGCAAATAAAGAACCTTCATAATTGAGAGGGCAACACATGAACTTCCAACCTCCTTTGGTCTTCTGGCAACTCCTATCTCATCCCCAAATGACCCACTTCCTGCGGAATATCGACGGGGTGAAGACGGAGGATTTCCTCGCTGTGATGCTATTCTTGCTGGTCGGTCTGGGGAACCCCACCAGTCGACTGGCCAGCACAACAGAACCAGCACTGGCTGGTCAAAAACCCGTGGATTCTCCAGAGAACGCGCTTTTGGGGCCCTCGAAACTGACGGTGTTCATGTGACATCCCTGGCATAAAAAGGTTTGTTTTTGTTTCAAGTCACTGCAGGGACCGGCAAAGTCAGTGGAACCTGTGAAGCTGACTGAAGGCTTACTCTTCTTGGAGAAGCATGTCTCTGCTACCATTGTGGCTGGACAGCCGATCTCCTGGGCTGCTTGACTATGGTGTGGATGGGTGTGGATGGACACCAGGTTATCCAAAGTTCCACTCCAAGTATTCCAGATAAGATGCTTTATAGATACCCCCCTGAGGGTATTTTCCCTCCACTAAGCACCCAAAAAAACCGTGGTGCCGGTTTGGGAACATGGTCTGACAGGTGAACTGGAGGGATGGAGGGCAATGGAGGGCAGTGGAGGTTTTCTCCCTGGATATCCCTAGGAATCATCGTGGTTTTGGATGGCATCGCCTCGATTGATGACCATCTTCCTCTATAGGAGTTGGTGCCATGATGTGCCATCCACTTCCATTACTACAAAACAGATCTTTGGAAAAGCGAAGCCAAATTAGAAAAGCAGGGAGCTTTGGTGGCAAAAAAGGGGGACACTGCAGATTTATGCAGATTCACTGTCTTGGATCGAAATGTGCTTTGCTTCTTTCTCACAGGTCTAGCTTGCTGTAGCAGCTAGCAAGTGTTTGTGCATTGCAACGCCGTGCCTTCACACGAAGTTGTTGGTCCTCTACTCTTCGATGGTCTCGTGACCCAACACTGAAGTGGGTGTGGGTCAAAACCTGGAGCACCTCCCAAATGGGTAGGTCTCGTAGTCTGTTCATTTTCGGTGGAAAATACAGGGTCCGTTGAACGATCCAAAAGAGCCAAGACAACAAAATCCAAGGAAGTCCAAGGAAATCCAAGCGCTCAAGCTTTCACTACAGACTGTACCGTTTTGACCTTCTTTCGCATCCCTCGCGCGGCCATCGGCCAGAGCTCTTAGTCTTGGGGAGCAGCATGCTAAAGGTGAATTCCCACCCTGTTGAAGGTGACGATCAACGTAATGACCTCCAAAAAAGACGCCACCAGGTTTCAACGCACGGCTCGGCTCGGCATGCGTTTTGCTAGGCATTCGCGTTTCGTCGGCTCGCGCCGAAAAGCTCCCATCTTGTCCCCTGAAAAAGACATGAACAGTTGCTTTGGCGAGCTTCTATAGCTGGATAATACATATGCAGTGTATAAAGGCGTGCATTGGAGCAACAACGTGTGGTTCTTGATGCTCTACTTTGCTGATGTTTGCTCGTTCAATCGGTGGTTGGATGTTGATCAAAGCTTCTTCACACCGCTTTGCACCGAACCACCCTACCAGTGGATATCACTGGATTCCCCCAAAACCGAACGGACCAATTAGGGAAGCCGGACACCCCGTCGTCGGTTCACCGTCGACCGCCGCTGCACTGGGGCGATCCCGGTCTCCGCCGTTTCCGCTTTCGAACGCCCTTCCGAAGGGGGAGACGGGTCGAGACGCCGTTGACACCGTAGGTCCGCAGCGCGGGGTAGACCGGACGACGGTCTGAGGTCACGGTGCAATACATGGTGGCGGAGGCGCAGTACGGCGGCCGCATCACGGATGACTTGGACCGTGAGCTCTTCAACACCTACGCGGCCAAGTGGTTCTGCTCCGTCCTCGGTTTTTGGGTTTTTCTTCTTCGGCTCTGAAGAAAGGCCAAGGAAGATCAAGGAAGATCCGACTTTGACATGCCAACCTACGTCACAGAGATTGATGTGGGTGTTTCCTTTATGATCTAGAGAGGGTAGGTAGACAGCCCTTCTGTTGTCCAAGGCGATGACATTTGGAAGCCATCCTTCACTTTCAACAACTACCAGCGATGGCCTCAGATCCACAAAATGGGTATCCAGTTTCTTTCTCTTGCGCACTTTCAGCACCATGGTTATGGAGGTTTGCTTTGATGAACATGCCCTGCTGTGCTTGCTGTGAACTTTGAAGTGCATGGCATATTTTAAACCTTTCATTCCTATCCTCTTTGAGAATGAGACTGAAGGTCAGACTACAACTACAAGATTCCCGAAGGCTTGGACATTCAGCAGTACAAGGCTGGGACCTCAACACGCCCCTTCCGCAGTTCCAAGCATTGCATCCTCTCGCTCGCTTGAGCCCGCTCCACCCGCGGGTGGTGCGGCGCGGTGCCGCGGCGCAGGAAGCGATTGACACCATTCCATCAGTGGACTCTCCATTGATCTTTGGAATCTCAGCTTGAATTGGGCAGGTTTGGGCGGGTTTTGGATGTTTTTCTTCTGTGATTTTGGATGTTGCTGGGGAAGATGGTTTATTCTTTCCTGTGGGTCCTGGACAGAAATCCAAGCAAATCCAGAGGCAGCTTTTGGTGGTTTTTCCACAAGAATCCTTTACCGGGCACGGTATCACAGTGTCACATCTCGCCAATGAAAAAGCTCACGAGCTCTGTTACGTTTGAAGAACTTTACATAGAGAAACGGAGAGGTCACCACTGGTGATGGACTCCTTTCATGGCCTCCTACAAGTTGACTCCTTTCATTGCCTTGAACCCATTGATTTCATTGATTTCTGCTGTTCGAACTGGTTCTTTCACGACTGATCAGACTTGAGCAGATTCAGCTGGTCGAACTGGCCTGTGTCCTGACTCCATCCGACCATCTTTGACCCAATCTGATTTAGCATTGACCATCGCAGGTTCGTTTCACCGTAGGCGCTTCAGGACTTTGACCTTTGCCCATCTCAGACCTACTTGACCTCCTACTGAACCTCAGACGTCTGAGGGTTGGATGGGTTGGGAGCTGCCAATCAAATGGAAAGGACAACCAAATCGAGATTCGCTCCATGGAGAAACTCTCTCCTCCGTCTCTCTCAGAACACATCGCTTGACCAAGCGCTCGTGCGCTTGGTCGTGCCGCTAGAGGTCGGCTGGACGATCGGGACCCATGAATAGCCCCGAAAAGAGGTCAAGGGGCATTAACCACCAGGTTCGATTTCTTTCGTTTCTGTCCGTTTTTTTTTGGTGGCGGGTGGCGGGTGCAAGCTGACCAGGCCTGCACAACAACGCGGATCTGACCTACCGCATGAAGGAGGCATCAGAGATCCTTGACTTCAATGAATCACTCACGGTGATTCGAACGGTCCCTCTATCTAGTAGTATCTGGCCATCCAGCAAAAAACATAGCCAAGAGAATGGAGTTGGGATATATAATCAGCTAGTGCAGAGTGCATCATGTCTTTGTGACAACTCCTGACTTGCTTTGAGGATTGGTGGTGGGAAAAGCAGTTGGTGGTCTTCCAAAAGAAGAGTTCCATCAGTTCCGTCCAACTTTTGAAAGAGTGAGCGAGAGAACTTTGGTCGGACCCATTCATTTGGGGTGTCTAATGGAAGTCGTCCACATCCGGGTCGTCGGTCGAGGAGCTTGCTTGCGTTTCACCTCGCGAGGATCGGAGGTAGTTGGGCGCCCGTCATCGGTCACCGCATTGGACCGGCAGCACCAGTTTTCGCTGTTGTCCATGGCTCAAGCGAACTCAGGATGATCATGACGATCATCGAGACTCAGCCAAAAGACTCTGGAGGCTCAGGTGGTCGGGTGGCCCAGGTGGTCGGGTGGCGATGAACCGTCGAAGCGTTTGCCGAACGCAGGATACAGATCGTGTCCGCTTGGTCCGGTTTGTCTCATGATGAACACGAAGGCCCAAGCCGCCTTGGAAGAAGCTACTACTTGTAGTAGCTCCTGGCCCTACTACTAGTAACTAGAAGCTACTATAGTAACAAGGGCATTTCTACTAGGAGCAGGTTGTCCTGTACTTGTTGCTTCAATCACGGAGCGCCCGGTGAAGGTCAGTGACGGACTCCGCAAGGGGCATTGGCACCCCTACCCTCGGCACGTCCTACGTCCGACGAGTCGGAGGCGTCCGGGGTTCGAACGTCGTCCTTTGAACCGATGGGACTCCCCCATCCAGTGCCCCGCAGAGTCCGATGATTGGGCTAGACCAAGCCTTTGATCAGCAATGCCAAGGTTTTGGCGCATCTGGAAATTCCACAGGGTCTGTCTTGCCCAAGCCTTTTTGGGGGGATTTGGGGGGGGACACCCGGACGTGGGACATCCCACTCCAACCCTGTTGGAGTTCGTTTCTTTCACCTTTCTTTTCCAGACATCTCTGGAATCTCTGGCTTGGGGGTCACTCAGTAAATGATCCCGGTGACCCCAAACCTGACCAGGGCTTGCCCCTTTTCGGGCTTGTCGAGGAAGGGCGGTCGGAGGGGAGATAGAGGGAATCTCCTCAGCTGCAGAGGAGGCTTTTGAAGTTCCTTTTTTGGGAGGATACCTCGAGGACCATGTGTTACAGAGCAAGCTTCTTTTGAGGCATCAGGCGTCATCAGGCAAGTGTCAAAAAAGAAACCGCACCACCGTCCAATTTGAAGGGTCACATGTCACAATCCGGGTTTTGCAGACTGGGTGAGTCGTCTTATTTGGCCCAGACTGGGTGAATCCCCTAACTGTTGTTTTTCTCTTTCCCAGACGCGACCCTGGACCCTCATATGCAGGGGTCGGACCCTCATATGGAGGGGTCCGGACCCTCAAATCCCTATGGTTTTGAGGGCCCAAGGCCTGTTTGGAGCGTCTGGGTTTTGAAACTTTTTCTGCCAGGTCCCGAATCAGCACCGTCCAAGTGTTCCAACCTCCACCATCTTTTCGTGTGTTGCCTTCGCGTGGGAAATCGCTGAGGCAAATCCACCGACGAGATCGTCAAGGACTTGTGTGGCTTGGACTCCGGGCTTTTGCCTCCAACGTCGACCGCGCCTGAAACAACATGCCCTAAGAATCCTGGCAGGGCTCTCCATGGGGGTCGGACCCTACCGTATGGAGGGACCCGGGCCCGAACCAAACCCTATCTGTTCGAGAACCCGGATTCTTAGGGTGTGAAGAACAGAATACCAGCACCTTCAAAGGGGTCACGAATGGAAGCCCCTACACTACTAAGGGACCTCCATTGGACACCCCTTGATTGTCCAGGTATGTTTGTTTTTCATATTTTTTCAATCCAAGGCTACCTTAACCGGACCAATGGCGAAACATGTGGCCTACCATGGCGTAAGTAGTGACCCCTGGTCCTTCCTGGTGTAACAAAAACCATATCCGTTTTGCGACCAACGCCGTCATCGTGGTCTCCGTCCTTCGAGTCGGCACGAAGCCGATCGATCGACATCGGTGAGGTCGGGCTGTCAAGCATCGTCGAAAAAAACGCGTCGTGTGGAAAGGTCCCCCGGACCGAGGGTCGCTGGGCGTCGCCTTTTTTTCGCTTTCAAAGGGATCTGGGCCGATGGCGCATGTGGGGCTGCTTATTTTGGTTTCATGGTCCGTAGAACACCGCGGATTTGAAGCACAAAACACGCCATGCCCTCGCCCAGGCATGGACTACCTCTCAAAGATGCGCCTTGGACACGTTTAGTCACAAGACGGGAACAAATCACATGATGGAGTCCCCAAAGCAGCATAAGACCCCCAAAGACGTCCAGACCCTCTGGTCCAATCTACACCATCGTGCAGCAGTTCTTCTCTCGTAGGATATACTGGGTTCTGGGGTTTTCTATGGTCTCAAGTGGCTTGCGAACGTGCCCTTGCAAAGAACGCGCTCCTTTGGTGCATCAAGCTCGTGGTTCTGGTGCATCGAGCTTGAAATTTCTATCAGTCATCGCGTCTCGGACTCCTCTCAGTTCACTGCCAGCGACGAATATAACAGTATATAGACCACTTCCAACAGGTCTCCGAAATGGTGCCCAGACTCATGCTGACTTTTATCAATTGGTGGTGACCTGTTGATCGTTCAGGTGCTGTCCTTTTCTTTTGAAAGACGCTGGGACCCGCCAAGCCCTTCCGGCTCTCTTTCCTTCGGCTCGTGTTCGGCCTCCTGACGGACTCGTCGAGGCCTCCGGACTTCGTCGAGGAGATCTTCCGTGCACAGATCCAAAAGCTCAATGGGCCCAAGGACAAAGGAGTCGTCATCGACAAGGCAGATGGGAGATGGGGAGAAGGGAGAATGCGTCACGTTTCACGTGAGGACAGGAGTGTGTGATGTGAGTTTTCATGTTGGTCTTCAGTGTTTGGATGTTTGAAAGATTGAGTTGGTTTGGGGTGTTTATTGGTTTGCGTTGGAGATTGGCTTAGAATGGACTTTTGATTGGGTTGGAGCTTGGTTTGGGTTTTTCGTGACTTTAGTGGGATCTGAAAGAAACTGACAGTTGCCCTGAAAGGTGATCTGTCCCTTTTCCTGCCACAAATTTCATTCGTTCAGCTGTCGAAGATGGTGTTGCATGGCATGGCGGATGAGACAATGGGGCTGAAGGAGAGTTTGGTGTCGCCAATTCTCGTTTGATGAATTGCCGACAATAAGTTCCCTCTCCCCGCAGGGCTTTGGCGCGCCGCTGAACATCTTCCTGTTCCAGGCAGTTTAGCTGGAAGTGAAGGTCCAGCAGGTTGGAAGGATTATATATTTCATATCATTTTGGCACATTCAGGGACTGTCAAGCTTGGTTTTGCCTGTCAAGCGACTCCCACATTTGCCCAGTTGCTTTGAGGGGATACATGTTGTCGCACATGTGTATCATGCGAGGGCTCGGAGAATTTGACTATGCTTTCTGGAATTCTCCAGCAGACTGACGAAGCATAGAAGTGGACAACCACCTCATGCAAGGGGCCATGCCTTCCACGTCCATGACTATTCCAGGGAGTGTACTAGAAGTTAGATGAAGTGAGTACTGATTCGTGGAGCCATGCCCATGGCGATCTCATTTGTGGATCTATAGAACCGTTCACAGCCAAACCATCAGCTTGGCATCAAGGACGTTCATTTCATCTCATGTCTTCCATTGATTGGCACCTTTTTTCACCGGTCCCGTCGTGACTGCCCAATACTCCCGGTGCTGCCTAGGAGTTGCAGCGTTTGCAGAACATCATTGGCATTGTGCGGACGAACCTCAAGACCGACTTGCTGTTTTTTTTTCTCGCTTTTGCTTTTGGGGATTTGTTTAACACTGGTGTTGTGCTTCTGCTTGGTTGATGAATAATTAGAGGGGATACCCCCGGTCGTGTACAAGCTGGCTAGGTCTATGGTACGTCGACCGGATGGTCGACTGGTGCGAGACCTCCCAAAGTCCACCTCTGTTTTCGAGAAGTCTGGGACCAACCTTTTAATGGAGCTCTGTCCAGTTCTGGGGACTGCCAGTTCCCCACAGCCAAATGGGATCAAACATGGATCTGCAAAAAAAGCGCGAGACCTCCCAGAAGATAGACTCAGAACGACTCAGATAGACCAGTCGACCCATTGGACCGACTAACATGGGATTGGGATGGAAGTGAGGGGAATTTCTCGGCGAATGTATCGGCGAGTCCCAACACCAAGGAGTGGGCGCTTGGCTCCAAGCGCCCAATTCCAGTTGAAAGGTTTGAAAGAGGAAGGGAGGGCAACAAGATGGTTTTTATCTTGAGTCTTTTCGACCCCTCGTCAAATAAGGCACTGCCTCGAGGTTCCACAGTCCTCGAGGTTCATACTGAGACGAAAGAACCCGGGTGTTCGACCCATCTCTCGTCCGTCGCGTGCTTTCCCCCGACGGTGAAGCCGACCGCAGGAACGTGGCCGCAGCCATTGATGGCACCGTGGTGATGACGACCGAGCTGATGGAGCGACGATGTCAGCGGGGCCATCGGATGTAGACTCGGTGGACTTTCTCTGTCCAACATGGAGTGTTGACTATTTTGGGGCTCTACCATGCAGACGCATCCTTTTCTTTTAGAAAGAGAAGCAACTGGGTCCGGGAACTCCCGGGGTGGTGTCCCGTCCCATCCCAGAAGGAACCGAAGAATACCGGTCTCACCCGGTCCGCAGGTCCGGGAACCCCACGCGGAACCCGCAGGAAGACTTGGGCTTCCTCTTCGATGCCCGAGTACCTCGAGGTGCGGTGAGGGACGGAGACGTCGCCGGTTCTCGCGTTCGGGCTCGGTTCGGTTCAGCGTTAGGTTCGCCGAGGGACCGAGGGACTCAATGGTTCGGAGGTTTGTTCGGTTCTTGGCGTTTCTTTTTTTTTTAATCGTATCGATGTGTGGTGTGTTTTGGGGGTGGGTGGGTGATCTGATCCGAGCAAGTTCTTTTGGATTGATGATTGGGACCGGAGCATGTTCTTTCTTTTCAAGATGTGTTTTTGGGGGGTTGATTGTTGATGTGTCAAGGCAAATTCCTTTGGACTTTGGATGAATGGGAAGATGAGGATCCTGCCGTCATGCATCACAAGGCCGTGAAAGACTTATGCAGTATCATGTATCCTTTGAGCCTCTCTCAGCATCCTCTGAGCACGCTCGACTTGATTTCAACATCAATAAAGAAGTATTCATGAATCATATTATACCCTCCGACTTACTAACATGGAAGTGGATGGCATGGACCCTTGGAAGACGATGTTCCTTTACAGACAGGGTGGGCCATCCAGTTCCATGTGATGTGTCCGTCCGAGTGTAGATGCCATGGATCTGAAAATAAAGACCCCAAGATGGGGTCTGTGGAACCCCGTCCCTCCAAACATGTGCAAGTGAACGTCTATGTGTTTTTGTTTTTTCATTGTCTCTTTTTTCTCAAGAGTCTCGCTGGTCTCGTAGCGTTGGTTTTCTCTCCACACAAAAACTCCAGAATCGACATCCGGAACACTCCGTCGACGTCGTCTGTGCGGTCCTCGACTCCGGTCCAAAACCGGTCGAGGTTGGACCAACGATCCCAGCGGCGCCGAGATCTCTTGGCTGATGCCGAATCTGGGAGGCGCGCGATGGGAGGAGGATGCTGAGCTGATGGGATGGTCGGTGATCTCTTGGTCGGCTTTCTGACAGTCGAAGAATTCGAACGTTTCGAACGGAGGGTAACGTTGTGAAGATGACCATGTGTGTAGGAACAGCTATGATATCCTATGACCATTGTGACTTATTGAAGTTGTTTTCGATCTGTTCTGTTGCACGATTTGTGCAAAACAAGGTCAAGTAGCTTGGAAGCTACTGTACCAGACCGAGTCTTCTTCACCTAGAAGTGGAAGGAGAGCCTCCTGAATAGGTTGGTCCTTGCCTTCTTGGTCTCATGATTACGGACCAAAAGTGCTGGCGGTGTCTCAACCTTGAGCCTACCGCTGCAGAATTGTACGTAAGAAAAGACACTGCTGATGATGTTGAAGCCATAGCCATACAGTAGCATGCCATAGCCATTGCTGGTATATCACCAGCCATAGCACCAGGTGTTTGTTACGGCAGTTTACTTAGAAGGGTGCGGTGCGCATGTGTTTGAATCTTTCTGGTGCCTTGCTAGGAACTTTGCCACCCAGTTCCTAGAACTGGAAGACACGTTTACTTATAGAAGCTCGTCTATTGAACAGGTGGGTCTCTCTTTCTTGAAACAGCCATTTTCCATGCCTCCCCAGCCAGGATGGTTCACCGGCTTGACCGAGCGTCAGCAGTCACCTGGGTATGGCAACATCGCACTCGACGATGTCACCGTTTGAGAGATGGGTATGGCTCAAAAGTGCAACTGACTGGCAGTCGTACCCCCAAAGTCCCATGAAATCAGACATCCATGGGGGACGAGCAGGGATGACATTGTCATTTCATGTCATTTCCCTGTTAGGGTGCCAAATCCACTGATACAAGTCAAAGCAGTCTATCGCCTGTGGGTTTCAGGGTCTCATTTTCAAAGCTATAGATCACTTCCTAGCCCGGCCGTTTTGTCGGGCTCGGCCCGTGCTCGCCCAAAAGCAAGGCCTCAGCAAAAGCATTTCACACCCTTTCATGTATGTGTGGATAAGAACTATGGATGTTGGAAATCCAAGGACTTGTTTAGTCATTTTATACGTCTATTTCTTTAATATGTTTTTCCAGCTTTGGTCCCGAAGCAAGGCATATCAAAGAAGGGTCTGGCTTTATTCAGTTTGTCTTTCTTTGTGTAAGATGCTTGCCTTGCTGAAGGATGCATCTCCCCTTGATTCTATAAGATGCATCTCCCCTGTATACATGCCATGCCCTGTGGGTGTGTGTATGAAACTCGGGAGACCTCCCAATTCGGTTCGGAGACCAGGGGCAAGTTCTTGGATGGTGAACACCGGGCTGGCATCCTAGGATGTTGAACACCTGGCTGGAGCAGGGGCGAGAGAAGATGAAGGCATGACTCTCCAACTCCGGCATGAAGCATGTCCGAAGATTCATGAGCATTCATCAGTTCCAATCAGGCAGACTCATAAACATTGGAACACGTCCATAACTGGGCGTTCCACACCACTCACCTTCTCTGTGCATCTCATCGATCAACAACTGTACATCGCAGGCCTATTGGATTACTGGCTTCACCAATGCCCAGGGCTTCCTCACAGGGATGCGTCAGGAGGTGCGGCCCAGCGTCACTCTTCGTTCCAGGGCGGTCACCGACCGGTGACCGGTGCGGGTGTTCCGCAGGTGGAGTGGTGGAGTGGTTTTCCTGAGGACTCCAGGATCGAACAAGCAGGGATGAATAGGAACCTGGACAAGGTGTCCTGGCTGGAGGTCCCGGATAGTAGTGTAGGGGCTTCCAGCCAGGTGACCCCGACATGAAGGTGCTGGAATCGAACATGAGTAACTTGAACATATTCCTACTACTACTACCTCACAAGAAGAGCGACAAGACGTGGATCACAGCTCTGGATCTGGATCCCATGCGCCAGGTGACGCGACAGCATAAGAAGGATCAATGGTCCTTGGATGAAGTGATCTCCCACACCGATGTGTTGCCTGGCAGTCAATTCTTTGCCTGGCAGATCTGGGAAAACCACTGGGTCATGACACCCGGGCACGGAATCCAGGACTCATGGCTGAGCAGAGTCCTCCTCTGTTTGTTTTAGGGATGTCAACCTCCCATGGTTTATGTCAAGCTCCCATGGTTTCTGAACTCTTTTATTGGTGAAAGCAGAGATCTTGGGTCGTGGGTCAAAGACAAACTCCGAAAAAACTCCCACCCGTTGAAAAGGAAGGCATGGGGAGAGCCATTGGAATACGCCGATCGTTTTGCATTCCAAAATTCCCCAGGAATGAAGACAGATGTAGACTGCATTTAATCCCTCCTCCCTTTGGATTGTAAAACCGCTTCGAGGCCCAGGAATCATCAAAAGGAATAGCCGTGAACTCTTGGACTTCCCGGCTATCGCAGCTTTTTTCGGCTCTCCCGATGCTCCACACGACCTACCCAACCGACCCCCCGATGCTCCGAGCGTCTCGTCTCTTCAAGGCTGGCAAAAGACTTGGAGCGTCTGGGAGACAACACCGGGCCACCGGAAGAGGGACAGAGACTCGGCAACATCCTGGGGGAGGTGCTGCGGCCGCTGTCGGGCAGTCGAGTGGGGTGGCAAGTGGTCGGGCAGTCGGCCGTGCAAGTCGGGCAACTGTTTGAGGCGCGGTGAGGGATCTGTCAAGGTTAATACAATCAGATGATGCATTGCTGTTTCAATCTGTTTCATGTTCGGACTTCTTGAGGCCTGCCAGGTGAGTCAGCACCCCATGTTTCGCATCGTTTTGCTTCGACTCTACAGCGATCTGAGAGGACAGCCCAAAAGGATTCCAGTACTTCGAAGCCCCCAGGTCCCCGGAAACCGGGGTGGTTCATGGACACGCCTTAGGGGCCCTGGTCGCCTAAACTTGGCTTGATGTTTTTTCGACTCCGGACCCATGGCCTCAGTGGCCTCAGTGGCTCAGTAACAAGAAGCTACGAACGTAACAGGTGCATCGCTACTAGTTACTAGTAACAAGTGCATAGTGCATTACTACTAGTAGCAAGAAGCTGCTGTACTGTACTAGTATCTACTAGTAACAGGTGCACCATATCTCTATCAGTCAGTTCGCATCATGAAGCTTGGCGCGAACTTCGCTCAGGAACATTTGGGGCCTGTACATTGAAGGTGGTCGATGGAACAGACAGGAGATCTTGTTGACATGGCATTGGCGCTGGGGTGTTCTACACGCCAGGTCAAAGATGCCCAACCCGCCACGAGCGAATTCCATCCATCATGACAAAATTGGTGTTGAGTGATTCCAACATATGTATTCCAAACACCATGATGTACCAGGTAAGGTTTAAAAGAATGTAAAACATATATTTAAACATCACAACCAGCTTCTTCAGTTCGTGACCTTTTGAAGTTTCCTTCCTTCGTGACCCTGTTGGAGGCTTGTTCGTGATCGAACCGACGTCACGACCGACATCACCCGACCTGTTTTTGCCTCGCCGGTCGGGAAGCGGGTAGGATAGCCGCATTGAAGAGTCGGAACCGAAGAAGCTCTTCACCACCATGCCGGTGATCTATGTCACAGCGATCAACATGAAGGATCTGAAGGTGTGAGGATGAAGGAGGTAGATGTGAGAGTAGATGTGAGAGAGGTCTTCTCACTTTTGGCAAATCTAGACAGATTGATTGGAGTTGATCAAAAGATCACGATGATGCAAATGGATCTTGGGATCATACTACAACTACCAGAATGCAGCATGTTTTGGAAAGACTAATGCCACTGCCCACAGCAGGATGGCAAACATTTTTTTCACAGGTGTCTCCAGCCACAGGTCCCTTAAACAATTTTACATAAGTCAACACACGCAGAGCAGTTCACACATACATGCACCTTTCAAACCTTTGGCGACGTTGTGCACACAGAACAGAACAGGTCTCAGTCACAAACTTCCATGGAGACCACGTTCTGACATGGGTGCCATGTCAGAATTGCTCCTTTGAGGGTTCTATATTATTTTCAATACATGAGCACAAAGAGTGATCCCAACGTCGCCCGTACGGTTAAGAACGGTATGATAACATGGGCAAGCTACTGACCACAACTGCTGGAATTACTTGAGAGCAGGTGTGCTTGAGAGAGCACACACTAGCTCAAAATCTACGAAACACACTGTAAATACCGCGCAAAGTTGAAATACTGCTCTGAAAGACTTTGGGCTTACAGTATTTGGCTCAGTGAGGAACCCTTTGGCCAGTTAGCCTCAAGATATTTTTCAGCAATTGTTTCAGAGTACTTCCGTCATCAGCAAGAGCGTTTGTTTGGGTGGTTCCTCATCCCAGGTTCCTTTTTTTGAAGCCAAAGCCATTTGTTTGGTGCTGAAAGACCAAGTGCTTCATTTCGCGGAGTAGCTGTGTTCATTTCGGTGCTAGATTGGTTGGTATTGGCAGCGTTCCTCTGCAGTTTCAGCATTGAGTAAGGTCACCAAAAATCCGACGGTGTCGAGAATGTGGCATTTGGTGACCTGGTTCGTGCCAGCAAACACGTCCGCCTGGGCGGAACAAGCTTACCTCACTTCCAGTGCCACAGATCAGTATGCTTGATCTGAGCGAAACCCACATGGATTATAGGTCCCAAGACACCCTCCTGCCGGGCTCACCCACATGGATTATAGGTCTTCCAGTAAACCATCTTGTCTCGTCCAATGCATAGCCCACCCAGGTCCTGGATGCTCCAGTTCGGTTTATCTTGGTCTGTTGGAACCTACTACCACATCCAGAGGATATCCATGAAACATTGTAGATATTTGTATATCTCTATAATAGATATTAATATATTATAGATCTATTAATATCTATTAAATAATATCTATATATTGAATAGTGTTTCGCTTTTCTTGGAAGACCCGCTGTCGCTTCTGGTCGATCCCCATCGATCTCTGCTGCGAGGGCATGGGCCTCAACTATGGGCCGCACGGGCCATACAACACGGCGGTGTACAAGTACCCCAAGCGCAGCTGGGCTGGATGGGTGGGCCAGTTTCGTTGGGTTAGGCCCTTTCTTCCCACAGAAACCGGCAATGGGCAGCGACCTCCGGTGAAGCGCGACCTGCGGCGCTTCTTTTGATGCATTGAGAGTAGATGGCACAACCCCGAAAGGAGGTTTTTATGGACACCCCATCTAACAAAGACATTTTTGGGTGCCAGTGCTATTTAGTCTGAAGCCACTGCAATTCAAACTGTAGTGCAACACCTCAGGTTTGGGAGCCATTTCTTGCACCCACGTGACCTGTCCTCCAGTCTTACCGCTCCGTTTTCTGTAGATTTTCAGCAGGAGAAGTTGCTACGAGATTTGATGGAGGGTCCAAAGAACTACTGTACTCGAAAGCCCAACAATCATTCTCCACAACTTAGAACTCATGTAGAACCCAACAGACATGTTACTCTGGCTTAGAACGATTGTGAAGAACCCTTGTTACTCTGCGAACCAGTCGACATGATCCAGTCGCATCTTGAAGAACCAGGTCGAACCCTCGGGCGGGTGGGCACCAGGGCGGGCCCTGAGAGTGTCCGATGAGAGTGTCCGAACTTCATTGGACCGAGAAGTCTCGAGGCAACGACCGGTACCTCATCTTCCGCATGTTGCTCCGCACCGAGTTGCACCCCTTCCATTGGAGCCTGGGACGACCGCGGCGGAAACCTCGGCGACCGCGCGTTGTTTTTTCGGCGACTTCCGTTGGGCCGACCAATCACGGTGAAACGACACTGTATGACTGGAACTGGGAGGGTGTGGTGATAACTGATCACATGTGGAGTATTGATGAATCATCCCCACCCGGTTCTTTCTTTTGGGTGGTGATCACATGTGCCACAACTGGTCGGTGTTCATCATGCTTGGAGATGCTTCAGTTGATGGGTTGACCATCCTTCTTTGGGCAGGTGCTCAAGGATTTGGGCCTCACATGGTCACATGGCTGTGGGTCATGACACCAGGATGACCGACCGGTTGACCGGTTGACCGGGCGTTGACTGAGTTTGGGCCCTTCAGCTTGGCTGGGGACCGTGGGTACGTGTGGTAGATGTCTATAGCTGGTGATGGTCATACGAAAAACTGTACAGCAAATAGCACCATGATGCAATATATGAACAGTTTCGCACAGTATCAAAGAGGTTGAAGAACACTCCATGACAAGTGGAACCTGCAAAGAAGCAAAATCCATTACGTAAGTGAGAAGCTACCCAGGCAAGACTAAATGAACTGCCACCAGAAGCCCACAATGGGAGGCTTACAGAGAGAAAGTCTGTACACCTCAGCGTCGCACAGCGACTGGATCGTATGCAGCGAAGGAAAAAGGCGAAACGGTAGGATCATCAACTCACTCGCCACGGCGGTTTTCGCTATGACGAAGTATCAATGAACATGACGCAGTTATTGGCCCAGGCCGATGTCGATATGTAAGCGCCTTTTGGCCACAATGGGACTTCGCAGGTCACCAAACAATTCACCATCAAGCGCGACTTTCAGAGCGCAATGTTCAGTAAAAGCCGAAAGAAGTTGGGAGTCCTCTGCAGACCCTTCTTGAAAGCTTGGCTCCAAGAACTCCCAAAAATAGAATGTCTCCTCTTCCCACGCTGCTAAATCAGGCGTTTCCTGGAAGAAAAATGCCTCACTTATCTCTTGACAGACTTCTGGAAACTTGGTGGATGTCATCACCAAATAAGTCGAGCACGAACACATTCCAAGGTTGGTCTCTGCTATGATCATCTCATGGCTGGGGCATATCGACGATATCAGGTGGTGTGATTTCAGAGGTAATGCTCTCTGGGATACCATGGCTTGATTGGCACCCCCGCGTCCCAGCGGGGGCAACAGCCGCACCAGGTGTGAGCACACAGGCGGTGGGTTCGAGCCTAATAGCCTTGGTTGATCTACCTAGGAGGTCGTTCGCGATCTTGGTGGACCAGAGCTCCAGATTTTGAGTAAAAGAACCTGTGAAGTTTAAGCTGCCCGACAGATTTCTCAAACTCTCCCATTGCGGGTTTGATGCCACTCAAAAAACTCCACCCACTCACCCCACCAAACCAGCTTCGGCTTCGACTCACTCACTCACCCCACTCACTCCCTCAAATCGACGCGGTCTCAGCCCGTGTGTCGGCCTCAGGAAGCTTCGTGGTGTGTGCCTTGTGGCACAGACAGAGTAGAAGGCTGCTTGGCACAAACAGTGATCCGATGTGATCTTCCAGATTTTTTATTTTTCTGGGAAAAATGGGGCCCTGGATGGGCCGAGCAGTTGCAATTATTTTTGTTCTACACCCAGCTGCAGCTCAAGTGCTCTTTGGACCCAAGAATTGCTGCTGCTTGGGACCTTGCAGGTCCGGTCCAAAGGGTCCCGAGTGTCCAACGAACGGCTTCACCCAACTGATGGGTTTGGGGTCCTAAAGAGTCTTGAAGAGTTGCTTCCTTTCTTTCATGAGCCTCAGGGACTCCATCATCCACTTGCCCCGAACTTCCATGAACCCAACGAGGAAAACGGTCCGCATGTGGAAAGTAGCCGGAGCCTTCGGTAGCGAGATCGAGCCGGAGCCTGCGGACAATTGATCTGATCCAACCTTGGGATCATTGCTCAATTCTCAAGGAGTTCTGCAGACATCTCAAGAATTCGGCATTCTGGACCTTTCTGGCTAACAACCGCACACCGACCGCCTGAGGTTAGAGCGGACCGACCGCGGAACGCGGACGGGACTGATTGCAAGACTGCCAGCATGCCGACACTGTTCAAAAAGGGACCTTCGAATGCGTTCGATGGTTGGTGAACGAGTCAAGGGCGTCACGTGGTCGTGCATGGTCAAGTAAGTGATGTCAAGTACTTGGAGCCCCGAAGGAGGCAGGAGGATGCGAAGGAGTCAGGAGGATGCGAAGGAGTCAGGTGATGTTTCGTCTTTGGGGACGAGGCACTAGAGGGGCAGTGTGGCAAATGTTAAAAAAAAGGATTACTCTCCCGCAAACTAACATAGAACCCGAGAATTGACCGGTGGAAGACCATTTTCCTCTACAACCTAGTGGTTTTGGGGGTCTATGTTAATCTGCAGGGGGGTAGTGCGGCTAGGGTGACAATAGTGGCAAGCATCAGCCCCGATCCAAGCACGGCGAAGCATGTGCATCATGCAGTTAAGTCGGCTTCACACCGTATCCACCGGGTGTGGAATACAGAGTCGGCTTGATCTGTGTTGTGCTACTTAGACTTGTCCTTTCACGGGGAGGATGGACTGGACACACCCGGGGTGTCTCATTCTTTCTCATGGTTTCTGATCCACATGATCCACATGTCTCACTTTTCAGAGCACGGTTTCGGCCTTGGCAACGACCGCAGCTTCCATCGGCCTTCGCAGGCTCCCTCCTTGGTCGCCCTGCGCCAGGCCAGCGCGGCCCTGCAGCGCATGGGACGCCAGGACCGCGACGACGCCCGCCTGGGTCCGCTCCGACACCCGAAGAGCGAGTGTGCAGGTTTGGGTTTGACGTGTCGGAGAGTAGTCCCCTTAGAGGTTAAGGGGTGCACCCTGACACGCTGGAACCGCTGGTCCTGGTAGACGCGTGTTCTTGGTTCTGCGCGGGCGGCCGAATCGCGCAACGCGAGCGAGGCGCGCAACGCGCGGCGAGTCGCGCATTGCGGCATGCACGCCGCAGTCATAAACCAAGCGCTATTCAAAGTCGGTTTTGCAGGAGGTGAGACGATGCTTGGTGCAGCATCTTCAGGTGCTTGACACAGCGACTCTGGATGAGGACAGGAGCTGTGCTGTGCTGGGAGTGGCAAGCTTGACCCCCAAGACTCAAGTTCTACCGGATCCAGTGCACCGGAACTTGATGCAGGCTCGTCGGCTTAGAGGAGTCGGCTAGTCGCTCGTATCTCTCATTCCAACAGCACTTGGTCCACAGAGTTCTCAATGGATCCAGCAGAGTTCTCAATGATCTTTCTGCCGTGAGCAATCTGATAGAGGGCAAGGTTCTCACACAAGCTTCAAGCATCGGGTAGTAGAGGTTGCGCCTTTCTTCGTGAGTTGCTCTATCCATGGTGCAGAATGCGGTATGCTTTAAGAATGACTTCAGGACGTTGTGTTGCGATTAAACTTATGCCTTCCTTCGGAAGTGCAAAAAATCGAATCCAGTCCGCAACAGCATCTGGGCGGTCCTTTGAAAAGCGGTCTCGCTATAGCTGATCAACTCGTGCAGATCGCAGGCCAAAGCAGAGAAGCACATTCCAGAGGTTTTTCACAGCCTTACTTATAGCCCATCCCATATGTACCACAGACCTGGGTCCAAACGTTCAGGTCTCAAAAAACCTCTCTTGCTTGTGGGAAGTTTGGAGACTTGGGATCACTCAGGGTTCTTGGCATCCTGCCATCCTGCCGGGTCGGAAGACCATGCTTCTAGATTCTAGGTGGTGGTCTTCGGATATGTTTACTTGGGATGATTCTTCACCCACAGGTCCTCATATTTTTCGGCTCAAATCACCAACCAGGTATGCTGCTACTATTGTTGGCAGACCGGCCGCAACCCCTGCAGGAGGAGAGCCGGTCCTTGGCCACCGTGGCGGTGCGCCGAGCGCACTCGCGTGCGCGCGCGCAGCGTGTCGCGCGCAGTGTTTTGGCGAACGCGATGTCGACGCAATGAACAAGGAACGACGCCCCAGCGGTCTCGAATCCGATTCTTGAATAGGAGATAGGAATGTACTAAGTGAACTATAACTCAGAAAGATTGATCCAGCCCATCCTGGGATGGGCTTGACGAACATGTAGTGTCGATGCTCCGCCAGGATTTGCTCTCCAGCCTTCCGGAGACGGAGGACACAGCGGGGGGCACCCGTTTACGCAGTGACTTGGGGAAGCGCGAGCTTCGCTGGAAGACGCAGAAGGGAGTACCTACAGAGGTTAAGTGACCTTATAGGACCCTACAGGAGTACCTATAGGATAGTCTATAGGGTTCTTCAACCTTTGCTGGTAGGTGCCAAGTACATGTAACTGTGCATCCGTATGTACGCGTGATGCTCACATGCAGCATGTGAGAGCAGTGCATGCGAGTCATATGACGCGCATGACCATGCACTTGGTCGAGTATTAGCTCCAGCAACGCAGATTGGCAAGAGTTGTTCGGGACAAATTTGGATACAGATCATCAAGCGGAGCAAGGATGCAGTGTTGATCACTGACTTGTGTTGAAGCAGTGACTGACGCGACATGAGTTGGACATAGTTGGTCAGTTTCTGGACCAAACATACGAAGAATCAGTCCGCTCATGTCTTGTCAGTCCTTCACAACACTGGAGATCAACGTGGACCAGCCGCAAATATCACACGCGTTCCACTAAACGAGGCAGCAGGTCTTCAATGAATGCTGTAACTGTAACCAAGTAACAGTTTGGTACGACTAATTAGTTAGGAGTCCTATGGACCACTGTTTTGGGAAGTGCATGCAGACGAAAAAGAGGAGACGATATCATATATATAGATATGATATATCGTATGATATCATGCATATTTTATCATTGTTGGATAATAGGGATCTTATCCATGCCGGGATTGCGCGGCTCCTTCTGGGAAGGAAGAGGGGCTGCGACCGGCGGCCGGTGCCAAATGCATGGTACAACGCAGCACGCACCCAAACGTGACCAACGGTTCCTTCTGGAGCAACCTCCAGATGCTGATCCTAGTGCTGACCCTCCAAAGAACTGTCAAGTGGGTCAAGTGGTCTCTGATCTCCCATGTTTAATTCCAATCCATTCCACTCGCAGGGCACCTCTTTGTCGAACCCAGGGCACGCCCATCCCAGGCCTCCGCTCCCGCCTGGCGCGCAGTGGCGCGGAGCGCCCTGGGGGCGACCGGCAGTGCGGGCTGCGCGCAGCTGAGCCGCAGCTTGGCCCGGAGCCCGGACAGCGAACGGTTCAATTGAACGATTCTACTTTTTGCTACGAACGTAACAAGAAGCGATGCACTTGTCACTAAGACCCCGAAAGGGAGCGGTGCGGCACCCGGTGTGGTTTGGTTTTGGGGCTGGTGCCGCACCGCTCACCGCTCCCCCCTTTTTTCAGTGGGATGCGGATTCCACGCAATCACCGACCATCAACTTGAGACGTCCGCGTTATTTGGGAGCCCAACTCACTAGATTTCGGATTTGGGCGCAAAAGCAACATGACATCTGACACCAAGGGTCAGAGACTAGCCGCTAGCCTAAACAGATAGCGCTTGGTCGAAACACCTTGCTTGAGCTTCTTGCGGGTTGAGGTCTCTGCCCCACTCCTTCTAGAGCCCATGAAGAAGGCGGGGGCTCCTGAGCGTAGAGGAAGATCATTCGGGTGCAGGTTCTTCCACCGCCGTGAAGACCCCGACCGTCAGGCCTTGGACGCCACGCTGCACCGTGCGGCGCGGCACGCGGAGACGCTCCACGCTGACGAGGTCCCAGACCGACCATGGTCTGAGCGGAGCGCCCGACGTGGATGTCCGGACGCCGGCGGTTGGTGCGCTGGCCGTTTTTTTCTCTTTTTGTTCGGCCGACAGCTTGGGGGGTCTGGGAGGGTGGACGGTGTTGACCAGGTTCGTGGTCGCGAAGGGTGGGTGTTTTGGGGGACTGCGACCGGCACATCTTGGATCTCTGGAAACCTCTTTCATCTGTTTTGGGAGGTCGCCCTTCTCCTCAATGCTGCGGCCCGAGCAGCAGAGAAAGTGAGGCTCGCATTTTGTTGGCCAAGGATTTGATCCGGCTTCCTCTTCTAGAGAAAACATAATGGAGTTGCTTGCTGAGACTGGTGATGGAGCTTGGTGTCTTATGTAACTTTGTCTAACATAGCAGATTGCGGATTCTTTTCATCTGATGTGAAGCATTGATTCTTTGATGTGAAGCACCGAATGAATGTGATCTGTTCGGACGATTCTTGGGCCAAAATCCGTGGCGCGGTTTTCCGCTCACATGGTGGTCGCGTGGTGGAAACAAACGATTCAGCAGGAGTGTAAGAATGTTATAGGACACAGGGGTTTAATCACACATAATTGGCACAGCTCAATCAAACAAGTGAAGGCAACAATTCCAATGCTGTGTGTGGTTTTGAATTTTGGAGAAGATGAGACCTTGAACCTCAGGGACCTGGAGCTGAATGCAGAGGCCTGGAGGGACAGGGTACTGGGTACCCTGGCAGGAAGAACGGGACACAGAGTTTGGACAAAAACACATCCAGACACCACAAGCGGTGTTGTTTCTATATGTTTTTACAATAGGTCTGATAGTTCTTTGATTCAGATTCTTGCAAGAGGTTCTAAATTAACAAGCTCCTCATGTCCAAACCAAAAAATACCGCGTAAAACAGCGGTCTTCGCTGGGAGTGCTACGGATTTTCCAGGTCTCACTGCGGGTCCATGGAGTCCGCACATGGTTTTCATCGACTGCAGAGTTTTTTTCCCCAAGAGAGCTGCAAGCTATAGGGGCTCTTACTTCTCAATGGTGCTGGCTCTGGATCGGCGGGCTTGGGTTTTGCGGGTGCTGCTGCTGGTGCTGGTGGATCGATGACATGCTGGCAACGTGTTGTGCAGCAAGGATATGCAGCTGATCATAGCTGTCGTCTGGGCAGCTCCACAGCTGGTCCGACCGCCGATCTTGCAGTGAAACATGTCTGTGTTGGGCAAAGCAGGTGGATACTGTAGATGTTGCGCATATTGGCTGGTCTGATGTTGCGTGCTGCCGTGACAACCGTCCGTGGCATGTCCTTTAAGCCATACACCTGCTATCTGGGGTGTATGTCGGTGTAATTGGCAAAACCGCTTTCGTCGACTGCCAAGTTCTGTGTTCCAGGTGCACTGACCTGATCTTGTTCAGGACATGTTGGACTGTTCATTACCGTTGTTCAGTACATGTTCCAGGCATCCTTGGTGGTGATGAACTTGGCATCACGCATGGCCGAGCACTTGCGCGAGAGCCAGGTGGGGTCCGGTGGTCCAATGGTCCTGAATATTGCTCTGTCTGGGTCCGTGCTGCATGCTGGTGACATGTAAGATGAGTTGGGGTTGTCCGACATGGACACTGAAATCACTTACATTCACAACCTCGCACTGGAACTCACATGGAAGTGGACAATTCTTGAACATGGCCCCGAAAGGAAGACCATGTTTCTCCAAGCAGGGGGTGCCATACCGATCTTTGTTACAAGGCAAAAGAACGAGGGACCACGCAAGACCTCTGCGAAGAGCAGATTGGAATCAACTGGTGTTGTCTACAGGAACCCGACTTCAAGTACCCTAGAAAATGGGACATGGCCCGAACAAACAACAGCTACGACTGGGGCCCATTTTTTGAGGTACATACCAGGTCTAACACTCGAGTCTGAGTCTGACCCAACAGTGTTTCGATCTGCAAAAGCCACGGGTTTCGGCTTGTGCACACGATGTTTCAGGCTCCATCAGGTGAGTGTGGTTTGATTTCGTTCCAAAAAGCCTCATCGAACTCAAGTCCAGCGACCCTTCTTCCCAGGTTCCGCTTGTTCCTGGCCCATCGAGTTGTTCCTGGGTTCGTTTGCCAAGAGTGGGCGAAAAACACCATTTAACTCATGGAGTTCCCTGAGCTCATTTCAGGGGGAATTCAACTATGGAAGTCTTGTATATGGGTGCGTATTTGTGATAGGGAGACCCTCGGACCTGGCCGTGGCTGGGTAGACTGGTGAGTTTCAACTTTCCGGCTTCGGAAGGTCTGGGAGGTCTGCCATATACTGAATACACGGAATACACACCCATATTAACCTCTCCAATTTCCTTAACCCTTTTGGGGATCGAAGAAGCCCCTTTCACACCGGGCGTTGTGTTGCACACCGTGGAATCGAGTTCACGCCGCCGCGTTAGTTGTTTTACGTCGCCCCCGCTGAGTGGCTCGGAGATTGACAGCTGAAACGGCTCCGCAGAAGGTGAAGAAAGCTCATAGCGTCTAGACTAGCAAGCTATGCCCGTGAAAAGTGTGATCCCAGGAAGAGTGTCACAGCATGCTGCTGAGCTGGAAAACGAGCCTGTATATATAGACTTGTGAACGTGGTATTTAGACAACAAATCATGAGCTGTGAAAGAGCAAAAAGGTCCAAAAAGACTTTCGGGATTGCTAGATTGGGCGCAAAACAAAGACTTGCCCGGATGTTCACACTGCAATCGACCAGATGTGTATTCGGGATTCACTTTTGGTCGGTGAGACACATTTGCCGTGGCTTTTCCCCACGTGTGGCTTTCCCACGTGTGCGGCATGAGGGCGGCAGAGGCCCGGTTTCTGAGATGTTTCCCAGGAACACGTGTTAGACGTCCGACGTTGAATGGATTCGCTGGGATCTCCAGTGTGGTTTTTCGGGGACGCCTATTTCGAGGTGAATCAAGAGAAGTAGAGGGGCAATGATTTGGGGATGACATGGGATGACCTCATCGATGGCAATGACATGGATCTTCTGAAGTTCACCTTTTTTGACATCATGCGAGAATCATTTCAAGATTGTTTTGTATTCCCTCAATTCCCTCCCCCTTGACTACATTGCAACATATTGCAATGGCCACGTTGGCAGTTTTGGACCGTTTGGACTCAAATCATGGGGTTTTCCACCTTAGGAGGAGGCCTTAGACTACTCCGAGTCGGGAGCCTCAGACTACGCGTTGAGGTCCGCTAGGGCTTGCGCAAGCCGCAAGACGATTCCAACGTCATGTGAAGGGGTTGTTTCCTTTTGTATGCACTGCCCTCCTTTTCAGACAAATGATATTGATCTTATAACAGTAAGCTCTTTGGCAATTGCCTCCGCGGCCATTCCGACACCCCGTGATGACTTCTAGCTGCCTGACTTGTCCAAACACGTCAAGAAGAAGTGTCGACTCTTTCGTGCTCGTGCTCGTGCCCAGCCTTCCCCTAAGGGAAGAGCCTGCTGAACCACGCCCCTTCGACCTGCAAGAAGTGCTCCGCGCTCCGCGCGTGCAACCCGCGCGCAACCCGTGACCGGCGGGCCGCGGCCGCTGCCGCGCCGAGGTGTCTCCGTGGTGCGACGGAGCCGAGGTGCGTTGCGAGGTGCGTGACGTGCCAATTCGGTCATTCGCCGTGCGAAGGGGATCGAAGGAGTAGTGGCCAAGCAGTCTCCAAGACATGACATGGGTGTAGTATGGGTGTTGGTATGGGTTAGGTTGCAGATACAAATAGACCGGATGGTCGGCCGTAGTCTCCAACCCGATCCGAGTCTACAAGAATCTTGGTTAATGCCGACAAATGCAGATGAGTATACCAACTCGCTTTTCCTTTTTTTGGGGGGGGGTTGGGGCTTTAGGTGCTCAACGGCCAACAGACACATGTTTGGTGTACTTTCCAACCGTGGCAGGTTCAGGGAAGGCCTTGTCGAACGATGAGGAGGACCGCGAGTCGCAGACGCCATGTGTGTGACGTGCTGACTTTTGGACGTGGGACTCCATGTTGGAAGGATCCATTGAAGAACACTCCTGCCGCAATCTTCATTCACCAAGGAGACAAGAGTTGTATCTCAACGGCATACTTCAGGAATTCTAGATCTAGGAAACAGGCTGAGAACAGGTCTTGATTGACCATCATGCAACAAAGATGCCCCTCAGAGGTCAAGATGGGAAACATGGGCACTTCACACCTCGGGTATTGTCCAGACAGCCCGTACCAGCTGATAATTCCTATAGTAGGTTTCTTCAGCGTTTCTTCACATTGGCAAACCCATTGTTTTCGATCATGAAAACCATGGATTTCCTTGATGGTGGATTGATCATGATTGATAACTTAATACAACCAATTCCCAGATTCCCAGCAGTCACAAAGGGGTGCCGAACTTGGAGGATAGGGGTCCCCATTATCTAAACCACCCAACTCCATGTGACTCCTGGTCTGAGCATCTCAAGGAACATGCGTCCAACCTGAAAGGACAACCCCATTTCCACGCGTCCTGAAAGGATGAGTGAGATCCCCAGTCCGACCCGAGGACTACTCCGACCACTTCGAGTGTGACTACTCCGACCACTTCGAGTGTGATGACTCCGTGCAGGCCGGTGATGGAAGACGGGGCTGGGTGATGGAAGGGTTTTGAAGCTGGAAGATGATCCAAGTGGAATATCATTTAAGAGCCAACAACTCATCGCAGCAAAGCATCTCCAACCATTTGGCATGTTCCATGCCAGTCATCAGACTTGGCATCCATTGGACTTTCTCAGTCGCCAGTCGGGACAAAACCCGCATTTCATCCCCATGGTCACTTAGACTACCTAGCGGAACTTGGACTACGACGTTGTCAAGAGTGGATGATATTGATTTTTACCAAATGACCACCGGTCCAATGAACAGAATAGGCTACCAGCATGGTCAACCTACCCTGGTTGAAAGGGGCTCCAGGGACTTCACTCACAGCCAACTTGCAGAATCGCCTCAACAGTGTGCAAACAGTCACATCCAGCACGCAGTCCGCTGTGAGGGTGACATTCATTTAGAGAAATTGGGAACGCAAAAGCGCCAAAACTTGATTGAAGACCGATTTTTCATTTATTGTGGTGGGCAACTACTACAAGTCCAACCCGTTTCATCGGCCAGTTAGGCACGAGATAGATATTTTGCTGCCAGATACTTGTGGAGGCACTGGTTGGCTCCTTGCCTATCAAGTACTTTCGCAACCTGTCTGACAATTACACAACGCTGTCAACATGCAGCATGAGGTCCCACATCTCCAGGTTGTGGACACATGGGTGAACTGAGGGAACGATACGAATGGTACTTAAAAGCATCTATATAAGACCATACCCGTAGCCTTCCAACCACCGCTGAGTTAATTGTCTTTACTGAACAACCATTGTTTTGCTAGGGATTTCAGGCTACGACACCAGCTCAACCATTTTAAACATAGTCTTGCCAGTATCCTGGGATTCCAAACACCTCAGGAAACCTTTCAACATCGGGTGCGTCCAATCGAGTGAAGTTCTTCCAGGAGTCCAGAGCTACGTCGCAGCCCTCCTCTCGAGGTAGGCTGATGGGGCAAACATCTGAACCTACCTGGAAACCCAAACAACCAGAAACAAATGGTTGTTCCAATATGGCAATTGAAATCCTTTACATGGGAAATGGTTGTTTGGGGAAACATCCATTTCTTTCTGGTTGTTTGGGGTTTGAGGTAGTAGTATAGTAAGGATTCTCCTAGTAGTACAGCCAGGAGCCCCGTTCGTAGCGTCCGATCGCTCCTAGTAGCGATGCCAGGAGCCGCGTTCGTAGCTTCTTGACGTTCGAACGAGTCTCTCATCTCACGACATGTCCTCTATGTCTCCGACCAAAAGCCGTTCTTCACATTGATTCTTTTGGATTTCTTTGCTCCACAAATGGACAACGCAACAACCTTCCGTTTGACGGTGACTTGGCGCACGCTTGATGCTGACCAGCGAAAAACATCCGATGATATTTCCAGGGGGGCTCGGAGGTCACCTGGAGCCGGTCTGGACCCATCTGCGAGTTCGACTGACACGACCCTCCTGGTCAACGGTTTTGACATGATCCTCGAGTCGGAGAGGATCGGTTTCGGGACTGGCAGGTGCGAGCATCAACGAGCACAGGCAGGTCAGTGGATAGGAAGAGATTACAAGATTGACTGGTGCGATACCGCAGTAGCTGCCAAATCGATGGGCCAAAAAACCTCTACCAAGAGTGGGTTGATTTTGCGATTCAACTCCAATCATTGAGCCTTGATTTGGTTGAAGTGGGGTGAGTGGGTGGAACGTCAAACGGTTGGGTCAAAAGCGCATCTAAGAGCCTTCCTTCGAGGCAGGTGCTACACGTCATCCTCATAAGGACAGCTGGATTTCATCAACCCTAGACATCAAGAACCCTCAGCCAGTGAAGGTTTGGTTCGAAGAGTGAACACATGTCAAAGCTTCAGCTGTCCAATGACACTTACACGCTGACGAACACATGGAAGTCA